TGCTATCAGAAGCAGAAATTGCGTTATACGGTCGTCAGATGAGAGAGAAAAAAGAAGCTTATAAGGACAATACGTTCATGGTTCCTTTGGATGGGATGTTATATCCCCGTGTGAGAAAACCTTGGGTCTATAGAGATGATATCTGTATAGTAGCATGACAAGCTAAAAACTCCTGATAATTTGACCAGGGCGGTAAAAGGCAGGAATGGGATTAATATAGCCGTGTATCCGAGGACGCATATGTTCTCTCATGCAAACGGAATCGCACCAACAGCCGCAAGATGCACATGTTACAAACATGTGCTCCGGAATAGAAGAAGATGAATATATCTGACCCAGTAATACATAATTACACACACTAACCGCGATTTCAAGCAGGCTGAGTGGTAACGGGGCGGTGGAAGAAAGAGTCGGACACGTAGTGAGATTGGGGTGACTACGTTGGAGCGACAACCCCGACATAGTCAGTTAAAATATCCCAAGCACAGCCCACAGAGGGCTATCTGTCTATGTTTAGGGTATTCAAGTGATATTAAACCCCACGAGGGGTTGTAGACGCAAGGGGATGCGACTCGTAGAGTGTCCATGTTTTGTAGACCGAAAGCTGAAAATCGCACAACCTCATTTCCAAACCCTGAAGTTCTGGCTCTGGTAGCTATATGCTAGTATTGAGGCATCTGAAATCGGCTCTCAGCCACTGGGTGCGCCAGACACACCAGCTTCCGAAGATCATAGTATGGAATGCATCTTGACAGTGACTTGGTTGGGATAAGTTGCAGCCCCTGGAGGTGGCCTCCCTGGACAAAACAACGGAACAATAATTTCCCGTAGCTGACGCCAGGAGGACCGACCTCACCTCATCTCACGCACCATGAGCTCGCTGTCAACTTACTGTAGGCAGATAGAATACCCTATGGATAGTTCCAGCAGAAGTGATTTTATGGTGATTGTTTCAAGTCCTGGCTTCTATAGTCGACGGTGTTCGGGACAAGCCGAGAAGGCAACAGTTTCACATATTTAGGTCTAAGCTGGAGATCTACTAATTTGAGGTGTTCCTATGCCGGAGAATATAATTCTTCCAATACGAGGCCAAAGATGTCAAATCTCCAAAAGGATTAGCTAAATAATTATACAACCTTATTGATTCCCAGGAGCATACGACACGAATTGGCGAATAAAGCGTTTCAACAAACAATGTGGTTTTCTAAGCTCCTGGGCTCCAAGTGGTTGCTCCCCTTGGAACTATTGCTAAGCTACATAGGATTTCGGATGAGAGCACCGGAGCTGCTAACCCATACGACTGGCTGGGCTATGTGGATTACGTCCGTTACTTGGAATGCAAGAGGCTTATCGCTGTTTCCCAAAATTCGATTGAAATGTGAGGAGAAGCTTTCAAATAGTTGTCCCCACGCGGACACTGCGAGAAGCCAACGCTCTATACTATCAGCGCCATCACTGCAATGCAATCATGTTTGAAACTTGATACACCAACAAGAGGCTCATTGGCTCACAAGCTGTATTGACAAGTACGGTATCAGTATTTTTTCCCTCCTTTAAACGTCAACCATGAATATTTCGGCTGGCTTTATTCTTAAGAGTAATCACAAGTTGTTAAAACATTGACTATTATCTATGTATCAGCTATCTTTTCCTTTCTTCTTTCTACCAGTCATTTTTCACCTGTCAACGAGCTTCAGAGAGATAATTTTCAAATCGGATCCATGTGGCCAGCTGCTAACACCTGGAGCTGCTAAATACATAGTAGGTTGACCCACTCCCTTGCTTCTAACTCTTCCTTGCAATTTAAGATATGAATTTGATATAATGTTGTTACGCAGGTGGCTAACTCCAGATGCAAGAATTCTAATAATAATGAATATTTTGGCCGTTAACCTGTTCGCACTTCGGCCATCGCGAGGACCTCCAGCGAACGGAGATCGCATCCATGACCTCAAAGAGCAGCACCTTGTGCCTATACCAAGCTCCATGAACTTGGATGGAATGGGTTCTTCCACAACCTATTTACATTCATTTAATAAAGATGATGCCAGCCACTGCTGAGATTCTTCATCGCAAAACTACATAGCTGGCCTTCAAATAACCTCACCAACAGTCCAGGATGACGAGGCCATGTATTGTATCTTACGTTGTTTTCAGGATACTTATAGCCTCAATTTTGTGGCTATATACCCTACAACCCAGCCATGCCGCCCCAGCCTACAATACATCTTTCCCTGGCGCCAGCTTACCCGGCCTAGTTCGTCCAAAGATGAGATTTGAGACAAGGCTGTTCAAATGTGGAGAACACGAGGACAAGATTAATCGGTCCCTTGCTGGAATTAGATACGGGGTAATCTATACAACAAAATTTTTTAATTCTATAACTTTTGTTCTACTATAGGCTGATATGATGGTCTAGTTTATCATGGCTCGTTTTCGGTTGAGGAGTCTACAGAAGATCTTAGATGGAAACCCTACTGGCGAAACTGAGCTGAGTGGGATAGACCGCTCGACCCTATATACCTTTGAGAGTCTCTATGGAACTGTCTATCTTCCGCTACTACCAGGAGGTTACTTGGGGAAAACCCGGATAGAATATATCTTGGGTCAGGCTACATAAGGCTCTGCTGGCCCCCTTCCCCGAGAATCTTTGAAGTTCTGAAGCCGAACGAAACTGACAAAATGCTGGGGGCCTTAGGTATGCTGAATCGAATAATAGACACTATCCCTAACCACCCTCTTGACATATGGTGTGATGATAGTTTTTACTCGACGAAGATACCGCCTAATATTCGACTGCCAAAACGTAGGTCAAAGATGCAGATATCTATCAATACCCAATACTAAGACCTTTTCTTTCTTACCAGCAAAGGAAGGACGCACTCTCTTCTGGGACACCCGGTCAGCAGATGACGGCGGCCAGATCTTGACCTCGATGGAGGGAACCTGTGCGAATGGTAAGCTATACGCGTTTAATATAGTAAACCCTAAAGCGAAGCGTGAAACGATTGTTATATGCCCTTCGCCTCTGGGCCAGTACTCCTCTCTCGGTCAATTTCAGGTGAACATGCTGTCTGCTCCTGAGAAATTCGCAAAGGGCGTACACATAGACAAGTTTAGGTTTTCTCTGGTCTTCACTCTGATCCATGAGCTATCTCATTCCATCCTCATCCTCAGGGATTTAGCAACGAGTAAATGTTCCCGCTGTCCGCTAGCTGGTTTGTTTCATCTTGTTAATATTTCTACCCAGGTGATGTCAAGGGACAGGTAGATAGTTACGGTTGGAAAGAGGCCACCTTTCATGGTGATACTAACCACCTGAACGCCCAAGATAATGCCGGTAAGCTGAGGTTTTTTTTTTTTTTTTGAGACTAAGATATGAGAACATGCCTTGCTAATGGACTTCACATAGACAACTTTGCGTTCTTTGTTCTTGGTAATATTGACCTTCTATCAACCCCCGTTCTCCTTGAGCTTTACGCTGACTGTCCTGGACAAAGCGATGTTCCTAAGTAAAAATCACTGGGGCAGCGGGATGGCCAATGAAATGTTTACTAGTGGCCCTGCCAGAGCCAGTCCGCCATGAGCGCCGTTGCAGAGAGGCTTCGGTGTGTTTATGGAAGCAAAGTCACGAAATACCCTTGGTAGAGAGCGCTAGAGATAGAGCCAGCTTTGGCCGTTTAAACAGTTCTCAATGATGTTACTAAAATACATTCCACAGCCGTAGTTAAAAGCTAGTAATTGATTATCTTGGCATGGCTGGCTAAGTTAACGGCTTTGAGTGAACGAGACACACAGCAACAGTCTAACGGCTTGCGCTTTCATGACAACAACATCGATTTATTTCTATGTGTTAAGTGCGACTCCGGAATGAGCACAGCAGCTCAAGAAGACATGTCTGCTCCGACTCGCGCCTCCGTCCTTATTGCGAATCTGTCGTCGGTTTCAAAACGCATTGCAGCAGCATCAAGCAGGCGTAACCACGATGAAACCAGCCCCAGCTCAAATAACAATAATACCAACAGTGACAGCCCTGCAGCCCCCGTCCGTCTCGTTGCAGTGTCTAAACTAAAGCCGGCTTCTGATATCCTCGCACTTCACTCCCCGCCCACATCCCACCTGCACTTCGGAGAGAATTATGTGCAGGAGCTTCTCGAGAAATCTAAAGTCCTGCCCCCCGAAATCAGGTGGCATTTCATCGGTGGATTACAGTCGAATAAATGTGTTATGCTTGCAAGAGAGGTACGGGGCTTATGGGCCGTTGAGAGTGTGGATACAGAGAAAAAGGCGTCTCTGCTGGATAAAGGCTGGGGCGAGAGGCCGGAATTCAAGGATAAAGGCACTGTGGACACTGATGGTACTAGCGAGCAAGAGGATAGACGGCTACGTGTATTTGTACAGGTTAATACGTCCGGGGAAGAGAGTAAGTCAGGTATACAGCCAGGCGAGCCTTCGGTGGAACTCTGCCGGTTCATCAGAGAACAGTGCCCTCGGTTGAAGCTCCAGGGATTAATGACTATCGGGGCCATTGCGCGATCAAAGGCGACTACACCGGAGAATGAGAATGAAGATTTTGCCTGTCTACGAGATACAAAGGATATGGTGGAAGAGAAGCTATCGCTGGAAGGAAAGGATAGGTTGGAATTAAGTATGGGCATGAGTAATGATTTTGAAGGTGCGATTGCCATGGGAAGCAGCCAGGTCAGGGTCGGAAGCACTATATTCGGCGCTCGTCCACCCAAGGGCGAGGCAAAGTGAAGAAATTAGAGCCATTATAGTGAAAAAAACAGGATGTAATTTTATCATGAACATAAATGCGGAAGGGCTCGTAAGCCGGTTAATCATCTGGAAATTATCTTTCTTTGTAGTAAGGGAATGTATATGTGATAAATATACATCCAGAACTAGTCGCTGAAGATGTCACAAACGGCACCTCGTGAGATCCTGTCTTCCATCAACTCGACCAAAGCCCGTGGAACGTCCTCCTGGGTCGCCCGAATAGTGATACGGTACATCTGTGTATGCGTTAGTTAACATACCCTGCCCAAAAAAACATGGCAACGGTAAAGAAGATAGGGAGAGAGCATACCTGTTTCTCATAGTTAGGCTCGAGCCTCAACAAACATCCTGTCTTTGAGCTCTGAGTTTGGAAAACAGCACATCCAACCAGGTTCTTTTGGTTTGGGTCGACATTTGCAAGTATCTTCCACTTGAAATTCTCGACAATCAATTGAAGATTCCTTTCACTTAACGGGCGGCCTTTCTTCGTAAGGCCAAATGTTGATTGGCTTTCCAAGGGGCCTCCACCTATTTGTCGCCAACGTTTAAAGAAATCATCTGATGTTAGGGATGACGCTTCAAGGTACCTATGCATGAGAATCGGTAGTTGCAAGGTGTACGCTTGTAATGCACCCGCAAGGTATGATATTCGAATCGTTGGAGCCTTGGTAAATGAGCCCAGACACTCGAAACAAACGGTTTGGTGGGTTTGGCCGGATGCAGCAACATCTGGATCCGGTATATCCTTGGTATCAATCTTGAGGCTTTCAGGTGAAGGGTTATCAAGTGTTATGGTGAAAGACCCGATGGAATAAGCGGATTTATTTGCAAAGTAAAGCTTGCAGACGCCAAGGTGGGCTCGGTATTCGGATCGGAGTCCAACTTGAATCTGGGCATCCTCGAAAAGAACTCCCTCGGTAGTGAAGAAGAGTCTGTTAAAGCCAGGCTCCCATTCCGGGGACAAATGGGCGGCGCTGGCCAAGTTAGGTACTGTATCACTGGCCGAAGTGAAGTCCAGACCTTCCAGGTCGTTGGATGTTGTGCCTACTCCCCCTGCCTGCTGTGGGGTGGCCGATCCATTGGCGATAGATGTGAAGGTACGTTTCAAGCCGGTGTTCTGCGTCAGCATGAACTCCTTGTCATCTGCATTGGCATCTTTGCCCCCAACAACCCAAGTTCGCTTGTCACTCGTTCCAGAGCTTTTCTGATGAAGCCGAGACAACAACACGGAAATTCTCTCCGAGAATGGCGGCATCTCATCACAAACTGTTCGAAGGAGGTCATCGGTGGGAAGAGTAGCAAGCATTAAATATTCATAAGCTCGCTGTTGCATCTCTGTATCAGGAGAGTGGCTGTATACTTGGAAAACTCGGAGAATTTGTGGTTTGATCTCTGGGAAGAGATTCACAAACTTGATAAAGGAAGATAAGAGCAAAGCGCGAGTGTTGTCGGAGCAAAATGCCATCTTTGAGTAGAGTGCTAAAAATTGTTCGATGGGTGAGCAACCCTTGTTATCTGCAATTAGGTGGCCAAACTCCCCCAATATATAGCCGCCAATTTTCACTAAGCTATCATGGCACTCGCCCTTTATATAGCCCAAAATGTGCTGGGCAGCATAAGCCTGAAGCTCTTCGTTGTTTGTGACCACCTGCACAACTCGCTGCCAAACTTCATCGCTGACATGGTCACCAGCTACAGATAACAATTTGAGCGAAATGTCGATATACCACTGTGCATCTGTGGCATATTTTTCCGTAAGAATGGCAATTTTAAGAACCATTTCTTCCCGAATGGCAAAATCGGCGCTCTGAAGGTGCTTGAGAAGTTCGTTGACGATAGGGCGTGCATTTGTGGTATCGCACATGCTGTACAGAAGGTCCAATCCCTTTCGTCGTACGCTAATATCTCGGTCTCGCAACGATCCAAGAATTATGTTTTGATGCTTCTGTATGGGATCTAACGTCTCTGCCCTAGCCGCAAAATGAGTCATTGCGTCTAGTCCAAGATACCTTACGTTAGTCTCTCGAGATTGAATAAATTTGCCTAGGCGAGAGGAAATCTGCATCATAAGGGTGTGTTCGGTATCAAGGTGGATTAAGAGATTTATGGCCTCAAATAGAACAGCGTTTTGGGCATTGTTTTGCTGCACATTTTTGGGCATATCCATGGCCGAGTTCATGATTTGCTGGATGCTTTGCCTTATGAGGTCTCTCACATGAACATCCTCTGTTGAATTCATGGGAAGAAGATAAGAATTAGCTAAGTCGTAACCTATAACAAGAAAATTGGGGCTACTAACCAGACGGAGGATAATATTGCAACAATCGTAGCAGTTTTACCTGCATCCAAGGGCATCCCACATTGTAGTAGATGTAATCCTGAGAAACATCGTGGTCAATGACAATCCTCTTTAGCCTTTGGGCTGCCTTGACATAGCTTCCCTTGTACTGGTCAGGATTATCTTGAACAAGAGCCATAACTAGAGATGTCACCGACAGAGCCACTCCCATGTCTGGATCATCCATCAAAGATACAATACGCTCAGCCCATTCCTGTTGCACGATTCCGGGGTATTTACGATATAATCGGAGAAGGGTAAGGGCAGCTTTTTTCTTAACGAATGCCTTTGAAGCACTGAACCCAGGCCAAGTCAGTGAGTCTGGTTAAAAAAATAATATCACCACGGACATAACATACGGAGATATTAATAAACGATGAACATCACCACTCAGGGCTTCACCCATTTCCCTTCCACCAACATTAGCAACTGCATGCAATGCGAGACAGTTGTTAAGTTCATGATGATCCAGCAAGTCTTTCCGGATACTGTTCACTACCAAATGAAGCAATTCATGCTGCTCGTGAAGAAAAAGGGTAACAGCCAAATACCCTATCTGTTTTTCCGAGTACTTGGTTGCAGATATCAAGTTGACAGCTTCCAAATGGCCAAAATCAACATCATAGCCTTGAATATAGACGTATAGAAGTTTGCAGACATATTTTTTCTTTTGGTAACCATTCAGACTTCCGTCTTTGAATTTCTGTCGAATATTGGCCAGCTCCTTGTTGATGCGTTTTTCCTCCAGTTCTCTAGCCCGAGCATTCCGTAGGTCAGCTATGAACTGGACCAGCCCGCGCATAGAAGACATAGTGACTTAATTTGGCACGAGATTCCGGAAATGTCTCACTCTGTGCTTCTTCGCCCTGCTCCTATCTCCCTATCCTTCAGTTCGGTGACAGCTTGTAGAGGCCTAGTTACTTTTCATGCGCAATCCACGAGTGCATACTTCTTCTTAATCATTGCCAGGTACGTGATACCAACATCCTTCTTGACCGCAAAAGGAGTGAACGAATATCAGTAATAAGACCTGGCTGACGATATATGGATCGCGAATAATAGTAAGGGGAAACTCGGGCGGAAACGAGGAACGGAGGGTTCGCGATTTGGCGAATCAGGGGATACGACGCAAGTGTCTTCAACTTTCCCGTCCAGAGAGGCTGGTTCGTGAGCTCCACGACGTCTTCAAAGCAGTAAAGAAGTATTTATGGCTGTGTATACGCTTGTTGCTGTCTCTTTTCTTCAAAGCTTCCGACCTTGGAAGTCCGAGAAGGCGCGAACTCATAGATGCGGAAGAATATTTTGCCGGCGGTCGGAGATACTTGCCGAAAACGGTCTCATACAACGAAAAGGAGCCCATCCTCAACGACCATGACCAAGAGACCAGATGAAGACGAGTATCTCTTTTCATACCTTCTTACTAGCTCTCGAGCCTGGTCTTATATATACATACCCCATATACGGAAGACTCAGTCTTTCGTACCCTTACGCAAGTCAGAGCTAAAACATCTAGGGAACACAGCTGGACGGATCTTGCCTTCATGATATAAGAGTGACAAGAATTATTGAAAAAATAGAGCAAATCCAGAAATAAACGGTAACCCCGATTCCGCTTGACAAAGGAAATGAAATGCACCTGCAGCGTCACAAACAAGCCAACCCATCATCCTTGGGCACCGCATTTAACCTTCCTACACCTTGTGGGTGAAATCGATCTCTTCGGGGAAGTTTCCAGAGTCAACGGCTTTCTCGCATGTACATGAATCTACATAGTACGGATTTCAAAATTAGCTCGCCATACCAGGACGCGCGAGCAGTGGAGTTGGGGAAACCAAGCCATGCTGGGGTTGAAGAAGGAGATGAAACGTACCCGCCCCCCTCTTCCCACAAGGGCATGAATCACCGGAAACAGGATGGTTTTCGGACATGGCCCTCTCACACGTACATTGGCCAGCCGGGCGGCTTCCTATTAGTCGTCCGCGATCCCATGTTAGATTTATCTTCCAGCAAGCGAGAAAACAACCCCTCGACACGCAGCCGCGGCACAGGGAGACAGGGACAAGGGGAAGATATATATATAAATCGAAAGGGCAAAAAGACAGGAAACCAGGCAAAAGAAGGCCAGAACATTAACCTACTGCAGGAACAACGTGGGCCAGAGGTGTCGTTTTCGGTTTTTGCCTTGTCGCAGCTGCAATGAAGAGCCTGTTCCTTGCCACAAGAGCACCTTGCTTGAGCGGCACAAACGCAACCCTCTTTGGACGAGCGGCAGCAGGACTCAGGTGGAACGGTCATCTTCTCAAGTTATTTTTCCCCCCCGTTTTGATTTCTAAACCTGCTAAACTCGTAGAGCTAAACCCGGGTATTTGCCCGTTCTCTTACTATACTGGAACAGAAGGGCAGGTGATATGAAAATATCAGTATCAGAGAAAGAACATCGGAGAGCAATCTAACAATAGCTAAAGGAAGATGAAGCCTCTCCCCTCTCTCTGGGAATATGCCCTCTTTATATATCGTCTCTCTTCTACTCTCCCTCATCCTCTCTTGTAAGCAATTACCAACACCTCAACTGCGATTGGAGAGATACGTAGCTTATATAAGCACATATAAGTCAGGCAACTTTCCTTTCGTCATAACTTGTAAACATCGAAATGGATTAAAATTTAGAGGCCAGGCTTAAGGCACTGACATGAGATGGAGAGGCGAAAGCCGCAGAGTTGTGAAAAATACAGGAGCCAGAGTGCGACGTGGTAGTAATTAAGGAGGTAATAGTTGGGCTCATATGCGACACCATTACTATCCAAACCGGAATCAACATCGTCTCAGACAAAGGGGCCTAAGATAATAGAGAAGATAAAACGTTGGACGCCAGCAGCGCCATGAAATCATCAACCGCCGACTCAAATAAAAGGAGTAATAAGAAGGAGAGGTATCGAGTATCGAGAGGAACCAGGAATTTTTCCGAAGAAAAATGCTAATGCATAGAGAAAGCTGGAACAATACCGATGCTTTCTGCAAAACGCCATAAAACCCAAAGAAACAACAAGTAGATTGTCTCAAAACAAGAAAGACATCCTTAAAGTATGTGCTAGAAAGGATTAAGGTCCGCAAGGCCAGCGAGTGGGGAGGGAGGAGGGGGAAGGGAAGCTGTAAAATAATAAATAAGGAACAAAGTCATAATGCATTTTCTTGCAGAGAGTAAGCAAGCTATGAATTGGAGCTTTGATTTCGTAAAACCGTATCTACGTCGAGATGAACGCTGGCGAGATTTCATATCGTCTCAGTGTTGGGTTGATAAAAGAAGGCTCGCTGTCTCGGGGCAGAGAATTCCGGCGTTGGGTAACAGCTCAGCTTCTGCTGGATAGTTTGTTGCAGCCACGCAGTGCCATGCTGGTTATAGGCGCCTTGCATGTCGGGCCTCTTTGATGGGTGAGATGGATCGTTTGTATTTGAAGATGGGTTTTGGCGGGAATAGGTAATTCCGAATGAGCTTAAGTTGAAATGCGGACCGAGCCCCGAGAGCTGATCCTCTTCCTGTGTGGATGATAGGGGCGAAGACTGCAAGGCTGCTGCGCCTGCACGACTTTGGCCTACTTTCGGTGGTGATCCTTCACCTAGCCTTGGCGTAGTTGTCACAGATTGTCCGACTGTTTTCTGCTTGAACCCCTCTGTTACAGAACCTATTGACTCGTCAGCAAGTGTCGGGAGGTGTTGATGTTCTCGTAGCTCCGTACCCAAACCAAAGGGATCTCTTCTAGCAGACGCGTCCAGAGATCGACTGCCATATGTGCTGTTGAGGTCAACAGAAGAATCTGTATCAGTGTACTCCAACGGCGGAGTTGGGCAAGGTATGGGGCCACGGAGAGGGAGATTCAGTGACCCGGTCCTCGCTCTGACCGAAGTATTATACATGTGAAGCTGTGGGACTGAAGGGCGCATGGTCCCCTGCTGCTCGCCAAAACTCCTGGGTATGAAGTTCACCCGTCCATGAATGGATGGATTCGCGGAAGATATGGACGCGAAGCTACCAAGGCTATCACCGGACGTAGACATACTGGATATCGAGTCAGTGCCGCGACTAAAGGTAGAGCTGCCCCGCCCAAAATAGCTACTATAGGCCGAAACAGTGCTCAAAGGGGAAGTTGTATAGTCGTCTCCTGATGATGTGCCCACGCGTCCCGAGTTGTATGGGTCATTCTCTTCTGGTGGAAAGAAGGTACCAGGGGAGACTAAAGGTGTGGTATATCCGTGGTGCTCTGGCGCATAGGACGATTGTAGCGATTGAGCCATGTCAAAATCATCAGGCAGTGCTCGAGATTTCAAAACTCTCTCCCGATCGTCAAGAGATAGACGCTTGAGCTTCGCCCTCCTTTTAAAGATTAATATAATGTTAGCAAAATCGAGGTATAGAGTCAATCGGGCCAGTACAATGGCAACTAACCTGTTTTGAAACCAGACCTGCACTTGTCGTGGGCTCAATCCAGGTATTTCTCTAGACAATCTCTCCCGGTGAGCAGCATCTGGATGCGCCTGGCGAGTGAATTCACTCATAAGATATCGTGTTTGGTTATGAGTAAGCCTAGAAAGATGGGTTAGTAGAATTCGATCGCTATTGTCAGAACAGGGGGGACAATACCTAAACCGCTTCATCTTTTTCCTATCAATCTTCTCTTCATTGGCACCTTTTGACTCATCTTCTACATCATGAATTTCTGCATCCTCTGTAACAGGGCTGTACATGCCCTGTTTGCTATTGATATTCCCCCTATCGTTCTGCTGCTCTGTATCGACAGGAGTCTGGGGACTTCCAGGGCAAGAACTCGCAGAACTTGATTGTACAGCATCCGTAAGGTCGCTGCAAGAGAGATTCCCTTGGCTTCCCTTGTGGGAGCCCATATAGCAGTTGTCACTAGGGTCCTGTGAGCTGTGCTCCTGTTCTGCTGCCTTCAAATAGGCCAAACCTCGAATATCACACTGGCCCATGGTTACATCAGGTCCCTTCTCCGAGATAAGCGGTTCTTGCTTTAGAGACTCAGAGACTGATGATCCACTGAACTGCATTATCATCGCAGAAGAATGATAGTTGTGTAATTGTGACGACGGCGACTGGTCTTCCACCCGTGTGTTTGTCCAGCCAGGAATGCCTGCGTACACTTCGTGAATCGACATTCTGAATTAAATAGAAAGGGAAAAAAAACAATGTATCAAACAAGAAAAGATGGGGAAGGGATTCAAAGAGGAAGGGTCTATAGTAACAGATATATATCGTCAACGCGTGGTAGCAACAACTAAGGTATCCGATGTTGCCGGAGAGCCACTATGTTTCAGCCATAGGTATACCGAGTGCCTGTTGTGGTTATCTTGCTCTCTGGAGATATGCTCCACCTGCTCACTGTGGGCTCAAAACAATATAAGATGAGTAGTTTGCCCCCGCAACTTCAGCATTGAAGAGAAGGTGAATGTTGGCCGTGGTCAAGAAAAAGAATGATGCTCTGCGTGAATGTGTTTGGTTATGAGAAGCTGAGACGACCAGCAGGGAAGACTCAAGGCTCAAAAGGCACCCGGCCCTCTGGGATCGAGGACAACTTGTAATAGAGTTTGACTGGCATAAGACGAAAGAGGTAGGTAGTTGGGTTACAGGGTATTTGGAGGCACGCCGGTGGGAAAGTTAGAACGTTGCCGTATTTATTGACAGTGGCGGATAATTGACCGATACAGGCAGCCATAGAAGAAGGCGGCCAAGGAAATCCGCCGTGAGGAGCACAAACGAAAGTAAGAGGACCAGTGTTGGCATAGCCACGGGAAAATGTCGATTTTTATTCCTTTGTGTTCTTAAATATTAACACGGGATACCCGAGTACCTTAACAACAGATAAAAAAAAAAAAAAAAAAAAGGAGCCAGGGTATAATGGTCTCCAGGAGTTTTGGACTGAATGAGATAGGAGGGGCCGGGATAAGCATAGACAGCCACCCTGTCATGCTCAGACCAGCATCTCGGAGTAGTGCCTTGCTTAGCTTAGCACATGGGGGGATGGGGGAAGTATGCGATGCATGGGTTGTGGGTCAGTCAAGGATGAGGCTGCCAAAGTCTCACGTTGATGCGAAGATCACAACACTCTTAAATTATTTCAAGAGGATGCTGCTCTTGATCGGGCCCAACTCCTTATCCTCATGTACGTGATCACTGGGGTCGCGTGCATCGATCATATATAAGATCGTTTCTCAACATAAACTAGTCTGTTTTATCTTTTTTATTTGAAGATAATGTCAGATTTCTGAAAACCGAAAACGAGAGGGAGGGGGCGCCCCTATCACACTGGCTGTAACACAGCAATAGAAAGCATTATGCTTTGTAGTAAACATGGGGGATTGGCCGTATGTGCCAACCTCGTCTTTCCGGAAAATAGACGAAGGTCAAAAGCCCCAAAAAGAAAAGGGAGATATTGTATGTATATGCAGCATTTTTGGGTCTTGGATCTGAAGCCTTGGAGATCCTTGTGAGGCCAGGGTAAGACTGCTTGAGAGACCCTGCAAATCTTAAGCCTCTCCTCTGCGGGAGAATACCGGCTGACAACAGTAAGCGTAAAGGTCGAGAAAATATGGGCGTCAATAGAACGTCCAGAGTCATGCTTGCCCACTTTTTTTTTTCCAGCTTTATCCGGGCGTGGCTTATGGGGTGACAGGGGAGTGAGTGTAGTTGGAACCAATGCGGGGCATGCAGGACTGGAGGGTAGCATCATGGGCAATTGGTTGTTGGACAAGAAGCGCTGGAGGAAGATTGGTCACAACAGCACGAGAACGCTGATACACAGTTCAACGCAAAGCCCAGGGCTTAGACGGGAACCGCCATTTGGAGATCAAGTAAGGCTACCACGAACCAATACAATTCCTTGGACTTCTGGAAGAGGAATAGAGGCTGCACCCGCTAGAATTGCAAACCTGACTAGTCACGAATCGGAAGGCATGCAGAAGAGCACGGTAAGATCGGACCGGCCCCCGAGGTTGGCTTAGGCCCTCCGGTGAAGAAGTCCCTTCTAATATAACTATGGTAGGCGTTGGACTATTTTTGCAGGAGAAACGACTGCTAAACATCCTCGAGAAGTCGATGATTGCCGCTCTTTTGGCGAAGAGAGTGACAGACGGGAAGCAAAAATGGATCATGTCATGGGTTGCCTAGCCAGCCATCGAGCACCACCACCTCAAGCTTTTCCCTATCGAGCCCTCCCGCTATCTATCGACCAGATGATCCGCAGATACGGCAGGCAGGCAGAAGAGGCAGGCAGGACATGCAGCATGGCGTACAGTGGGTCACCCATATTACCGTATCTCACATATACATTCTTATCTGTGTATGGAAATGTACACTCCATTCTCCATCAGAGTGCAAAAAAGAAGCATATTGAGAAAGAACATCCATGAAAACGGCAGGGAACGGGTCGAGCCAAGGGTACAACATCTCAAGTAATTGGCTGAGCCAAAGCGAAGGCAACTCTTGCATTGGAAGGCCAGCCTAACAGCTGGAGGATGGAGGGACAGGGATGGAAGACATTAACCCGGCCCGGAGCAAGATGTGACTTTGCATGTATATTTCCACAGCTTTTTCAGCCGTTTCCAGGCCCAAGGGATCCGGAGACGCGGGAAGGACGAGGAAAACGACGAAGGTGCAGCTCTCATTTCCACCAACCGCGGAGGCCATCGCAGGCCATATCAACCTTGCATGGAAGCGAAATGTGCAGCCTGCGAGATGTTAAGGGCTGGGAACTGGGATATTGAAACCGTTCACGTGACCTTCAAGTAAATTCCATTTGTTATTCTTTTCCTTGCTTTTTCCTGTTGTTGACATCTTGTCAGCGGCCCCAGAAGCCAGATATCCCGCCGATTCTTGTCGGAGATGACTGGAGATGGAGATTGGGTGGACTTGGAAAGATAATTATAGCCCACCCACAACGTCAGCGGGCGATCGGAGGCGAAGCTAGGCGTATAAGGTTGTTGCAGATCGGGGGCTTCTCTGATGCTTCCACGAGTCGAAGTCCATAGGCTAGAAGAACAGCTTCTTAGTGCCCGCAGACTTTGCCTACTAAAAAACTCTGTTAAAACCACGATTTGGAGTTCCACTGTCAATCAGTGATTTTAATATTAGAGGCTCTGATGTGGAAACTCGGTCACGGAACCGTTGAGACAGTTACATGCATGTAGCCGGGATAGCCATGACAGCTCTGGTGGCTATATAGTAATTATCGGCAGAAAGAGGGGGAAGAGAGAGAGAGAGAGAGAGAGAGAGAGAGAGAGAGTGTGTGTGTGTGTGTGTGTGTGTGTGCGCGTGTGCGGGAGAGACATTTAGGATGCAGACGGCGCCATCCAGGAGCTTCTCTATCCTCACTGCTTTCCTCCATTCCTCCACCATCCCAAGTAGAAGACAGGAGCATTCTCCATAAAGGAGACCAGAGTGGAGGAAGGATGTTGCGTACCTGCAGACAGGCAAGGCCAGCATAGCTTCAGGGACCCGAGCTATACAGTTGACTACGGAGCACTCCGTTGCGCGCTTGATGTGCTTTTCTGATTTGATCAACCCTTCGCGTCGATCTGGCCATGGATACCATGCCTGCATGCATGCTTGTTCTGTTGTTTGTTGGTGGTGCTTGCTTGAAACCGGCCTGTTTTGCAGGATCTTTGTAAATAGCCGGTTGCTCTGTTGTCGGGGAATCCATAGTTGTCTCACGCTAATATACACAATGATGTTGAACTCTGGCCGGGGGTGGCAGGCATTTGTCCCTTGAAGAAAATCATAGTAGAGAAGAAAAACATCTCCCTCCTCTTTGTCCTTTCCCCTTGACCATTAAACCAATTTAGAGTCGGTTTCAGCCCTGCAGTAGTAAAATCTTCCGCTGACCCTCGCGTCATTCCTTAATAAGCTCGTACCCAGCACCTTTTCTGCTATACGTCGTATAAATCTCTACTCTTCAAGCTCGCTGGGGCAGACAGGGTGGTAGACATCGCTGAAACTATGTAGGTATCGGTCCGGAACCCAGTGCCAGGGAATTAAATCTTGGCAGTTGCCGCGTTAACTGTACCACTGATCAAATCTGTTCGCATATCTAGCATCATCACGCAGCAGATACTCCATTCTCAACAACTCGCTGCATGACAACACATTCCTGAGACAAAACCACTATAATATGGCTTCTTCTCTCCAATTGCACCAAGAACTCAGTACAGAACTGTTTCATAGCTCCTGTACGGTTGATTGACCTGCATTACAACCACGTGGAATCCTATAAACCAGTATTAACTCCGTGACTCGTCTTGAATCCGGGCTGAGGCCGCCCGAAATTTCGTTGATCGTGTACAGCTCCTAAAAAAAGGAAATGAAAAAATACAAGGTCAAGTTTGGGCAAGTTGGGTTTGCTCCGCGGCGGCATTATCAACGCTGTTCTCTGTTGCTGCATCGTCTTTAGGGCCATCAGCGCTATTCTCAATTTCTGCCTGAGATTTCGCTGAGGTGGCAGTCGGTGTTGGCGCTACGTCGAAAAGCACCTTCAAATTTTTCCCGTCATCTATCTTATCCAGGTGGCTCAGTTTACTCCTCGAAGCAATCCGCAAGGTCCTCCAAGTTTTGCTAGCTTTGGCTTTCTCAGCCTCTTCTTTTTCATCATCATCCTTTGCCATGTCGATATTAAACTCATCGTCTGTAATGCCACTCATGTAAAAATCAAGGCTAGGTATTGCAAATCTATCACAAAAGGTCAGCCGAATCACCACTCATATTATTTCGGCGCTGCTGTACCTTTCAGGTTCTTTCAAACGGTTAAGATCTCCAAGGTTTGATTCTGCAGATAGGAAACTGAGGTCCAGTGAGCCCATAGGCGTGGCGCGAAGCCGCCTGTTGGCTGTTATTTTGGCAGCGCTAGACTGAGTATCCAAATGACTCTGGACGGGAACAGGCGGTCGTTCAATGGGAGGGCATCCTTCAGCTTTCCATCGAACCCAGTTTTTATCCCTTGTTAGTACAGTGTCAACCATTCGGAAGTAGAACTTCCCATCCGCGCCTTTTTGCAGATAGCTCGCAATAGATGATTTCATTTGTGTTGCCCATTTCGCCTTGACAGCAGACTTAGTTATTGCCAGACTTAATAACTTAGGAGAAATTATTGTATTACTCACGTCCTCATCACTCAACACATATCCATATAGAACGGATTTGTTTGTGGAATCCGCTAGTTTAGCCTTGGACTTTGGCGTTAGTGAAAGCAGAAAATCAAGAAGAATCAACGCTTGGACTAGAATGTGTCTGCGGAAAGACACATCATTGATCTATGCTGAAGTTAGTAGCAGGAATAACAACTCAGGTGTTGCTCACCATACCTCAAGCTCGAATAAATCCCTACTGGTTAGGTATTTGGGATTGAAGCTATTCGTTAAATCGGATCCCCCCTCACCTCTCTTGCGCTTGATACCTCGCCGTGATTCGTCTGAGCCCTTTGTCGTGCCACGAACCTCTAACTTAGAGCTGACTTTTCTAAAGCTTGAAAGCGTCGCTTCCAGTCCAGATTTCAAAGATGCAAAGTGTGTTGCGTCAAACAGTCTGATGGGTCTAGAAAAACTCTCTTGAAGACTCCAAAAGGCAGAGTAAAGGGCGTCAAGTTCAAGTTCTGGTTTATCATCATAAGATTCCTCTGCGCGCTGCACTGAAGAGTCAATGCCCGATTCCTGAGGTGTATGCACGGTTGTTGATTCCGGCTGGCTACCCTTGGCGGTTGAGAGTAGGGTTGTATTCTCTTGTTTATCTATATCCATCACTTCATCACCTTCCACCTGTGCCCTAGGTTGTAGGTCGAACGTTGTGACGTTTTCCGTGTGATATTCTCCCCTGAGGTTCACAGAACTCTTATCTCCCAAAGGGAAAGATTGGAAAAGAAAAATAAAAACCCTCCCACAAAAGACTGTGTCCTCTGCACGGGATAGTCTCCTCAGTAATTCATTACATGACCGGAGAATTATCAAGCTCTTTTGTTTGAAGTGTTTCTAGGTCTATCAGCCACTAAGCTTCAATCACAACTTCACCATATGAAGGAACTCACAGCAGTATTGCGTTCTCGCCTAGATTCAAGATAATCGAAGACCTTCCTACATCCGTCTATCGTTTGGCTATCCAAGAGTTCCTCTATAAGCCAGAATATAAGGCCAGGCTCGCATTTTTCTATTATAGAACACTGTTAGTATACTGGATGCTTAAACCCCCCGCCGTGGCCCACCGAGAAGCTTACCGTTATCCGAGAATATTGAGACAATGTCCAAAAGGTTCCATATTTGCATAAAGGACGGGTCATTGATGGATGTTGTGGCCTGATAGCAGCTGTGTTAGAAGATCCTTTTGCCAAACTCGGGGATTATAAGGGACGAACAAGCAGGTCGTAGAAGATTTCGCGAAATGCAGTCTCAACAGCTGCAAACTGAGTCTGCTGGTTGCTCCCACCTGGCGCACCATCGTCGCCAGTTAGAACACGATCGATAATGTCTCCTAAGCTAGCTTCCGTCACTGGTGGCTCGATTGAAGGTGTATCCTTGACCGAGCCAGCTTTCTCTAGCAAACTGTGGATGACATTTCTGTACACCTTCACAGCTCGGACATCCTTCCCAACCATTCTAGGCCCTCTTTAATTTCTGTTTCCGCCGACTGGCTGGTTTGCTGTTGAGCTGGACGAAGAAGCGCAAAGAGTTGTAATTGTCGACGTTGTTGCTCTCTTATTTTTTTTTTCCTCTTTGAGCTCTTTTAGAGCTTTTGCCGCACATGATCCGTGCACCGCGCCAAACCTTTTCGCCTAAGAAACAAATATCAAAACCAACATAATGGACCGTCATTTCTAGGAGCTGCTGCGCAAGAACAAGGCGCAATTTCTTTGGCTCTAATGACCGAACTACAGATGCGCCCGGCAATGGCGCGTGGCCTCGATGCCCGTCCAACGGTTAATGACTTTCAGGACGAGAATCCGTGGGTGTCTCTAGCTAAAGCTCACTGGTTGAAGCCTAGCAAAGTGCGCAAAGCGAGACCGGAAGTGGTCAAGAATGAGATCTGGGATCCTTTACAACGCGATGGATTTCCTCTCCACTCGCTTCTAATACTAGAAAATCTCCATATCCTCGAGAAGTACGTACATATGTGTTCTCGACCTCACTGATTGATTTGGCTGACATTTTTTCGCAAAAGGTTCCTTTGGCCAACATATACTGAAGAAGCATCGAATTACCATATTATGTTAATTGCGGTGATCGTAGGAATAAAAAGAAGGGAACATTTGCCTATTTGGAGTAAGTTTGTCGCAAACAAGAATATGCGTTTTTGAATACTTGTCTAACGGTCCTTTAGGCCATTTTTTTGACCGCCCTGCGGACTTCTCAACTCTCTTCCGGCGTATACTCTCCATGAATCTCGATGCTACACTACCGTTGCCTTCGAAAGTACACCTTCTTTCCTTTGTCATTGGTGCCTTCCAGTCACTTGAATGCAGCCAAATTCGCAAAGAGTGTGCTCCACTAGTCTCCATTTCTATATGGGAAAATCTTTTCAGCAAAGATTCCAGAGACAACTTGCTTCAGCAGTCAGGAGCGTTGAAAAAGGCGTGGCGATTGGCTAGTAAGCGATATGACTCTGCAGATGAACAAGGGAAGTCGAGGATACGGTTTGAAAGATCATGGCTATATTCGATGCTACTAGATTTTCTCCGGCGTACAAATCTGTCTCAAGAAGAACGCAATAACGAAGACAACACCAGGTTTTGCGAGAGATTCCTTGAGCTGTTGGTGGATCTCGAGAGCCAGCTCCCTACCCGGCGATACGTAAATGTGTTATTAAAGGATCTCAACATTCTGCCCGTTCTTCGCAAGAGCAAACTCTATAACCATGAGAAAAATACCCTTGTGAGAGATTTCTATGTCCTGTTGCGACGGTTTATCAACTTTTCAATCGACGATCAATCCGGTCAGCATCAATCGGCACAAGAGGCCTATGAGTTCCATTGTCAAGAACTAGCAAGACTTCAGAGAACAGCGCTTAGACACTTCAAGGAGGAATTGACGCTACTGGCATTAGCTAATTATGGATCGCTGGAGAAACGATCTGAGCTTGCGGAACATCTTCGCGGTATTGATGACTCGCAGCTGAAACGGTTATGCCACCTGTTGGGATTTAGGACCTCTTATCCAGATCACACCAATATCATACCTGACCGTGAACTACTCCTAGAAATCCTCCTTTTACATTTCGAACGGCGACCAACCTTTCAAGAAGTCACAGCTGAAGTCAACGTGCTTCCCACTGAGAATTCGCTGTATGATCCTGCCCTGGTTCGAAACGAGGCATACGATGGTTCCAGGCCCCTCGCAATCCCAAAGCTGAACCTCCAGTATTTAAGTTTAGCTGACTTTTTATGGAGATCCTTTCTTCTATACCGGTCAGAATCCTTCTATGAGATCAAGAGTGACCTAGAATCAGTAGTCAAGCGAATGCAGCCCAAAGTGGGACATGATGGTAAGGTCTCCTTTGATGGGTTCTCGAAGATGGCTCTGCCTATTTCAAGGCCTGCCATCATTGACGTTGCTCAGGCAAGAGTGGGCACCCTCCATCCAGCCTATGTTCGCTCGGAAATAACTCTTGAGGTTGGCAGACTTGGTGACACTATTCGGCAAGAATGGGAATCGCTTCGACCAGATGATGTTATTTTTTTGCTTTCAGTAGCCCCGAAAAAGACGGAGAAAGCAGCTTCCGTTATTAATCAACGATCTGAGTTTAAAGACAGTATCAGTATTTTGCACGTTCGAACTGGTGCTGTTGTTCAGATACTAGATGATAATGGGCGTCCGTTGCGAGATACAACACAGAGCAGAGCTAATGGATACCCTCAAAGACCTCGCCTCAGGAGACTTCTTGTGAACTTAGATGCAGTATCCTACAAAGCCGATCTAGATAGAGTCCAGAAAGGCAAACCAGATATCTACAACTCCATGAATGTGCTTGTACGCCGAAGGTCCCGCGAGAATAACTTCCGGCCTATTCTGGAAACTATGCAATCGCTGACCATTACTGATGCAGAACTTCCATCGTGGCTACAGGAAGTTTTCTTAGGCTATGGTGACCCAGCTGGAGCGAGATACACGGAGCTCGAGAACCGTGTAAAATCAGTCGACTACCGAGATACATTCCTTGATTGGCATCATCTTGTGGAGAGCTTTCCAGGGCAGAAAATTGAACCAACAGAAGACTCTACAACCATATTTGGGCCTCCTTATGTTCTTGATATAGTTGATGAATCGTCAAAAGCCGAAACACTGAATCCACCCAGGAAACGAAGACGAGACCAGGCGGAATCAGTTCAGTCATCCTCCAATTCAATACGAGTATCTACCTATAAACCTCCTAATCCCGGCCCCTATCCTATGGATGCCCCAAAAGTCAACCGGGTCCGATTTACTCCTGCTCAAGTTGAAGCCATTACCTCTGGAACTCAACCAGGGCTAACAGTAATTGTTGGCCCCCCAGGGACCGGCAAGACAGACGTCATCACCCAAATAATCAACAATATCTATCATAACTTTCCCCAAGAGCGTACCTTACTCATTGCGCACAGCAACCAAGCACTCAACCAGTTGTTCCAAAAGATTGTTGCTTTAGATATAGATGAGCGCCATTTACTTCGACTTGGCCATGGCGAGGAAGAACTAGAGACCGAATCTAATTTTGGAAAATTTGGTAGAGTCGAGTCATTTCTTGAGAATCGTGTGAAATATCTTGCAGAGGTTGACCGTCTTGCAGCTTCTATTGGAGCCGAAGGAGCCCATGGAAGTACTTGCGAAACAGCCGGATACTTTAATACTGTCTACATTCGACCGGCATGGATCAAATTCTGGGACAAGGCACTCTCCGAAAATTCGACAAGTGAGGACATTATCCAATACTTCCCCTTTCACAGCTTTTTTTCCAATACTCCTCAACCTCTCTTCCCAGCCGATGCCTCAAAAGAGACACTCGTAGATATTATCGAGGGGTGTGAGCGGCATATAGGAAAAGTTTTTTCTGAATTAGAAGATATACGGCCCTTTGAGATCTTAAGGCAACAGCGAGATAAAGCCAATTACCTCCTAGTTAGGGAAGCGAGGGTCATTGCTATGACCTCGACACATGCCGCAATGAGACGACAAGAGATTTCTGACCTTGGTTTCCACTATGACAGCGTGGTTATGGAGGAAGCGGCACAGATCACAGAAATTGAAAGCGTGATTCCATGTATGATGCAAAAGACGAAAAGCGGAGAATTCCCGCTTAGGCGAATTGTGTTATGTGGTGACCATTTACAAAACTCTCCGATCGTTCAAAATATCGCATTCCGTCAGTACGCCAACTTTGAACAAACGCTATTCCTACGGCTCGTGAGATTAGGTGTACCTACCATCAACCTCGATCAGCAAGGTCGGGCTCGCCCCTCTATTGCAGAGCTATTCAAGTGGCGGTATGAGAAACTAGGCAATCTCCCCATTGTAGAATCTCAAGAAGAGTTCAAACTTGCCAATGCCGGTTTCCGGTATGACTGCCAGCTCATCAATGTGCCCGATTACCAAGGCCAAGGTGAAAGAGAACCGACTCCTCACTTTATCCAGAATCTTGGTGAAGCTGAGTATGCAGTTGGGATCTATCAATACATGCGATTACTTGGGTATCCGGCATCTAAGATCTCGATTCTAGCCACATACGCCGGTCAGAAGGCATTGATTAAAGATGTTTTAAGCCACAGGTGTGCAAAAAATCCTCTTTTTGGTCTGCCAAAAATCGTCACAACTGTAGACAAGTACCAAGGTGAACAGAATGATTGTGAGTAATCGACCGTATTCCATCTCGGTACAAATATTACCGGCTAACACAGTTGACTTAGATATCATTCTCTCACTAACCCGCACTAAGACTGTGGGCTATCTCCGAGATGCGCGACGATTAACGGTAGCACTATCACGAGCACGCCTAGGGCTCTACATTCTAGGCCGGCGAGAGGTCTTTGAATCATGCTTCGAACTCAAGCCAGCGTTTGATATCCTAGCTCAACGGCCAGATAAGCTAATGCTTATACCAAATGAGCTATTCCCAGCGACAAGAGCTGTCGACTCTTCAGATAACGAAGGTACTCCAATGGAAAACCTGGAGCATCTTGGCCAGTATGTATTTGAGATGACCCAGGCAAAAGTGAAGGCTCTTGGGGTAGGCCCGACAGTCGAAGCCAACGATGAAATTGATGGGCCAATCGGAGAATCTGACGAGGAAGATGACACTGCGCGTGAAGGCGCAATCGAGTAGCGCATGTTCTTGGTATTTAGTTATCCGACCTTTGGTCTATTTATTGTATGAACAGCATACTATGTATTTCTTTCGAGTATGTAAACACACCAGATGTTAAAGCATCACACCTATAATGAGACAACGGTTTGTAGTTCTATTATGTATATTCTGGCCTATATAAATTTAGCTCATATGCCTTGGGTTGATTTACATCCGCTAATTGGCCCTGTCAGCCATGTCCCGACAATTTTAACAACTTGTTGAAGCCAAGAACAAGCTATTCAATATCTTGTAGCCATCCGGGATTCGCTAAGAGAGTCTAATTTAGAAACTTTGAAACCTGGAAAAAAGGGGTAAGAAGCTTGCGAGGGACTTACTTTCTCAGTGTCCACATATATCAGGGCTTCTTTTTTTCTTCCATGATGTTTCTTGGGTCCCTGAAGGCTTGTGCGATATACCTACCCATATAACGGGAAATCATAAGCAATAATTCGTTCCAGCTATATATCATGAGTGCCTTACTTCGTATGGCTGCCCCTTGCCACAACTTTATCCGCTGTGTTGGTAAATTTTATGCTTGTATAGGCTAACCTGTTGCCAACTATAAGGGAAAACAAAGTAAAGCTCGTTAGTTAGGAACTCCAAATCGCCAAACCCACCAATGATAACTAACGATAATAATAATATTCCATTTGAAACTTCGAAGAAAAGGTGAACTTACACTTATCGCATGTTACCTCCTAGAGCGGCTTAGTTAATGTAATATGTAATTCCTCAAGCCTGTTAAGTAGAGATCACCTACAGCCAGTATCTTGTCGCCAATCTTCCCACCTGAGCCCAGATACGTGACTGGTAATGTGGTCAGAAGCGCTCGTATCCAAGAAGGCCAGGAAAAACAATCGTACCATTCAAATCAGTCGATACGCCAGTCGCAAAGAGGCCATGAGAGGCGACAGCAAGCGACCCTCCAAGATCCACTACAAGCAAATTCTCGTTAAAAAAAAAAAAGGAAGCTATAAGGGAGTGACTTGATTCGTGCATACCCATGCTGGCGATTGTGCCTCCATGAAGGATTCCCAATCGGTTCTGGAGCAGAAGAGCATCAGCTGCATATCAGAAAATTCCCCCAAGCCCGTGTCAGATATAACGACATACTGTGTGTTCTTTCTGCACATCCAGCTCAAAATTGACCGTTCCTGGACGAGCTGCAGTGATCCGTAGCTAGACACTGGATCAGCATCTCTTATAACACACCCTCTTCATACTTCCAGGCCCTGTCAGGTCAGTAGAGGCAGGCCGGAGACCCTGGACTTCTCAGGCTCCCTAGAGGAAGTACCCCAGTGTCTGATGAACATGTAAGAAGAGGCAACGTACGTTGTCCAGCAGCCTACGTATTTGCTCCTGTTAGCCATGGACCCATGCATCTGGTAGTATCATTACTCCGTACGCTCCATCCGCCGTACCTTGGTTCCAACCCAGAGGTCGCCCGAAAATTTGCCCATACCTAGAGTCAAGCCAACCGGATAAGCCTGGTGTCGACCAAAGAGCTCTTCACCCAACACATACCGAGTTAACAAACTTCAGCGTGGCCATCGTCTCGTCCGTCTTCCTTTTACCGTTGATGTATGTACGTATCAGTATTTATACGTAGTTGAACAGAACTTGCATCTTCGTCTTTTATGTGGATGACTAATCCTGCGTCTCCCATCCAGTCCAACCATCCAGAACACCCAAGAGTCAGCAACCAGTCGTGTTTTAAATACGTCTGCTTCATACAGATACTCCGTCCCTCTTTGCATATACACTGCGTATTTTGACTGGTAGGTTGCAGGCACCCTGTACTGTCTTTTTCCACCGGCGCTAGCCTCGGACGTGGCCGCATCATGAAAGACCGTCCAACTGACCCATAACTACATAGTACTATGTATGTATGTCTATACCATAGTAGACAGATAGACAACCCGCTGGATGGAGTCTTGAACATGTTACAGACCTGTGAGCCGAAACATGATGACAGCGAACTAGAAACACGGACGGGGTGCTGATCCAGGCTTCTCTGTTGCGTCCGCAGGGAACGAGCCCCGTGTTCACAGGGAGACGGCCAAGCAGCCATTCATTCAGACTTTCGCTGATATAATAACTGCTCAGCTATTATTATGGGCCCCAGGTCATCGATATACCTGGACTAGGGCACGCTCCGTCTATATCTATGATGATATAGGGGTAGCGAGTTTGGAAGGCTCTTGAAACAGAAGCAGAAGCAGGGAACGGACACCGACCAACATCCAACATCATCCACAGAGCCCTGGCTAGGCGCCTTCGAAAAGATAGAATAACTAGTTATACGTGCCTTTACTGATGTCTATAACCCATCATTAGGCTTTTCTAGCTGCCAGAACCAGCCGAGGAAGAGCCTTTCCACCAAGGACCTCTGCCACCCCATGTCGGTGGCTGCAGCGGCGCGGGAACTGTAAACTAAATCGATGGAACCCCGAAGTTTCTGCAGGACATTAAATGCCACGCTACTGTGTACGTCTTGGGCAGCTGCATAAGCCGGCTTTGTGCCGTTTTTCTGCTGTAATCGGAGGGTTTGATGGGAGTACGAGATGAGCTTTGAAAAAAAAAAAAAGTTATATATACCAATCGGTCCCTCCCCTCGTCCGGTGGTTTCGCCTTTCTCTCCAGGCGTCTCTTTTCGACTCGCTGAGGCAAATAGAACACGATAAGATGCCGTCCTCTTTCCTCCAGCGACTGGAAGTTCCCCATCCTCCTGGCCAGCCGCGCCCAACATGGCTGCTGAACAACGATATAAAGCCCATAGAGAAAGACAGGCGCACATGGAGTATGTTCAGGAAGGGACATTAAGCTGTCCTAGCCCCCGTCTCTTTTGATCTAATAAAGGATAAAGGGCTAACTATGTGTTATTAGGCTGGCATGAATACTTTTCGTTTTGGTGCGTCGGTGCTTTTAATATTACAAATTTCCAATTGGTAAGTCGGCGACCTTTCTTTGCTCGATTGGCGTACTCAAGAAGATCAAGTTATTAAAGAAAATAACCCAATAATCTGACTTCTCCCTTGCGTAGGGCTCTGCTCTTCTGGCTACTGGGCTTAATTGGTGGCAAACTACGGTCGCAACCTTAATTGGCCATATCCTTGCGTCCATTCTCATTGTTGTCACCAGCTTCCCCGGACTGGAATACCAGATTTCATTCCCAGTTGCTATGCGCATTAGCTGGGGTGAGTACGGAATCCAGCTCGAGTACCAAAACTTTGTTCGGGATGTTCTTCTGACTACCCTCCTCACCAGGCTTCTACGGATCTGCTTTTGTTGTTCTGAATCGCATCTTGCTTTCGATTGTCTGGTTCGGAGTGCAATCATGGCAGGGTGGGCAGATGGCATATGTCTGTATTCGTGCCATCTGGCCTAGTATCGACAAGATACCTAATACTATTCCCGCTAGTACGGGTATGACACTACCGGCTTTCGTTGGATTCGTCGTCTTTTCCGTCATACAAGTCCCATTCTTGGTTCTCGGCCCTGGCCGACTAAAGTACCCGCTACATGTCGGTGCTATCGGTGGCTTCATCTGTCAACTTGTCCTCGTAGCATGGGCTGGTGGTACCAAGGGCTCACAGGGCTTCGGCGAGATTCTTGATAGCACGAATAAACTTAGCGGCAGCGACGCCGGCTGGATGTTTCTCCTCGGCATTGGTTCAACAATGTCTAGTATTACTGCAGGGACCTTGAGCATTGGTGACTACGCCCGCTTTGCTCGGAAACGATCCGCTGGCATTTGGTCCCAGGGAATGGGAGCGTTCCCCGCCTGGCTAGCAAACGTGATGGGCATGTTGACAATTGCAGCCACTCAGAAGCGATATGGAGCCGCTCTCTGGAGCGTGGCCAGTCTTTTAATGGCGATTCAAGATGCTGACCCTAGCTCTAAGAACCGTGTTGGTATCTTCTTTTGCGCCTTTACCTTTGGGATCACACAGCTCGTGCTCAATATCTCCGGAAATTCCTTCTGCGGAGGTACCGATATGTCTGCCTTGCTTCCGAAGTATATAAATATTCGGCGTGGACAGGCTCTGACGGCTATTTTGGGAACGGTGATCAATCCGTGGTACCTCTTGAGTGGAGCGCTTGTCTTTATCTCTGTGCTGTCTTCTTATGTCGTCTTCCTACAGCCTTTCGTTGGCATTGCGGCAGCTCACTACTTCATCATACAAAAACGACGACTTAAGGTCCCAGATCTTTATATTACTGGAAACGAGTCAATTTACTGGTATAACTATGGCGTGAACTGGAGAACCGTCCTTGCGGTAAGGCCTTTTTTTCACCTTTGGAGAATTATATCCACCCCTCGTCATTAATACTAATTTTTATTCTCTTCATTAGTGGGCCATCGGGGTTGCTCCTCATATGCCTGGAATGGTGCATTCTATAAACCCAAAGCTTGCTGTCACAGCTGGAGCATCCCAGCTATATTACATCGCTTCCCTAACCGGTTTCTTTATCCGTAAGTTAATCCAACAAGACGTATGTGGCAACATTACTTACCTGTTTAAATCCTTCAGCTTTTACCATCTCAGTGCTGCTTGACTACCTTGTGCCAGTCCAGGCGCAGAAAAACTTCATCCAGTCAGTTTCCATACGGGAAGCTCAAGATATAGCCAGTGAAATGGCGGAGTCGAGTGAAAAGTCTGCCGTGGGAACAGCAGATTTTACTCCAGACAGAAATAGTAGTGTTGAGCACAAGGTCCCAAAGACAGATTCCAGGTCTCTCTGTTAACGCGAAAGATCCTGTTATGAAGGCTGTCTTCTGCCGAAAGCTCCCTACTCCAGCATATGTTTATACTTCATGTTTTTAGAGATTAATTCTAACACGCACCTGTATTTGCTGATATTAGCCGCTTAGAGTGATCCAGTGACTCTGCTAACATTTTTAATATATATTAATTCCTATCACACTCTTATATTCTTCCTTCTACCGATTTTCCCATCTCATAGTGAAGCCTGTTGTGTATTATGTAATCCGCATGCCTTTTAACCTCAGATTCGTTATTCTTTTGTTTCTTCCATGCGTTGAAAATTAATTCTGATCAAGGTAGGATTATACCCGCTATGATAGATCGATAAAAACCTGCTGCACGGCAGAGTCCTCTTCTGTCTAGCTGTACACGATGGCGGCCGTACCGTTCCGCCCGTTAGAGTACCTGGAGGGTCGTCCAGGTACTACCTTTCTGAAGCTGTATCAGCAACCTTCGACAGCTCTTGCGGTGTTTCGACGGATGCTACCACATCTTGGTATGGCCCAGTTCTAAGATAATAACGAGGTTTTGCTAATAATATCTTAGCAAAATGCTTTGTCATGGCACTGCTTTACCTCAAAGATCCCCTTCCAGCAACCGAACTAGAGTTATGGGTTAGATCGGATAGCAGACGGTATTACACTTATTTCTAAGCCCAGGATCATAGGGAAATACCTACTAATCGAAGAGTTGAATATAGTGAAAGAGATAACTCGCTCTCAATTCTCGGCCGCCTACATATACTTTCGAGCACAACCACCTCTAATCATGTTCGCGCCTACATGGTCACAGAACCGTTTTCTACCTCTCTACGGCAAGCTCTTATGGGAGAGGACCAACGCCACTCGTTTGGAGTTATATCAATGACTCCTGATAAGCACCATGTCTCCGTTGCAGATTTAGATGAGTATGCAAGGCAGCAATGGGAGGCCGTGCTTGGGTATATGGTTGGGATGAGCTCATTAAGCGGTGGACGGGAAACTATCACCCTGAGTAAAGGAGTAAAACAACTTCTTCAGGCATGCCATCTGGTTGAGATCCGGGATCGAAGAGTTGAAATCACAAAAGAGGGGTTCGCTTTCGTTTTACAAGATGTCAATACCCAGGTCTGGCATATTCTAATACTCTACGTTGAGAATGCAGAAGCTATCCACATGGAGAGTGTCGAGGTTCTATCATTCATTTTCTTACTTAGCAGTCTCGAGTTGGGCCAGTCTTATGAGAAGAACGACCTCACGCCTACCCAGCTTCGAACGCTTGCTGATCTCACCGACTTTGGCATCGTATACCAGCATACACCGGCTTCGGGATCAACTCGATTTTATCCAACGAGGCTGGCCACTACACTTACCTCCGACTCTCTGGCTATGCCAGGCCCAGTCTCCGGCGAACCCGTCGTCCCAGCACCCAGCACAGGCCCCACCTCAGCCACTGACGGAGGGACTGGATTCATCATCGTCGAAACAAACTACCGTTTATATGCATACACTTCATCCCCTCTACAGATATCTTTAATCTCCCTCTTTACGACCCTAAAGTTTCGATTCCCGAACCTTATAACGGGCAAAATAACCAGACAGTCTGTCCGTCGAGCCATTGAAATGGGCATTACTGCTGACCAAATTGTGTCGTATCTCACAACGCATGCTCATCCACAGATGCGTAAGACAAAAAAGTCTACCTCAAATGTTGCAGCTTCGATATTACCACCTACTGTTGTCGATCAAATACGGCTTTGGCAACTAGAAAGAGATCGAATAAAAGCAACGTCTGGGTTCCTTTTCAAAGAATTTGACACCTTTGCAGAGTTTGAGGCCCCTTGCAAATATGCTGAAGAGATCGGTGTATTGGTGTGGAGGTCTGATTCGAGGAGGATGTTTTTTGTTACCAGGCATGAACAAGTCGCTGCATTTCTACGTAGTAGAGCGGCCTCGAGGGGTTAGAACGAGAGAGAGAGAAGTGCATGGGACTATAGAAAGCCTGACACACAGCTTTTATCTCACAATATTCGTTAATGAAGAATTCTGGTAAGCATCCAATTGGTAGGTATACCTTCCAGCAGCTTTTCCAGGGTTACGACGGCGCACGATTGGGCGAATTGATTGATGTACGGATTATTTTATTTCAAATAACTGCCTGGAGCAAGGCTAACTAAGAAACACACCCTTTTTTTGGATTCCTCCCATTTTCCTCGTTTTTTTCCCATGACTTTTGTTTTCCCTTGGTTGACATCATTTCAAATTCATCAAATAATCAACATTGGTTTGGAGCTCCGCACAAATAGCAGCTGGGATTTTGAATCACCAACGGCAAATGCAGCACCATCCGTACATGGAATCTGCATTATTCAACTGACGTCGACTTCTTCTTAACCGAAACTCTTTCGGACCGAGCGGAAAATATCCATGACCCCAGTTTCACCTTTTCCACCAGTCTTCTCAGATTTAGGGTATCCCTTATCGATTTCAGTGGCGAAGCGCTGGGAAAATTTGCGGCCGAAACGTCTAGAGTACGCGTCTTTGAACTCAGTCAAGCTAGCACTGGCTTCAGAAGTGAGGCAAGCTCTCTCCAACACCATAAAGGCACGCTTGATGTAGTAGTCGTCCAGATTGACAGACATCGGAGCCTTGCCTTCGATGGTATTACCTGCGATTCCATAGCCAGTGAGAGGATCAGGCTCGTTGAAAGCGGCTTCATAGCGGAAACTGTTCATCAACGTAACAAGTCTCCCAAGCCAGTAGCCGTATGGCTTCGCAACTTTGACCTTTTACAAGTTATTTCCCGTCAGCTTTGTGAATAAGGCATATAAAGATTGTTAGTGAAGGTACTACTTACCACTTTTATATCAACAATGTCACCAGGAGACGGAGCTTCGACGGAGGCGCTGCGCTGAGAAACACGTCCATACTTGTCGACGGTCAACGAATCCGCATTAGGGTCCTCACAGTAACACTGGGCCCCTTTGTGGATTGGATAGAGAGGGGGCTCAGGCAGGATATCTGCCTTTGGGTGGAGGATTCCCAGGGTCTTGCTCTTGGGCAGTTGACGAGGAGGAACGAGGTTTGGTCGACGGTCTCTAAAAGCTTCAACGGACCCTTTTTCAGACTCATCAATGGCTCTCTGAATGTCTTTCGGCATTCCGATGGCACCATCATTGGGCCCCTCGTAGCTGGGCAATTCCTTGGGACCATTGAGTGAGTAAAGAGGAGGGCAGGATGGTTTTGGGCCAGCGGCATTCTGCAAGGATGGGAAGTAGAGCGAAGTCGATTTTGGCAGCGGGATGCTGGTCTTGTAGGTAGCCTTGATTGTGGCCTGAGATGAAGTATCCGAAGCCGAGTCAGGGGAATAGTTGAAGGGTGCTGCTTCATTTGCCTTCACATCACCACCTTCATGAACCTGAACTCCACGTAAGGCCTTCAACTGCTGATACCCAATAAATGGCTTCTTTTCCGATTGATATGGGTTCAGGTTTTCCATTTGTGTCTGCCCAGTTAATGGCCAACGTGGGTTGGTAACAGTAACTGGCTTTGGGATGCATGACACCGCCCCTCGAGATACATACGCTGGCAAGGGAGGCAAAGGAGGCTCAGAAGAGTTCACTCCAGCTGACTGAGATTTAGCTGCTTGTTTTGGATCGAAGATGCCCTTGGTTCGGACTGGAAGTGAGCTGCTTCTAGTAGCAGGTGCAGTGCCAAACATGGGGTTCCCATCACCTGCTTCCCCATCTGACTGACGACGGATCAGGGGCTGCAGTGCATTTTTAGCAAATTGATGAAACGAGGTCGTCAAAGACGACTTCCTGCCAGACTTCGCAGCATCTTTGCCTCCCTGGAGCAGCGGGCGGGAAGACGAAGGAGACGGGGTCTCCCGCAAGTATCTAGATCGAGGCATCTTCCACTATCTCGTTGCTTTGTCTTTGTGGAAGCTCCCTTTGACCTTTATATCATCAGCTGGGCAAAACCAGCAAACCTGCACAGATTAACAGTGCAGTATGAAGAGAAAGAGGTTGTTGTTAGTGAGAAGAAGTTGTTTATAGAAAATTTTTATCATTTCCTTATTAGGACGGGAAAAAATTAGCAGGACGTGTATTGTGGCACGCCTGGACGACATAAGCATGCGTAACGCAGTAGGGCAATATCAAACCAAAAAAAATGTAGAGCTAATCTGGCTATTATGGCCATTGTCACTAGATATAGTATAAGCATCTGTTGAGCACTATAACATAATGCCCCCTGTTATTTATATCTATTCACTGCTGGTCATGATTGTTCCTTCGGCCACTTTCACAGCACTGCCCTGAAGATAGACAGTCTCGATCTCCTTCTTATTCTCCTTCAGTATAACCTGGATGCCTATCTCGCTTCTCTTCCCCATCTCAACGCCCTGGATGATCGTATAAGTCTCCTGGCCCTTTGCATTTATCTCGGGATCAGTGAGAGTCAGGTAGGATGCTAGTCCACTTGCAGCACTTCCGGTAGCTGCATCCTCCAGATTTCCAGCCATCATGCGAGAACGAATGACCTTCTTCTGAAGCTCATCATCCCATACATCTCGAACGTAGAAATAGACCGAGACGTGGCCCTCGACATCCCAACCGTCGTCTAAATAACCTCCGTCTGCCACACCTTTGGAATGGATAGATTCGGTTGCCGTTGTGGCCTGAGCGAGTGTCTCGAGATTTGGGAGGCGGATATGCACTGCGGTCATCCCCTTGACTACGGACACCACTGGAAATCCATCCTGACAGGTTTGAGCATTCAGTGACGATGCCAGACTTGGATGGAGTTGCAGAACATCCGACAGCGGCATCCGGGTGGAGTGGATATGGACATTGTGCGGGATTGAAGCAGAAACTTTGCTCGGATCCCCTGGCATGACCGAGATCGGTATATTTCCAGCTTTGGTGATGAGTCCAGCAGGGTTATTGTTTTCCTTGGAGTGGACGAGTAACCATGACGCAGCGCCGATTGTCGGGTGGCCGGCAAACGGAAGCTCCTGGTCAGTCGTAAAGATGTCTATCTTTCTGGCCTGGCCGGGATCAGAACTCGCCGGATGGAAAAATATAGTCTCTGAATAGTTGAATTCTGTTGCTAGCAGCTGCTTCTGCTCTTGAGTAATCGGGTTAGACTCAGAGAGAAAGACGACGGCCAACGAGTTACCCTTGAAGCGTTTGGTGGTGAACACGTCCAATGTCACATACCGGAGAGCGGCTGCCATTTTCCGTAGTCGCTGAGGATATCACCGAGTAGATGCTGCTTTCAACAATCTCTATACATAGTACAGAGAGAATATATATAAAAAGTTGTTTGGTTGCGTTCATCATTTCTCGTATTTCGCTGGTTAAAGGGCGTGCGATGAGGGGGGCTGAAAGCTAAAAAAAAACTCCCGAAACGCCGTAAAGCCGGATTGAATATATTATTAAAGAGTGTAACAATTCATCCCCCAAGTTGCACGCCTTGTAAATGCAGCATAAGATTATACACCAAGAAGCCATTAACCAAAGCCCGTTTACTCTGAATCACTGTCAACCATGAATCCAGCCATCATTTTAGGCCGTCGTGATCGTGTCATCGTGATAGGTTCATCGTCATCCTCATCATTGTCATCATCCTGTTCACCTATAGATTTAGCAGGTATGTCGGCCGCAGTAGATGACCACTGGAACGTCGGCGCTGGCGATTTTTCTCCAATATCAAATATGAGGTCGTCTTCCGTAGATGTCGGTGGAGTCTGCGCTCTAAGTTGAGAGGTAGCGCCCAGTTCTTCAACATCACTTCCAGACGCTGGGTTCTGGCTCCTTGCACGCTTCCTTTGGCTGCTAATTTCATCTTCCTCGTCACTGTCACTTGAAATAGCCTGTTTTCGTTTCCCCTTCGCCTTCCCGGTTCTCTCCCCTAGTATATCTAAAGCCATTGCGTCCTCTGTTCGCTGGGCCTGCCTTTTCCGTCTTTCTGCCTCTCGCGCAAAGAATTCTTGATCAGCTTCATCATCAGTTTCATCATCACTAGCATTAACAAAGAGGCTACTCTTGATCTTCTTTTGTCGTTCAAGTGCGTTCTGCTCACGCGCTAGTCGGCGAGCGTTTAAAGCTTCCTCGTCAAGGTGATTGTCTTCATCCTCATCTCCCTTCTTGCCCTTGCGCCTCTTTTGTTTCAATTCTTTGAGTGCTTTTGACTTTGAACGGAGATTTGGAGGGAAGAGCACTTGATCAAGGCCTAGGTCTTCTCCCTCAGAATCACTGCCAAAGTTAACATGGGCTGTAGAGTCGTCATTGTTGGTGGCCGTGCCAGCTATACGTTTTCGACGTATAAGCGTGTGAGGGTCGACCCCATCAATTTCAGGGGCTGGATTATCACAATGTTGTTGAATAGAATTGTGGGTCTCCTCGAGCACTGCGGATGAAATGGAACCAGGTATACTCCAAGGGGTGCCCAAAACATCTTCACCAGCCAGCACCAGGCCGGCAAGCGTGAAAAGGAGACGCAAACGACCATTTTTAAACATTGCTGTTTTGCATTTTTCGTCAGGGCCAGAAACCTCTATTAAATGGTTAGTCAAGGTGGAGCCAAAATGATTCTTTCAACAAATACCTATTGCGGGTGTGCTTGGGGCAATATCGACAATATCGGCTGCATCTTGTGTCCCCCGTGCCAGATCCGCGAGCTCCCAGCTCTTCCTATCTTTCAGCGCGTTATCAAGGATCTCACATAACCATCGAACCAAGTCTTCACTACCATCTGCAACCAAGCTTGACACGACAATTCGGATGTTTTCGTCAGTCGTTCTAGTAGCATTAGGTTTGATCTCCAACTCTGCAGCAGGTCGAGATGTAACTGTCAGTGTCTGTTTGTCGTGGCCGTATTCCAAGTAATGCACAGTAGCAGGAATTTTGCTAAACAATAGCTCTGTAATTAACTGCGGCCGCTCGTCAATCTTCCGGAAAAGCTTCTTTAGGATTTGGCGAACAAGTTCTTCCCATTCCCCAAAAACAGGATTCGAGGAGGCTAGGCCCTCCGGCCCCTTTATCATCCTAGTGAAGAGTGCTATGATGTCTAGCCTGAACAAAAGCACGCTCAACTCTTGTTTAAATGCAACCCTGTAGAAAAATCGATGCGCACGTTTCAGCTGCTCAGTATCCAAATCGCGATAGTAGGACGCTAAGGCAACAAAGGTGTTGACAGAACTTTGTGTGCAAAACTTAGAACAAAACCGTTTAAAATCAAACGATCTCTCTGCAACACTGCGAACAGCTTCTGCCCTATCCGCTGCTTCTTCGTCCTCCGAATTATCAAATCCATCATCCTCTTCTCCCATGTTCTCTTGGCTCTGATTTTGCACCTTTTTCTTACGCCTTGATATTCGCTTAGATCGGACTTGCATGTCCACATTTTGCTTTGAATATTGCTCTAACATCCGAAGGAAAACATGCGCGAGCTCTGTGCAGGCGTCAAGATACCAAAACCCTTGGCCTTTATAACCTCGTAGGGTAGACAAAATCCTGTCGTGGGTTGATTCTTCATAGAAAATGCGGCTTTGGATATTCTCAGCAATCTCTTGGTCTTCTTCAAGAGCGGACTTTGCCATTTCTTGAACTGTAAGCAGAGTTTGTGTAAATGATAACATGCCAGCATTAAGGTCCTGCCATTCTTTGTTGTCGAGACTGGTTTGCATGAATCGATTAAGGGCAATAAAGGTTTCCTGGTTAAGGACACTCGCTACAAGAGCAAAACTGTCAGGTTCGATCTCTTTTGCAGAGCCAGTCGCCTTTCGGCGAGCTTCCTCTTGCTGCGCACGGCGCGCCCGTTCGGCATTTAAAAACCAAGAGCCGACGAAGAAAAAATGCCGGGACGAAGATTCGGTCAGACGGTCAGACTCTCGCTCCATAGCTTTTCGTATACTGGTCATTAGAGGATTGAACCCCGAATCAAGGAACTCTTCAACAAAAAGTCGAAGATGGTGGAGAGCAGAGGAGGTTAGGTGAACCTGCATGTTAAAATTATTCGACGTTTCATCCATCACCGGCCGTCTCCCTCTCGGTTTATTCCATCTCTTAGTTTTATCCATCTTGTCAAACGCCGCTTGGTCATTAAGTAGAACATCTTGGCCCGATACAGAAGACACCTTTTCATCCTGTCGTTTTACCCAGATCATAGTTCCAAACCTGCCATGGCGAGTTGGGGCGTGCTTTGAACGATCACGGGTTAAAGAGCTTTCAGCATCCATTAGTCCTTTCAGTTCATCAGTGCGGGTTGCACTACGTTGGCTGTTGTCCATGAACAGTTGTTTAACTTCAACGCCTTTGATGAGATGAAACAATATCTCGAGAAGGATAACATCCTGGAAGGTGAACTCCTCTTCAATGTTTGAACATAGTGTGAGTAGCATGGCGAATACGTCTTGATTATGAAAAGCATTGATTGTCATTGACCTTGACGTTTCATCTTCGTCGCCTTCCACTAAAAGATTTGGGGTAGCGTTGATTATTGTCACATTTCTAAATAAATATAGGACAAGTTTCAAAATTCCTTCGTCTCGCGATGATCTTTCCGGTCGAGGGGTTGTTATGCTTGGGAGGCCAATGCGGATAATTGACCGGAGAATAGAGTTAGAAGGATGGCCGAGTATCCCTCGTTTATAAGAAATCTGGGCGCGCTGGAGGTAAGGGGTGTGTCGATGGTGGTTAATAGTCATTTCGCTATGGATTTCAACTGGCCATGTTAAGGGAACGAGCAATTCTACTAAGCAAACATTAGCCATATTCTGCAACAAATTTCTACGTATAGACTGGGGTTGCGGCCTCACAGCATGCCAAAGTAATCCTTGACTTGTACTTGTCTGTCGGCTTAACTTCATCCCATAGAGCCAAAATCGGTATTAAGTCGCCATTGACAAGGTTGCTCTCGGCCAGGCATCTGGCAACATCCAGCCGATTCAGTTTCTCGTCGTAGAACCGTAGCCATTTCTTAAGATCTCGCAGACACCCCAGTGCATCATCTCCAAGAGTATAACGTCCAGCTTCATCGTTCGCAGATCCGCCAAGCTACCATACATCCGTCAGTCCTAGCACACTGGGAGACGCTATAGATATGAAGCAGGCTACTTTACCGCAGTGACAAGGCTGTAGATGAATGAGCGCACTTCGGGGTCAACCACCTGGTCGCCCGCCTGCGCAACCAGCGGCTCAGCATCCATTACTTAGAATGAGTAGTATCTAATACCTCAATACTCCTCGTACCAATTAGTTTGTTAATTAGACATCTTGACTTGTAAGGGAGGATCAATATTATTTATTCTTTTAACTGTCGTTGAGCTGTTTTTTTCAATTAAACGCCAAACGCCAAACGCCAAACGCGTCAACTTGAGACGCGCTTCGGGAACGGTAAAATTATGATCCGCTAACCCCCGAAAATAGCCGCAAGCCGGAGAAAAGTGACGTCGCCGAGGCTCAACTCCACGTGAAGCGATCTTTCAACATAACAACAACAGACAACTTCCATCACTGCTGCGGCTGGGTTTTAATATTCTTCTACCTTTTCAATACGCTCAGTGCTTAGTCCACAATGTTCCGAAGCGCAGTTGCAGGACGTTTGTTGGCGGTCAGGCCCTCAATTGGTGGGGTTCGTGCGTTTAGCTCAACTCCTGCGGCACAAGTGGCCGCCGAAGTCAAGAGTCTCGGAGTAGTTGGCGCTGGACAGATGGTATGAACAATTTAACCCGTGCTCGCACTCAATGGACTTTGCTGTTGATAGTTAGTTTCTATAGGGTCTGGGAATTGCGTTGGTTGCTGCGCAAAAGGCAAATATCCCCGTTACTTTGGTTGACAACTCCCAAGCGTCTTTAGACAAGGGGCTCAAGTTTGCCGGTAAGCAGTGTTCCGGGAAGAGACCTTATAAAATTACCAGTATAGAGCTTCGACACTGATGGGAATACAGAAAAACTCCTTGCCAAAGATGTTGCAAAGGAGCGCATCACACAGGAGACTGCTGACAAGGTCCGCTCAATGCTCACCCCAACCACAAAACTCGAAGACCTCTCAAGCTCCGACTTCATTATCGAGGCTGTCCCTGAAATCCCAGATCTCAAGACCTCGATCTTCTCCAAGCTGGTTCAAATTGCTCCTGCTCACGCCATCCTTGCCACAAACACTTCCTCCATCTCAATCACTCGAATTGCCGCCGCAACTACCAATGATCCCAAGGACCTTTCTGGCCCATCCCGCGTTATTTCTACTCATTTTATGAACCCCGTCCCCATCCAAAAGGGAGTGGAAATTATTACCGGCCTTCAAACTTCCCAAGATACCATCGACACCTCTCTCGAGCTGATGAAGCGAATGGGTAAAATCGCCGCTCGATCCACAGACTCACCTGGATTCCTAGCAAACAGAATCCTTATGCCATATATCAACGAGGCAATCTCATGTCTGGAGAATGGGATTGGCACCAGGGAGGATATTGACAGTATCATGAAATACGGAACTAACGTTCCCATGGGCCCCCTGACTCTTGCTGATTTCATTGGTATCGATACATGTTTGGCCATCATGAATGTTCTGCACCAAGAAACTGGAGACAGCAAGTACCGGCCCGCAGGACTGTTGAAGAGAATGGTTGACGCCGGCTGGGTGGGCAAGAAGGCTGGAAAGGGCTTTTACGATTATTAATTGCACTCTAAAAGGTTGAGGTTGAGGTTACTTCAGTTAAGTGAGAACCGTTCGAGTCTGTAATTTATGGTGAAGGTAGACGTTGCAGGTGATAAAATATCAATGTGTTAAGCATATAGACCGCCACTTAGGATTAAAGTATTAAATTTTGAATTCTGGCAATTTTTCTAGTAAATTCACCGTATAGCAGAAATGAAGCCTTATTCAATATCTACATTACTACCTAAGAGTAAGAGCAACAAGCTTTGTGTCAGAATATTTCAGGGGGGGATGGGAGCCAATTTACATAGGAGTAGGAAATGGACCAAATAAAGAATAGTAATAATTAGTTAGGGTATATACAAAAAAGAAAGAAAAATTCACCTACCAGCCCCATTGGCACGAGACAACAGACCTAGCTATCCGTAACTTTCATTAATCATCGATACACAAGCTGCGACTGGCTCGACATATGTCTTAGTCCATTCTTCGGCATACCTAACGATGGGCTCCTTGGAGATACACCACCGCTGGTCTTAAGGGCATCGGAGCCAGAGCGTTTATATCCAAACTCAGTCAGAATTGGGGGTGGTGATAGGGGCGACTGGGGCGTTTCTCTGCCGCTTGTAAATGATTGTGTCGTGCCTGAATGGCTGGAGTTGTTCGCGGACGAGTATCTACTAGAAGTTGCTGTATCCTTGACGGCATCGGGGCCATTGATCAGAACCATCCGATGCTCTTCGAGGAGACCGTATCGTTTCTCAATGGCGATTTTGAACCAGCGGCGGTCCGAAATTACCGTAGAACTTAGCTCGTAGAGGGTATAGTTTGTTTCGCGTTGTAAATCCCCCAGCTTCTTCATGATGCCGCTTTGAAGTGCTGAAGACTCCAAGCTGCCGTGATATTCCAGTTCACCAATTTGGTCCTTGTGGGTTTTATCCAGTGTGTCTTGCTCCCGCTTATGTGAAGCGTTTAATTTGTCTAGTATCACCTTTTCGCGTTCTTCCCGGTTAGGCTTACCCTTCAAATGTCGTTGCATCTGGACAAAATTGTCATCTTCATCCTCTTCCTGTCGAGTAAGGAGCTCGAGACTTCTGGCGGACTGTTCAGCCTCCAAGGCTCTTTTGCGAAGCTTGAAGTTCGATTCGTAGGCCTTTTCGAGTTTTACTCGCATCTGGTCAAAGTCTACCTGTTTTGAAGCGGCAGCAAGCTGGATCCGCTGGGCGCTATCCTGATGTCTATTGATGATCATAGACTGTTGAATCTTGTTTATCTTAGCCAGCTCTCCTTGCAGCCTCTGGATTTGGTTGGCTATAGATATTAGGCGCTTTATTTCTTTGTCGTGCTGCACTCGGCGTCGCCCTTCATCTTGTCTCCTTTGTCCTTCCTCGTCCTGAAGCTTTTGGGCGTTCTCCTTTCGCATTCGCTCTTCGACTTCTCGTCGTTCAGTGCGCTCATTTTCCGCAATAATTGCGGCGAGTCGGGCCCTTTCACTGTGTATTGTCTCAGAGTCCGCTCTGGGTTTTGCTCCATGTTGGCCCGAGTGGGCGCAGCCACATGTACCACCCCTAGCGCCGCAGTAGCAACTGTACACCGTTAGTTAGAGAGCCATGGCAGGATGTAAAAAAAGGGGACGTTGTAATCCATACCAAAACTCCGCACCACAGTGGCAAACCACGTACCCAGCGTCAGCTGTCAGGTCTACCATCGCCTGGCACTTGTAACAGCGTCTCCAGCCATTAGACGCAATACTATCTATTCTTTCGGGGTAAGGGGCCTGTGGACAATGTTCGTGGCTTTGGTGTGCTGCTCTTTGGCAGGCGGTACATATCGACTGCTTGCATATCGGACATTTCTGAGTGGAATCATCCAGCTTTATTTTCTTTGGAGGTATCCATTTCCCGCAGTTCGGCGAAGGGCAGTACCACCGGCTTGTTCGCGGGATGGCGTACTCCTGTACCTTTAACTTATATTCTTCCCGAAGTACAGCGTCGACGTTGTGTAGGATTAACTTCGTAGGGATGTCTTCGAGGCAGCATTTGGGAGGGAACTTGCTCTCGTTCTTCATGGCTGTTTCTATCATGCCGGAGAAGCATGCTAGACAGTACTTGTGTAAACATCCCAAAGGAACCAGATTCTTGTCCAGGAGTTCAACAAAGCAACTTGCGCATTCCCTGATAAAATTAGGTAAACGGTTAACCGTATGTCCGTAAATTGGAGATTTGATAGAAGAGTCAGTTATAGATGTCTTACCGAAAGCTATTGCGCTCCATCAGTCGAAGCTTGAGGTTCTTCGTCTCTTTCGATGTTTTGACGCCCATACGACCAAACGATGGGCCTGGCGAAGTAGATTCAGGCGATAGACACTGCTCTGGGGGCATGTCTCGAGCGTGATCCTTTACCGCAGGTGCCTGTGTCCGAGCCGGCGTAGTACCATGAGGATACGATGATGACGGCGGAGGTGACCGTCCGCCATCGTTCTCGCGGTGTGAGCCTAAAGAACCCTTTGAAGGCCGATCCGTCTCCAACGGCTGGTTGATGATCTGTAGCAGCTCCTGCGAGACATCTTCGGGAAATATGTGAAGTTCTTGCGGACACGGACGATCCGCACGATGCGATGGCAACTGACCGTTGTCCAGCAGCAGATCCTCCAACCCTACCAGCTCTGGCCACTCCGCAAGCCTGTCAGCATCGTCCACCGGGCCTTGCAGAGGAGCTTCGAGATCGCGAGTTAACTGAGGAACCGACATGGGGTATTAGATCGCTAGACCAAAATTGTCGTTTCTGATTCCCCGGGAGCTTTCAACATTCAGCAACAGTCGCATTCTATCAGGACAGACACGGTCGATGGCCCTGGCATCCGGAACGCAGCCCTTCTTAGCGATAAATAACCCGAGGGCTTGTGAGATAAGAGAGGTATTAAACCGTAGACACAAGACTCATTTCACATGTAAAAAAAGGGGGGGGGGGAAGTATAGAGTAAACTCTTGGGAGCGCATCTATTTCGCGTAGTTATAAAACAAAAACCTGGAGAAGCGGAGAACTTGTCGACAAGAAGGATCCAAAGGCCATACATAACTAATAGTTAGGCTGACAAAAAGGAACCGAGGGGCCTCTGAGAGTGAGGCTCGCCTAGGATGAGTACGACTAGGCACCAACCTCCAGGGTTTATTTATGGTATCAGACGGCGCGGCGCGATGGTTGGCTGCTTCGAACGAAGAAAAAGAAAGCCTCGTTATGTACGGAGTCTGTTATCCTGTGTTTATATACGGTAAAAGGCTGACCCCCTGGTTGGCTGATCTGGGGTTCGCTGCCAATCGATCGATGTTATTTACGCGGGATGTCAGTAATGGAGAATGAGCCTGCAGGTGGTGATGTAACTGCAGCGTACCATACATGGCTCGTACCTTTGTTGACGCCCCTGGTTTCCCCCTTTGTGAGGCATATTATATGTATATCTCAAAGTAGATCCATGTACGGAGCATGCAGGGTACACTCCTGTTGGTGTACACAGTAGGTGCTTGGTGTGACTGTCGATTTCATTTAACTAGCTAAGAAGGCTTGTCGAGAAGGCTTGTATTTGGTAGCCATTATCGGTGACAAAGAGTATTGATGCCTTGTGTGATGCCTTGCATATATATCCTTAGCAGCAGTAACTAGTCGTGTATTAGTTAACTGCCTTGAGCTTCTGGCTGTCGACTGATACAATTGTGGGTAATTTTTCTTCATCGCAATGCATGTAAATATTCCAGAAAAACCGAACCATTCGATGATCCCGATCCGCACAGAAGTACCTATACTTATGGCTACAATTTTCCGTCTTTCCTGAGTTTAGTAACTGCATGTGTCATTTACTTGCCAGTCTCTGCCTTGAAGCGGCAAGGAGAAACCGCAGCTCGTCCCAGTCTAAAGCCAAATATTTGCTATCAACACCGCCTTCCATGGGCACCAGGTCTGAGATTCTGACGTTCAGGTTCGGACACTCCTCAAAGGCTGGTATATCTTTTGATTCCCCTAGGCCTTTCATCGGTTTGGGCGGGCTAAAGAACGTCCAAACGCACAAGTTGTCTCAGTTCACAGTGCCTAAAGCTTCAAAATAAACATACTCACAGTCCTTGGAGCCTTTTCTATTGGCTCTCCGGTGATAGGATCTTTGGCAAACACTTGTATTGATGCGTTGAGTTCACCCGCCCACCGGAGTCCATGGATGGATATCGGGGTGAAGGGGGGCCGCCGCTCGCAATTCTGGGCTATCAAAGCTTCAATATCGGCACCAGGATGGTTGTCCATATTAGACTTGTAAATACTGATGTTCTCTTGTTTTGAAAACGGATTCTCGTAGTTCGGAGTTTCTTCCATGTCTACCGCCATAGCAACCCGAACAGGGTATGGCGAATGAGGTCCTTGACCACTGATTCCAATTTGTCACTTGGTTGTGAGAATCCAACCTCAACTACGAGAACACTGCGCATACCCATCTTGGAGATCCAGAGCATCTGCGAATCTGGAATCGGCAATTCTGGAGATATTTCGTCACCTGCACAGAAAATGAACTTTTCAATGCTCTCGCGTTTGACAAAGTCACGTAACTGCCATAGTATTCCAGAAATGACGCCTTAGTGTAAAATAACCTGCCCGTTCCGAATAGTCGTGGTAGCAAAGTCCTTATCGAACCCAAGCAGAACAAGCATCCTTTTCCTAGACAGGAATTAGCATGTGTATAAATGGGACGTAAAGGCGGGGGAAACGGACTCTGATTCAGTGGCAGTAGCATCAAACGCATGAAGCAGCCTATAATATTTTTCCGGGGTAGCCCTGATCGTGATAATTTCACCAGAAAATGTATATGGAAACCTCCCGACAAATAGCTCATCTCGCTGGTTTTGACCCAACGTTGTCTCATCGGGCCATGTTTTGTCCAGATGCTTGAAGGCCGCGGTGAGAGTAGAAAAACGGCACTTCACACCAAGCCCTTGCCCTTGGATGATAGTAGATGATATAGGGATACCCAACCTCCTAACACCATTACAGTAAAAATAACCTACGCGGCAGTGTTAGGGAAAGAATCCAAGTAGCCAGGACCCCGGAAGAGAGCAAGCATGGTAGCATCTTCGGCGATTGAACGGTAGAAGGAAAGAGGCTCATAACCTGTTCGGCAGAGGAGGTAAAAAGACGGGAGACAAATCCGAGCTGTTTTATATAAAGGACAAGACATGTTGATATCATGCTTGGGTAGAACATATATCCTTCGTTCCATCGGTTATGTTGTCATATAGTATATCTTCCTCGAGGCTCTTTCTTGTGTGTGAAGTTTTGCCCTTCGCTGGGTATTCAGAACTGAATGATAGACGTCGTTAGGGCAGGCTGTAGTTTTTTTTACTTATTCACTGCAGGGATGCGGAACTACATATTTAAACATTACTCACCTAGCAGTGAATTGGTTTTCGAACATCACGAAGTCTCTTGACGGTAACTGCCAACGTACCGCCGCGATGGCCGAATATTGCTTTGACATGACGGACACATTTTGGAGATAATGAGATAGTAAATATTGTTAATATTGCCCCCTCCAGTCAACGCCACAGACGTGTTCCTCTCCTCCTTGGTCGTCGGAATAACTAGATATTTCTACCTAGGTCTAGCACATGGCATTAGGCCATTTTTGTTCTAGTAGTCTCTAGCTGGTTATAAGAGTCACTGTGAACACTGGACATCCCTGAAGACCAGGGGCTAGAGGTGTGTCTCCTACGTCTCCGGCTGGCCAGATGGTGAAATGAGATCAAACTCACCAGTAGTATCTCAACAGCTACGTTCGTTGAGGGCTTCACCCCTATTATTGTCCATATCCGCTCCAAAGTACGGAATCTGTTATCTAACAGGTTGTGAAAAGACAGGGGTTGATCGTCCGACCGACCCTGTCAATAGCGGTTTATAAATGGAGCGTTCGAACTTATCGTAAATGTTCCGGATTGCGATCGCTAGTCGTCAACCGTTGCATACGGGTGTACGCAAAACAGGCATGGGTAATGGTTAATACACTAACTATGCCGCTAAGGCACAATTTCAACCAGAGAACTTTTTCCAGGCCCAGGCTGAACCGTATTCCTGGTACTGCTGCCGAGTTATCGCAATCTCCTTCATGGTCTGCTGATTGGCTGCTAGTCGGGAAGCCCCTAGCCAGGTCGAACGAATGGGGCTGCTCAAGTTATTAGCTTGGTAGTTCTAGAAACGTCAAACAACCACAAAAGCGGGGGAAGAGAAGGAAGTGGCTTACTCCGGGCCAGCCCTCACACGAACGACACACTCTGTAGGTGCCAGATGCCGGATATCAGTTTCCCTAGGATTAATGCATTAGCAACCCAGGCCTTCAGGGGTACAGCCTCCCCCCCCTTTTTTTTTGTACATAATAGTAACGTACAGTCTTTCTATAAACCCTGGAATCAATGCATTGCCCCCGACGACAAAGATATTTGCTAGAAGCGAAGGATGAAGGCCTGTGGGAATAACGGACAGGCATTGCATTATAATATCGGCTATTCCTGGTTGCTGTAGCCCGATATCCTGGGGATTGAATAGGATCTCTGGCACAGTGAACCGCTCGTTCCCCAGAACAAGGACGTCTTCCGCTGCAGAGGGGTTAACCCCAGTCATGAGTCCCTTCCTCTTTTCAGCAGCCAATAGACTGTCGTGAGGCCTCATAAAACCCTTCTTGTGTGCATTGGGGTCGGGCAAGACGTAGTCAACGACTATGTCCGAGACACCGCCCTTACGCCCTTTCCATGTCTTCTCCATGTCGCCGTCAAAGTCGTGACTAACGTAGCAAACAGCCTCTTTAACGCTGTTCACAATATGAGTTTCATCCAACATGTTATACTGTCGGATCGAAACCAGTTCCTTCAAGTAGTTTGTAAGGTGTTTCCCACCGATGTCAAGCCTTCGTATTGCTCGCTGCAACGGACGCCCATGATACACCGGAGTCACCGTCGTGTGGGAGTAACCCGAGTCGACAACTAGCATGCATTCAGCCGGGAGATTCGATGGGATCGCGTCCTGGCTAGGGGGATCGCCGAATAGAGAACAGACCTCATTCCATGCATTGAGACAGGGAGCTGTACATCCAGGGTTATGTGTAAGTAGAGGTACCTAAGCTGTACGCTCGTTATAGGATTTTCTGGTACGTACCGAGATATCGTACATATCCGCCAAAGCCCCATTCCTCCATTATCATCTCATCCATATTCTTCTGCAAACTGCTCAATGCATTGGGAGCCTCGGTTAGAATCACGGTTGTCCCAAGAAAATCAGAGCATTGTACTTCTGGCCTACGGGCCGTCTTCTCGTCAAAAAAAGTATGCTCCCATATCTCTCGTTGCGCTTCCCAATTGACCAGGTAACCCTTTTCAACGGGCCGGCGAAAGCTGACCTCATTCCAGTCTGATATATGGGTTTCAAGCTCTAGACCAGTGTATATCTGGTTATCTCGAGTTTTTGCAAGTGCATTTGGGACGACCAGGCATGACTCTAGGGGATCAGAGCTGGAGGGCGAGCTGTATCCTGCCTTTATAGTATACCCCCCATTGTCGATGATGAAGGTTCTCTCAGGGAGCGGCTCCGATGGGGGCGGGACAGCTTTGGCTGTTCGAGAAGCTTTAGTTGGACCCATTAGCTACCAACGAAGCTAGACCATAGTTCTTCTATTGCTTCAATCGCTAGAGAAATATCATCTTGTCGTTGTCTTGATTTTCCTAGAGACCCTCTCGAAACCCTTCCATGCCAGAGTTTAGGGTGTCGGAACAGTAGTTCCACCGTTCCGACAGGCTCTGCCACGCATCCATGCTGTATACGCGGAGTACTACTATTCTAACCACTAGATACTACTATCCACCCATCTACCCCTGCTATACAACGATTTAGTTGAGAGTCATAGGCCAGTATGTTGGACGTCCCTGTGGCCAAAAGGACTTGGACATGATGGCGGTTAAGCCCGAGCCGAACTCCAACCATACGTGGTCGACTGATACTATGTGTATATCGTACCACTATAAAGTCTACCATGTAGACTTCAACAAAGCTTAAGCTAAATGCCCCAGAGAAGTTATTCTAAACTGACATTAGCACGGCCCAGGCCTGTCTATGATATCATTTTCGCAACCGGCACGACTCTAGAACCTTTGGGACGTTTCGACAAAGTCCAACATACGGTGTTTGACAGTATTGCGCTGCGCAGAGCTGAACCCAGTTACCCTCCTAAGCGACATACTATTAAAGGCGCTCCCTATATAGTTTCCACTTCAGCTCTACCAGCGTGGTATCGGCTCGACTCTGCTTGGCTGGGATAGGGTGTGGCAGAGAGTTACACTAATGCTGGAGCTCCTGGCAACTATTCGTCGTATGACGACGCAAGGATGTTGACAAGAAATGCGCTTTTCCCCTCTACACTCGAGATCCTCTATTAAAAGGTGTTTGATAAGCTGCCCGTGTCAGACTGAAATTGCATATCAAGCTATACATATCGCAAGATAACTGCAGAGTCAAGCACGCATCACATCTCCCAGCCGTTTACCTCTTTGCTCGTGTTAGGAACAACTGGATATCCAACCATGGCTATCCCAGACCAGCAGTGGGCACAAGTTGTCGAGAAGTCTGGCTCTGGTACAGTCTTTTTGCGCATGAAGCTGAGAAACCCGGCCCTGATGAAGTCCTGGTCAACATCAAGTTCTCTGGCGTCTGCCATACGGACCTGCATGTCATGAGAGGCGACTGGCCGCTGGACGTTAAATTCCCCCTTGTGGGTGGCCATGAAGGTGCTGGCGTGGTTGTCGCCAAGGGTGATCTAGTCGACGATATCGAGATTGGGGACCATGCTGGGGTAAAGTGGCTCAACGGCTCATGCCTTGCATGCGAGTTTTGCCGCCAGTCTGATGAGCCACTCTGTCCCAACGCTCTGCTCTCTGGATGTACTGTTCATGGGACATTCCAGCAATACTGTGTTGCCAAGGCCGCACATGTATCCAAGCTTCCTCGGAATATACCTCTTGATGCTGTTGCTCCCATCCTATGCGCTGGTATCACGGTCTACAAAGGTCTGAAAGAGTCCGGGGCACGACCTGGACAGACTGTCGCCATCGTCGGTGCTGGAGGCGGCCTGGGTACTTTTGCTCACCAGTACGCAAAGGCTATGGGCCTAAGAATCATTGCAATTGATGGCGGCGATGAGAAGAGGGAATTGTGTCAGCAGCTCGGGGCAGAAGTACGCTCTCTCAGCCACGGATAATCAATAACATAACTAACTAGGCATCCAATCAGGCCTACATCGACTTCAAAACAAGCAAAGATATCGTCCACGACGTTAAAGCTGCCACTCCTGACAGCCTTGGGCCACATGCCGTTCTCGTTCTCGCCGTGTCCGAAATTCCATTCCAGCAGGCAGCCGGCTACGTAAGACCGCGAGGGTCGATAGTCGCCATCGGACTGCCGGCCGACGCGTATTTCAAGGCTCCTGTCTTTAGTACCGTTGTCCGGATGATCAACATCAAGGGTAGCTACGTGGGTAACAGGCAGGACTCAATCGAGGCAATTGATTTCTTTGCTCGCGGCCTGATTGACGTGCCTTTCAAAACTGTCCAGTTGTCCGAGCTGGACAAAGTATTTGAACTCATGGGTATGGCTTGCTTTGGCTTAAGTTTTATCGTCTTGAAAAAAGGCGTAGGATAGATTTGATAACTAACCAATTTCAACTTTTAGACCAAGGTAAAATCGCCGGCCGCTACGTCCTGAAGATGCCCGATTAGAGCATCTACCCGCTCCGCTTTGTAATTTCCCTACACAACTGCCTCTATCCACTCTTAGCAAAATTGTGAGATGTTACAGCCGATATTCTAAACTTCACTTCCATGTAGCTATCGAGAGAACCACAATTAAACAGTTTCATCTTTCAATTTTTATATTATGGGATCGCGGTGGCAGAGCTGCCGGAACGGTGGAACCACTGATCCGAGATAACCCTAAACCTCTGGTTATCGCGAACCAAAATAAAATATAAGAGCTTCATTATTACAACTCGTCATTACAAGTGGTAAAGGGACAAGGGAAAGGAGAGTAATTATGGCGGGCGATAAGAGGCTATTAGTCCTTCTGGATACTACACTGGGGCTTTCAGCACAGTTTATCTCGTCTCTCTCATTATCCGCTGCCTCAACCGCCGGCGCAACACCCCGCAGCGCGGAAGAGACAGACAGCCAAAAGAACCTGCCGCTCCCTCTACTCTCGGCGGCTGCTCAAACGCTCAAGTCGCATACGGGGAAGATCTCTCTCTTTGCCATTAATACCCCCTTCACGCCATCTGCCATCACATCAGTACTTTCGCAAATCAACGACTCTGCACTCCCTTCTCTCGTCACTGCCGCTTTTCTCCTCCATCCGAACCATTATACCAAAACCTTCCATGCGGAGATCAACTCACTGGTTAAATCCGCCCTGCGAGAATACGTTACATTGATCGACTGTATCAAGAGAATCGCGGTAGGGGATGGGAAAAAGTTGAGGGAAGAGACTAAAGAAGCCGTTACAACTGCTGCGGGGAGAGTTTGGAAAGTATGCGATCAGCTCGTGGCCGCTTCTACAGATGGGGTTGTCGGGATGGTCATTCAGAAAGCCAATGAGTTCCTGGAGCTTGTGCGTGACGGGATCAAGGAGTTGGAGGATTGGGATCCTGAGGAATCTGATGATGATGATGATTGGGGCTTAGGGGACGACTTTGCTGACGAAGCAAAGGATGAAGGTGAGGATGAGGATCGCGATGAATTGATTGCTATGCTGTCTGAAGAAAAGAAGGAACTTCTTCGGCTGCTTACACCGATTTCTAAGCTTTATACGGCCATAACCTCCCAGAGATTAAAACCGCTGAAGCAGGAATCTACTCTTCCGCAATATGCTTCTGACCTTGATGATCTGGTGGACCATCTCAAACAGATACCGGACCTGGTCGACGAGGCTGCGGGTTCTCTGTATGAACACGATACCAAAGCCGTTGCCTCGTATACGAACAAATTAAAAAGCTGCTCTATTTCTACTGTTGAGATTGTTAGAAAACCATGGCGGTCTGGCAACGAGGAGGCGTCCAGGGCTGAGGGGGAAGATGGGGATAAATTCTCGAAATGGGCAACGGTTTGGTTGAAAGTGCTCAACGAGTTGGGGAGGCCTAGCACAGGGAAGGCTTAAAGATGAGATCTATACATACAGCGTTGAAGCCATGATATAGAGTGGTATATTCGATATCCCCAACCTATTGTACATAAATCAACCCCGAGAGTCTTGAAGCCTACCTCGCCCGAACAGTTCAAGAGTATATGTACATGATGTTTATTAAACTAAAAACCAGGAGAGACAGCCTTAAGAGTCAGACCAATTTACACACCGGCTTTCCATTCCTTCATCTCAGCTTCACTGATTCTATTCTTTAAATGGTCCAGTATTGCTTCCGTCCCCTTTGAAACAATCTGCCACCTAGGAACCCTGAACCGATTCCCAGCAACCTCGAATCGCCGCAGCGCATTCACTCCAGGGGGAACATCGTCCACTCCCAAAAGACCTGCTCTCGGAGGCAAAGCGTCGATATCATTGTTCGCCACGTCAAGGACCTGCAGGCCTTCGACGGCCTCGTAGGAGAGGCTGTCGAACGCATTTTCCGATGCGAGGAAAGTGACTAGGTTAGGGTATGTGGCACGCATGACCGGCACAGGGCCCTTGAGACGATTTATCGAAACGTCGAGGAAAGAAAGTGAGGGTGCCGAGAGGTTGGCCAGAAGAGGCTCAAGGGATGTCAGGGCTGCGGAAGAGAGAGTCAGGTTTTGGAGGTTGGGGAGCGATAAGGGTGTAGTGAGCTCTGTACGTCCAACGGGGTTATTGGATAGGTCGAGGTCGATTAGGGAATGGGCTATGAGCGACAGTGCCGGTACGGGGAATTTCTCCAGCCGGTTACGTTGGAGGTAGAGACATCTGATGTCGGATTTGGCGATCAACGGTTCGATGTCTGATGGCTCAAGGTCAGAGAGGTTGGTGGAGGAGCGATCCAGGACACCGCGTTGCTTGACTCGCCATGCGTGAGTGATGGTGGCCGTGGGACTTTCGGGTGCCAGCGTGAATTCCGTTTGCACGGAGCCCTCTTCTTCGTCCTGCGATGGTTCCTTGACTTCACGCCGGCCGCAGAGTTCTCGCTTCAGCTCCTCGGTGTCCATGGCCAGGAGCTTCCTTTCGCGGAGAGGGTTGTTAGATATACGGAGTGTGACGAGACTCTCCATGAAGCCGACGTTGTCGTCAATCAGCCTGATATCGTTCCCTACGAAATCTAGGTGTTTTATATTCTCAAGATCGGTCAGGCCTTCTGGTAAGGCAGAGAGGCGATTCTCCGAGGCTATTACGGTCAACAGGGACTTCCATGACGATATATTCGGGAGTGTCTTTAGACAGTTCTGTTCTACGAACAGCTGTTGCAAGTTTGGCAACTCGATGGTATCTCCTGCGGATAGCTCATCCAGGTTGTTGGTTGCAACGTTCAGTATCTGCAAGGTATCATGTCGCTTGAACGCCTTTGGAAAGAAGTAGCCATCCAGCCTATTCTTCCAGACGTTAAGCTCTGTCAGGGGAAGATCCTTCATAGCCATCAAGGGAAGGGAAGAGAGCCTGTTCTCGGAAAGGTTCAGGATCCGCAGCGCGGTTAGGTCTGCTATAGAATCAGGGAGCCCGGTGAGACTGTTCCCGTGTAGATCCAGGACTTCTAGCCTGACGAGACGCCCTACCTCTGGAGCCAGCGTGCCGGACAGATTGTTCTCAGCAAGCTTTAGCTCGGTCAGACTCTCTATACCGAAGACCACTTCGAGGGTCTCCATGGTATCCAGCCTGTTCTTCGACAGGTTCAGGCTGCGAAGTCTCTGTAGCCTCCTCAGACCGACGGGGAGAGTAGACAGCTTGTTCCCGTGCAGGTCGATGTGCTCCAGGCCACCGAACTGAGCGTTTGGACCGGGCTCATCGGGGTTAAAGTCGGTGATATCGATGTCAGGGAATGCCTCGTCCGGCAGCGAAGTCAACTCGTTGTCTGCTGCCATGAACTTGACCAGGTCGACGTTTTCATACCAGACATCGTTGCTGTTTGGATCAAAGGTGTACATGGTCAAGACCTCGTCGGGTATCTCGGCCAGACCCATCGCTGATATGTTCAAATGGCCCGATTTCCGGGCTGATGCGGTTCTGCTCTGCAAGGCGGCACCGGTTGGCTGCATCCCGGACAGCTGGTTGAATGGATCCTGCAGGCTGGCTTCTTCAGGCACGTCGGGGAATCTACCGGACGATTCGCGCTGCTGTTGCTGCTGCTGCTGCTGTGCTGCTTTGCGAGCGGCTTTCGCCTTGGCTATGCTCTCCCGGAGGGCACTGGATGACTTGACAGCCTTCTTTGTTGGCTCCGGTTCTTTCGGGGGTGGCTCGTTGGGCGTGCATCCGTCGGACGTGATGGAGGTCCTCGGCGATCGTCTGGAGACCGAAGAAGTCGGCGAGGTGAGGCTGGATGAGATGGTAGACGGCGGCTTCCTGGTCTTGGGTATCGAAAGCGGCTCAATTGTGCCGCTGGGCTCTGGATCAGGCGTCTCCCTGAACACCTGGCTTAGAGACGGTCTCTGTTTTGGCTTCCGTGATATCATGCTCTGGCTCTTGCTGGCCGTGAGAGCTGGACGTGCCGGTTTCCGGGGCATGGAGCCTGCCGAACCTGCCTCCTCCTCGACACCCTCCTCGCGCGTCTCTAGCATGCCGTTCCTCGCAGACACGGCAGGCGACTTTATATACATGCTGACCGACCGCTGGCCCACCGGACGCTCTCGCGTTGTGCTGGCAGCGGACGGAGACCTGGACAGCCTCAGACTCCTGACCGAGGGAGCGGGGGACAAAGGGGCTCCGTTCAGGGACTGCCGTGACGGAGACCTCCTGGACTCTACCATGAAGCCGGACCTTCTCCTACCGGGCGAGGGCGAACCCGGAATCTGGGCGAGCGTCTCGATGGTTCGGTCTGACAGGGAGGGCCTGGAGGCATTGCGGGAGGGACTGCGGCCCTGTCTGGTGTCGGCCGGGTCCAGCAGAAGCGACTCGTTCAGGTGAGATGGCCTGCCGAAGGGCTGGGGGCGCAGAGAAGCGGTAGCGGTAGCAGTCGAGGCCGTGGTTGTCTCGGGGTGTCCGTCCGCCAGAAGATCAGACTCGCTCGAGCCAGCAGGGGAATATGGCCTGCCGAAGAGGTCCTCAGACGGCCGCCGAAGCCTCGATACCTTGAGTCCTGCGTCTGCCTGCAGCCTGTCCCTCGACGGCGACGGCCTCAGGGACCTGGAGGGCGTCGCCGTGGGCAGAGGCAGCCGTGAGAGTCGCGGACGGCCGCTGACTGCGGGTTTGCTGTCCATCTCATACACTGCAACAAACACCTCAGAGCCAACGTTGAACCATGGAACAGCTTCTGCCAGTCTGTATCCTAGCAAAACACTTGGAGACTAGGCCTTCGTCTGGTATTAGTTTGCGAAGTCATGGACGCGGTGGAAGCTCCAGGGGGAAAAGATGAAGCCATACAAGGATTTTGCCGACTAGTAAGAAGAAGAAAAAAGGCGTTGAACCGAAAGCCCCTTTTTTATCCACATTTACTATCTTATTTCTTATTTATTCTTGTCTATCTGATCCTTCAGTTATGATCTGTGAGACGTCGGGTTGTATACGACATGCTTAGAGATAGATATAAGATGGATATATAGGTAGATATATATATATATATATATAGAGGGAGGTAGATATATATAGAGAGACGTCAGTAAGAGCATCTTCATCGTCTCATCTCATCTTCTATACCGGCTTAGCTGCTCGTACTCTTCCTACTCCATCTACTCTTCTCCATCTACTCTCTATCTTCTCTTCTTCTCTTCTTCTCTTCTTCTCTTCTTCTCCTCCTCTATCACGTGACGGTTGCCCCAGCCTTCGACTTTCTCAAAACAAGAAAAGCAAAGCAGAAGAAGAAGAAGAAGAAGAAGAAGAAGAAGAACAACTTCGACCTTCGACTCGCATTCACACTCTTACATCGCCAGCCTCAACTGGTCGATCCAGGGCTGTCATTCACTACTGACGCGTACAAGACTGGGCGGCTGCTCGCTGTCAGACGCCGCCAGACCGCCCTCCTCCTCCCGCGCGCTCAACGCTCCCTGTCGCGCTTCACAAGAACCCGGGAAAAGGGCCAGTACCAAGTTGCTTTGTTGACGGACCATGGATGCGCAGAGTGACACAGCCGCCACGGACGGTCAGACCAGACCAGCACTCTCTCCACCCGCCGAGATCGCAGTCCCCAGCACGCCGACTCCAGAGCTGGGGAGCCCAGGACGGCAGTCAACCGCACAGGCTCAGTCGCAGAGTGACCGCACCAGCTCTGAGAAGCCAGCGACAGCTTCACCGACGCCAACCAGGCCGTCGTCGTCTTCTGACATGACTCCCCCCCCGTCCACCCGGGCGTCGGCAAGCGTGTCGACGCCGGCTCAGCGCTCCCGGTCTCAGTCGCATCCGTTTCTCGCCTCTCCGCCGTCGACGGTCAACCAGTCGCTGTGTGATGCATACGGCCTGTCAGAGCGCCTGCCTACCGTGGGCGAGATCGATGATGCGGACGAGCCTGCGCTCCGGAAGATAGCCAACGAGCTGCTTGTCGTCGCCCAGGACTTTCGCATGTCGGCCGCGCACTTCAAGCTCCAGAACAGCCTCCTCTCGCTCACCAGCAGTGAAGCCGTCAAGCGCGCAGAGGTAGAGCAGCAGCTCGCCAAACGAGAGGTCGAGATCCTGCAGAGCGACGAGTACCGTGCTCGTCGAGGTATTGCGCAGGAGGAGTCCGCGCGCAGCCTCCAGAGCCACGAGCTCTCCGGTGCCAGAGCGAGGATACAGGACCTGGAACAGATGAACGCTACGCTGGACCGCAGGCTCCACCGAGCGAAACAGATCATCGAGGAAAAGTCGGACCAGTACGAGATGCTGCTGGAGGAGAACGGACGGCTGAAGAAGCGCATCCGGGACAACCGTGAACATTTCACCATGATGATGGACGGCGGATCCCTCCCGTCCAGCCCCCGTGCGGAGCTACATACGCCACAGCGCAAAGCAGCGGCCGCGCAGCAGCAGCGACACGTCCCCGAGAGTGCTCGGCCCTACAGTGGTAAACAACTCGGCAGCCAGGACCTGCTGGCCACCCTCCTGGCGGCCGACCAGGTCCTGCACGGGGACAGCACACGCAACCAGCCCTCACAGCAGTCCAAGGCCCGGGCCAACCGAAGCTACCACGGCCACACTCGAGGGGCCCATTCCATGTCTTCGCTGACTCCCATCTCCCACGTCAGGATGTCCGAGCCGGCCCGTTTCTTCACCCCCGTGAACAAGAAGGCGAGAGTGTCCCGGACGTCACCCACGCCCGCATCGAGGCATCCGGACGAGCAGGACGGGGACCGCCGTGACCGTGACAGCACCCTGTCCGCCTCCGACGTCGAGGCCGTCACCGACGAAGACATCCCCGCCTCGCAGGCCAGCTCTCTCGCCACGAGCATGCTTCGTCGCTATCCGGGCCCCAGCCAGGAGGCGCCTTCAATCCCTACCAACATCGGTAAGTCCAGTGCCATGCTCCAGAGCAAACTGTTCGGCCACGTCAAGAAGGCTGGCGTCGACCAGGCGAAACGCAAGAGTAGCAGCTCCGAGAACAAGCCTCTCTCCTCCCCCAAGAAGGCGAGAGGGTCAAAACCTCTTCACCTCAACGTGGCTGTCTAGGCAGACTTTTCTTTTCTCTCCCTCTTCCCTCTTCCCATTACTAAGCTGCTGCCCGTCTTATCTTCTTCCAAAATATGCCTGCGGCCCCTTGACGATAACCAGCTTTATCGCTAATTAATGACCTCCCGATATGAACCCCCCGTGATGATGAAGTCTTGTAGTTCCTTTTTTATTCTCTTATGTTCCTCTTCCCCCGGTCAATGGCTCTTTTGATATGCCTGGAATGGACTCTTTATCTCCAGCCGACTAGCTACTGCTTGCCTATGGTTTTTCATCTTCTACCGGCCCCCAAGTTGACTCCTCCATCTACAACCATGTAAACATGTCTTTCTCTCTTGTATCCGGCCACTGGGCACTCCTTATCCCCAAAACGATGTATCATAACCTCAACAGCCATCGAAGAACCCGTCATCCTCTGCCTCTCTGTAAAACTCCTATAAAAAACCCCTTTATCTACTCTTTCATACAAGCCATAACCCGATTAGGCAGAGCTAGGGCTAACTTGCTGACTCAGCCTAAGCGAGTGATGCTGACATAATCACAACCACACCGAAAAAAAAAAGCTTCCACATCAAAAGAACGAAAGCAACCTTCGACTTCTCTCCAAAAAGTCGAGACACCATCGACAATTCAACAACCCGGGCTCTCGACGACTTGATCACCGGCCGCACACAATGGTAAGTCGCTGTCCTTCCTTGCCCACGATGGATATTATCTCTCTGCCTGTGCTATGCCCGGCCGCGACGCAGGGAGATAAATCTACACGGCGCGATTTTCGACGATAACTAACCAGGGGGATTTCTTTCTGTTCATATAGGCGATCAAGCACAACCAGACCATCCCGAAGAACCGTGAGTTACCTGTCCTGCTGAATGCGAGCCGTGAAGGGGAAGGCGAAGGAGAGGAATGAACATGCGCGTTACAGGTTTTGAGGAAGAGGTGGAAACTGAACGACAAGGCGGCCGGGCCAGATGACATTGCAGCATAGCATCGTTTCTAATTCGTGATTCTCTTTGCAACAGACTTCCACAAGGACTGGGACCGACGTGTTAGAGTACATTTCGACCAGGTACGATTGAACTGATTCCAGCTTTCTCTCTTTTTACCGTCCGGTGGAGGAACAGAGGTCGACTAACGAAATCTGTATTCCAGCCCGGCCGAAAACACAGACGTCGTGAGGCTCGTCTTGCAAAGGCTGCTGCCGTTGCTCCTCGCCCAGTCGACAAGCTCCGCCCAATTGTCCGATGTCCCACCATTAAGTACAACAGCCGCGTCAGAGCTGGACGTGGTTTCTCTCTCCAGGAATTGAAGGTATGTCCGTCCACTTTATCCGACCTTTGCAACCAGCCATGTACCTAGTTGCTAAATTTTGATCACAGGAAGCCGGTATCCCACGCAAGCTTGCTCCAACCATTGGTATCACCGTTGACTACCGCCGTGGCAACGTCTCCGCCGAATCCCTCTCCGTCAACGTCGCCCGCCTAAAGGCCTACAAGGCCCGCTTGATCCTCTTCCCCCGCAAGAGCGGTCAGTTCAAGAAACTCGACTCCTCTGCCGAAGAGATCAAGGCTGCCAAGGAAGGTCTGGCCAAGACCATCGACTCCGTTCTCCCCGTCACCAACCCTGCTCGTGAGAACGCCATCTCTGAGATCAACAAGTCCGATCTACCAAAGGGAGAAGAGAACGCATACCGCAGAATGAGAACTGCACGAAGCGATGCTAGACTCGTCGGTGTTAGGGCGAAGCGCGCAAAGGCCAAGGCCGATGAGGCCGCTGCTGCAAAGAAATAAAAAAAAAACCCCCTCCTCCAATTAAAAAGACATAAATAAATGGAAGTTCTTATGGTGTTACCCCCTCCCTTTTATTATGTTTTTCTAGTCCTCTTTGCGCTCTTCCGTCCTTTTTTTTTCAACTCCCAGCCTCTCGTGTCATGAATAATGCGATATCATATGACCAACTTACCCGGGGACCAATTCCTTAACCATCCAGAGGCAATTAATGCACCATTGGACTGACTGCCTTTCTTCCTCGATGGAAGGTATAAAATGGAGAGACTGAGCAGCCATAGTGAAGTCGCGTTGGCTCTGTTTTGTCCGGCCGAACGAGCTTGTTAGTATGGTGGCCATGATGTAGAAATGGAAAACAAACCTTCACACAACATTGTTCACTTTGCTCAAGTAGATGTAGATGACTTAGGCAAATATACGTGCAAAGGTATTCTAGTAAATACTTTGATCCTATTAACCATTTCTGGTTCAAGTACTAAACCCAGACTTATTATATACACTCGATCTGCCTCAAACAAGCCCAAAGAGAATAACAATTACGGCTTCAACAGCCTTGACCAACGAACCGATATCAGCATCGACATCGTTACTCTTCCCGCGCTTAAGCATTCCCTGAAATGCACGTTTGGCTTCTTTCTCTATTTTATTAGCTGCAGAGCTCTTTAACGAGGAGCCGGAAATGCAAATATCTGGCTCCAATTGAGGCTCACTAGTCCAAAGATCAAGCGACAAGCGGCAGGATACAAGTAATTCGAGCTTGTTAGACCCGGCCAACGTGGAAAACCGATAACTCGTTCGGTCAAAATGTTGCACAAGAGCTCTAATGGTGTATTGACGTTCATCTGACGTAGGCGTAACGCTTCTGGATTCCGCCCGCTTTCTGTGGTGCTTCTTCGCCTGGTCGAGATATCGTGGGTCTTCTTCTAGCTTCTCGGATAGTGTCTGCAATTCTATCCAGAACTTTGAGCGTGATACTGCGGCCTCCCAGTATCGGCATATACCCCAACATAGGCCGGATATATCATGGTCCAATAGGGGGTTGGATAACCGAGACGTAACCCAGCCTTCCAGTGGCCCAGGAATGTTGGAATCGGTAGTTGGGACCGTAATAGATAGAACAGATTGTTTTTCAGGGTCGGTATTAAGGATAAGAGGGATACGGTAAAGTGTAGTTGGGAAATTGGATGGGGGCCGGAGAACGAAGCGATGTGTCTGAACTATATCTGGAGGGGTTCCTAAGACTCGTGATGGGCTCCTTACAGTAGACGTCACCGTCTCTGTGCTAAGTGTGAGAGGTGCGAAGATGGTAAGATACGGGACTGAATTTTCAGGTAGTTTCATGGCGTATGGGTTCTGGGGAAGGGGTGATGGGGGTGATTCTGGGTCTGGCGGCGGGATATACTGCGGAGCCGTGAATGGAAGCAGATATGAAAGCATGGAAGACAACGGTGGAGGTGCCGGGGGCGGAGGGGGAGGAGGAGCACAAGATGGGTTATTAGATAGGAGGAGCCCACTACATCGGAAGTATTAGTATAACGGACAAGTTGATATGACGGTATATGTTGTAGTAGGCTTATAACATACACCAATAGCCTAAGAGAGCTCTCATCAGCTAGCTCATACTCCGCGGACTCCAACCGACCTGCTTCTCTTTCCAAGAGAGCCACTTCTCCCTTTAATCTTTCTAACTGTGCCTTTAGTGACTCTCGAAGTTTCTTCTTTTCCTTTAGTTCCTTTGGTGACTCGTCCTTGGACTCAATTTCGATATCTGCTGGTGATTCATCAATACCACGGCCCTCTGCAGCAGACTTTGGATTCTTAGTCTTAAAATTCAGATGGAACCCCGCCTTTTTTAGTTGCTGTTTCTTTTTCATGGCCATAGGTTGACTCGGGCTACCACTAAATTGTGCAATGGTTCCTCTGGGAGGTTGTTCTGGGCCTACTGCTGGAGGAGAAAGAGAGTGCCCTTGTTGATGGCTGCTACCAGTTGATGAATTTGGTGACACCCTTCGCTCTCCCTGTGTAGTAGGTTCATCTTTCCTAGTTATCTCCCCAGAAAAGAGCTGCTCTCCGAACGATCGCCGTCTAGAACTAGGCCTGGAAATTGTGCTATTAAGCTGGGGTAATCCGTCTTCTGCTTCTGTTTCTGTTCGAGCCGCAGCGGTCAACGATGGTCGTAAAGGTATCCTGCCAGATATCTGAGGTGAACTATGTCCGTGTTCTCCAAAAGAGCTGAAATCTTGTTCGGAAGGTCGTCGCGTTTTCTCAGAGGTTGACCGTTCTATGACCCTTGATAAAACATCTGGATGGTATCGGGCAAGGCTCGATCGAGTCGGCGCTTGGAATGACCGCCGGCTCGGTGATCGCGAAGGGCTAGTGCGTCCACGGCCATCTTTCCTTGTAGTGTTTGACACGCCTACAGGTATCGGGATGGAAGAATTGGACTTGCGCCGTTTAGATGGTGATGGTATCATTCGGGCGGGCGCGTTCACACCAGGTTAACTAGCCGGGAAGAATGGGGGTCAACATACAATGCGTCCGTATATGAATCAAAACATATAACTAATAGGTAATGGAGATCCGTATCGCATCCAACTGCTGGTCTTTCTTGAAGCTCTTGAACTTCTTCATCTTCATCGGCATAAACAAAGAGACGCGATGGATGTTTGTACTGTTTGCATCAACATCCCACTGCTAGCCCAAATAATGCCGAAAAAGGTCAACCACGCTTATTGCTGTACAAGTTTCAAACTACACTTATCGTTACAGAGTGCAGATGGGGGCTCTATTCTTCTCAGCCAAGGGAGATACCTCTCTAGGGGCATCTATATGCTCCGGCTGTCTCCGTATACTGTCTACCAGAGGGTCTCAATTCCAGAAAATACCGGCTTGGACGAGCCACGGGTCGAAACGACAAACTGCGCGGCATCTACATACGGAGGTGAATAGACAGAGCAATCCTAGCGGAAGCGCTGTGAAGCAGATATACCCACTGAAAGGGTATTATTCCGATATCCTTGCTGCACCGTCGCAGCCATACAACCCCAGCCGAACGCCGCAGCCCCAGCCCACATCGCCTCCAGAGACACAAGCAGAGCCTCAAAAGGAACAAACACCACAGGAGAAGTTTGGCATAGTCTTTGGAACCCGACTTGCTGGGCCAGGCTATTCCTCGACTCGCTATAACCCATCGACTACACCCAAGTCGGCCTGGCGTACCGTTAATGGCGTTCCTATACCGCCACGGCCAGAAGAGCCTGATAACTGCTGTATGAGTGGCTGTGTACATTGTGTTTGGGATGACTATCGGGATGATGTCGAAGCTTGGGCTCAGAGAATAAACGAAGCTAAGAAGCGTGATCCTCCCCGGAGAGGGTCACGGAAGAAGAAAGCGGCAGGCCCGCTACATGATATGAGGCAAAGTGCGCGAAAAGAAGTTGACAGTGCAAGTGCAAGCATGGACGATGACGGCGGTGGGAGTCAATCCACCTGGAATACTGATATTTCTGCTGATGTGGATGCGGATGCGGATGCCCTGTTTGCCGATATCCCAGTTGGCATAAGGGAGTTTATGAAGACAGAGAAGAAATTAAGAGAGAAACGCAAGAAAGCGGAAGATAAAGCTTAGGGCATCTGTGATGCTTCTGGATACCATTCTTATTAATAGCGACGAGATGCTGATTCTTGTTGCCATGGATTCCGAAGGTTTAGGAGGTACCGGTGTAAATATTAGAGACGGCAATTGTCGAAAATAGAGGCAATATAGCCAGTTACCAGTAGATTTATTGATGATTGAATAAACATGTTTAAAATGTGGGATGCATAGAAGCGTTTATATTCTACGGTTCTCGGTGAGTATGAGATAAAGAGGTCATTAGTTAAATATAAAATCATGGCACTGTATCAAACCAGAGAGATTTCCAAAAACCATAAAGATATCATCATGCCCGAGGAGGTTCGTGGCCAGCCTCGCGCAACAGGCCCTCAAACATGTCACGAAGAGATTCAGGGAGTTCAGATGCCGAGGCCTAAAAAATTAGTATGTTAATCTTGCTAGCAGCGTCAATTATGGATTGAACCAGCTTACATTATTCCTCATTAGGCCATGAAGTAAGAACAGGGCATTATCTCTGTCCTTAGTCTTCTTCAGACGGTCGGTTTTATCCTTGGCAGACTCTCCTGGCTCCGGTCGTGAAATTGACGAGCGTACAGTATCACATAGGCTCTGGATAACGCACATGCTTTCCAGACAGTCGATAACCGCTCGAGATCCAGCTGGATGAGATGCCACCAGGGCAAGAGCAAACCAACCTTCGCTTTGAACGATGGGCCATTCGGTTTGGGTGATCATTATTCCTATTGGGCGCGCAACATCCTGATGCAGAGCAAACAATCGAGTAACCAGTTCCCGTGTTTCGGAGGGCAATTCAGAATCTCCCTTTAGTCGCATGAGGGTACGGCAGATGGCTGCTACTGTTCGCCCAATTTCGGTCTTAATAGGGGAAGAGTCTGTCTTGCCGAATAAAGCAAGGAGTAAGGAGAGATAGGTACGACGGCTGGCAGGTGAGTCAGAGTCGGAAGAGATTGGTTCCAGTAAACGGCCGATATTTGTGACTGAGGTTAATATTGTTTGGCGGGTCAAGCTCGTGGCCATAAGCTGCGCATGCGGTAAAGTTTCAATGGCCCATAAACGAGAAACAGCTTTGATAACACCAGCTTCACCCAGGTATTCGCGGTTATCTCCTGCTATAGCTAAGTTTTTTAGAAACCCAAGAGAGCAGTGGAGGATGGTCGCCTTCGCGTCCTCGCGCTTCAGCATAGATATCAGCGGCAGGTGAACCTTGAAGTCATGTAGCATTGATTTACAGACTTCATCATCTCGAGCAACATTGCCGAGTATAACGCATGCGCATATCTTGAGGTCATCCTTGTCACTATTTAACCATGAAACCAATGTCTCGGTTACCGAGCAACGCAAAGGGTAGTATTGAGGGAATGCGGGGAGGGCAGAGATATCAGCAAGGGAGTGGTTGAGCTTGAGCCGAAGGGGTATCATGACGGAGTCATCCCCTTTGAAAGTGTCCATAAAAATTGAAAGGAGTTCTTCGACATGCCCATTTATAATGCTCAGCCGCTGGAACTTGTCCTTTTGGAGGTATGCATTTAAACTGTTCACCAAGCAAGCGAACCCTTCTCCATGCGACTCTACGTTCGATGTAGCATGTATTAAAAGAGGTAATGAGTTATCAGATGCCGTATCGATGTATTGGCCTAGCATAGTCAGTTATGGTGCCGATATGGAGGAAGTAAGGCAGCCATACTTTGCTCACTTGTCATTTCCAACAGTTCATAAGTGACTCCCAATAGCGCACTACCCTTGAGTTTCCCACTGGCTAGAAGTTTCAGGAGCACTATGGAAATACCATTTTGAGCAACCTGGACCTGAGCAGGGACTAAAAAGCTGGTTAGCCAAAAGCTAAGATGTATAAATGAGTATTAACCTACCAAAGTCGATGCATATATTATAAATAACTGGTATAGCAACATGACCCAGATTTAAATGAGCGATCCATTGTTTTATGGGTAGGGTATAATTCATTTCCAGCACTCTTGCTCTATTTTCATCTCCGGTTGGTAATGTTAGCCCCTGGTATGGGGGAAAAAAAAAGGGGGGGGGGGGGGGGGGGCAGTGTTTTATACACCCACCTGTGTCAGCGCATGAATTTCCAATAAATCTTAGTGCATGTAGCAAGGTGTTCTCTTCGACCTCATCTGTCGATATGATGCGAAGGAAGTAGTCCAATATTCCGCTTTGGCCAAAGTGAGGTCTCCAATTCGCTATATATTGTCAGTACATATTTTAAAGCAACTATTCATACAAAAGGAAGCTTACCATCACGACTAGCATCCGCCAACATTTCAGCTACTTCAGCCATATAACAAGAGTTACTCCTCCATAGCATATCGATCTGGGATAGCACTAACGATAACCCACGCATACTTGGGCTGCCACTCCTTCGCTCCTCATCTGCTAGTTCTAAGGCATTTAAGAGGTTATGCAATTCTTCGCTCTGGTCTCCGTCACCTGCACTCTTGAATTTTGAGCGTAGAGAACGGATCATAGCTTCTTCCTCTTCTTGTGGGAGTTTTGATAGGTCTTTGGCAGGCGCAGGAATAGGTGATTTGGAAGTCTGCCCGTCCATCTTCTGCGCAGACCCAGAAGGGTATTTATCTAGTTCTGACCCAGCTTCCTGCGCCGGGTTGGCTAGGGACTCAGTGGGATTCTCCATGGTTTCCTTTAAGAGAGCTCGGCTTCCTGGCATGGGTGCCTATATTGACGGCAAAGACCGAGGATGGGCCGCTTCAAGAATGACCCAATCCGCAACGGCGACAGCCCCAGATATGACAAGGGGGATTTTAGGCGGCTTCAAGGATGATTCTAGGCTTCAACGCTCTAAAGAGGACACCTCCCCAATCATGTGGATACAAAAGACCTCCCTAGCGGTTAATGATAGCTATTTATACCAGTCCTATATACCAAGTATATCTATTGGTGAGCAGCGTCCGGGGTGACATTAGTCAAACAAGCAAGTATCAGGCAGATATCGAACAGGTGACCAAAAGGATCCAACTCATTAAACGCCTGGCCACTGTTTAGCTTGTTGGTGCCTGGCGAGAGATGCGAGGATGTTGCGACATTCCAAGGCAGTCCAGGGGTTTATGTAAGCGACCCGCCTTTTAGGGCTCTTTTGCTGATGGCGCCGAGCGGCTGCTGCCTGCGACAACAAACTACAACAGCAGGCAATCAGCCACGACTGGATCAGACAAGGAGGTCACAGACTACAAGCGGCTATTGATACCGCTTAAAATATATATATATATAAAACGAGACAGAAAAATAAAAAAGAAAAGACCGAAAGTGAAGGAGTGAGCGTGGTTTTATTGCCCTCGGCCAGAATCGAACTGGCATTTCCAGATATCCCAGGGAGTTGTGCTCCTGAGTCATACTTTTGAATATGAGACTGGCGTGATAACCACTACACCACGAAGGCATTACGATTGGCCTGGAGCCGGAGGAAGCGAGAATGCTCTGTTATGGATATTTCGCTATACCAGGGTGGGGCGCACACATACAGGCCACATACATGGGGGGATCTGGCTCTTCAAGGGTTTAAAATGGCAGCCAGCATCTAAGGATATTCCAGCGCAGACAGTGATATCCGGTATACGCAGCATGTTGGTTTCAACCTCCAGTCTTCAGGCCTACATATGGACAGTTGCTAAAGGGCGCAGCAATAGCAGAATGGACATGTTTAGCACATTCATGCCCCGCTTTCCCACTTGTGAATAAGGAAGGGCTACTAGTGCCATCTTTATATATAAAGCTGCTGTTCAGAAGGCTGTGGTTAAAGTTACAAGATACCAGAACATATCTATATCGACCACCAAAACTACAAACCTTCGGAACTAGCGAGGTTTTATCTTTTAAATATTTAATACAGCAGAGCCGGATGGTGCGGTTATACATTTCATAGCTAGACTTCAAACTATACTGTGTATCAATATATTTAATATTGAACGAGCTGTAAATAGTTAACGGACCGGGCAGGCAACTAAAGCCACGATGTCGGTTTATCTGTCCAGTTCACACAATTCTCGATGCCATAGCCGATATGCAGTACAATTACGCAGGTGATATAGATCACTCTTGTCCTCCAAGTTACCATGCATATCTTGCGAGAAGCTTGTTGCTGCGCTCGAAATATATGTGAAACTATCACGTGACTAGTGTTACTATGAGGCTACGGGACAAAAAAGGCCTTTCTGCCCCATGGAATAACCAACACCTACCACCGTATACTATGTGAATGGCCTGGTAACTTGTTGTTGTCCTAGGGAAGTATAGCATTCAGTGATTTCACGACAGTCATGTTGTTTTTAACGATTATGGTCGACTATGTCTATCCTGGTTAGAAATGAGGAGCTAATGCTTCAAACCAACCTGCTACATTCCCACACTACCGCATGGATGATATCCATGCAGCCCAACCACTACAAGCAACCAACAGTTGGAGCTGTTGGTTTCCACAGTGGTTGGATGCGGCTATATATACCGGTGTGAGGGCTCTGGTATCTTTAACACTAATATGATATCCAACACTCGACACTCGACACTCGAACCTCCCTCGTTATCCAGCCCTGAACCATGGGCTCGCGAGCACCCGTCCTCCCCAGCCTCCCTTATGATATCCTCTCCCTCATCCTTGAAGAACTGGTCGAGGACAAGCCATCACTCGCGCGCCTAAGTCTCACCTGTTGGGCCCTCCGCCCCTTGGCCCTCCATTTCCTCCTCGACACGGTGGACCTCTCCTCCCACAACCGCGGCCGGCTTCCCGAATGTGAAGACGAGATCCGCCCTGAGGTTCACGCGGACTTTGGCGATGAGTATCGTCAGGTAAACCTCGTCCCCCAGCAGAGGGCTTTCCTAAGGCTTATGACCGATCGCCCAGAGCTCGCTCTCTGCGTCAAGTCCCTGAAGTGGACACTGGTCTGGATCGACTGGGAAGAAGAGGCCCTCGCGGAGATTGACTACGAGTTGTGGAACGTGTTTGCACGCTTCACCAACGTTCGTCACCTTGACCTTGCCTCAATCCATAACCTCTATTATCTCTACGATCAGCCGTTTATTCGCAGAAACCCACCGCGACTCTTCCCTGCTGTCACCCATCTTCGCCTGGTCGGCTGGATGCACCGAGGGCTCGTTGACGCTATCATCGATGCCTTGGACCCCACGACCCTTCACACCCTCATCCTCGACCATCTTCAGGATGAAGGCGCTTTTCCCGACGGCACCCCTATTGCTCAGGATATCGCATCAGAACATGCCTGCAGTCTGAAAAACCGTTCTCGGGGTGATACTTACAGAGGTTCAATTACAGCAAACCTCTACCGTCGTCAACAGGTCGGGGAAGCAGCTATATTCCCAGGCCCCATGTGGACTGCTCTTCGTACCCTCTCGGCGCGGCGATGCACCTCACTTGTCAGGTTTGAGTGTAAGATTCCACCTGTCCACCAGGATATCGACCTCCGCAACTACTATACTTGGTTTGATGACACTGTGTCCTTTCTTTCAAATGTCAGGCAGACGCTGAGGTCACTTACTATCACCTTTGGAGAATGCCCACTGCTTACCCGTCATTCCCGGTGTGGCACCGCTCGGAACCTCAGCCGGATCGCTCTTCACCATAATATACATATAGTCGCTGATTTTTTACGTGTGTTGCTCCCGGCACTCAGTCACCCAGACTTTTCATGTCTAGGAAACTTGTATTTTCAAGGATTTTCTATATTGAATAAGGCTGGGTCATACGGCGTCCAGAACCTGGAGCTAGATGACGTTCGCGAGTTGAGCAGGAGATGTCCAATTGCCCCCTGGGAAACAATCACCCATACATTCAAGACGGATCACTGCCCTGTCTTTCTAGGTTACGATTACTACCCTGATCGAGAGACTATCCAAAGGTTCCGTGCCATTCTGGAGCAAAGCTAACCTATTATTCATCCAACATCCTAAGCTTAAACACCATTCGTTAACGAGAATTTGCTACGGCGCTGATATGGGTAACCTCTTGAACGGCATGGTACAGAAACCACGCCAAGCTAAAGCTTACATTGTTCGTTGAGCTAATGAACCTAAACTCTAATATATTATTCCTCTAGTTACAGGACTTTCATTGCCGGCATCTTGTCGTCCTCCCAGGTTATGGTTTGTTGGGTTTCTTGATGTGAGCAGGCCACACGTCCTTGCCACAGCCTTTGCGTTCGTTGTTCCAGTAAGCATAGATCGCATACCAGGCATAGTTATCGCAGTTTATCTTTGCATTTGCCCAATCTGCCTTACGGGGTTTCCCTGGAGGTTTTTTCCCTGCGACTTTCGCCGCCCTTTCAAAGCCAATTTCGTCCGGTATAGAAGGGATGTTTCTGGTGAATTTGAGATGTAGCCACTCGTGAATCATTATTCGCTCTCTGCAATCAAGGTGGTCCAAGGTCCTCGGAACCATTTCCTCGGTGGTACCCGCCAGGGCATCAATATTTGGGAACATATCATCATTAAAAAATACCGGGCAAAACACCATGCTGTGGGAATGCGAAAAGACATATTTTTCCTCAATCCCCCCCAAACCCCGATCACCCGGTAGGTTAACGATTGCCTGGGCTGCGCTTGCGCCGGTCCTGCTCAGGCCAGTTCTGGTTAGCTTTTGGGAGATACCATATAGCAAGAGTGTGTGGGTGTATGGCTGTTCATACCCGCAATATGACCCCCCCTCGTTATCCTTTATGATCCCCTCCCTATCGCAGATGAAGCGGACGCCATCAGCCCCGTCTATACCACGTCCTTCGTAGCGCGTCATTTTGTCAAGCAAAATATCGAATGACTCTTTCACATAGCCGATACGATCGTCTAACGCATAGAACATTTGGGTGAAGGCAGGGTCTTTCGTCACGATATAGCTCACTCTGCGCGCCTTTGTCCCTTCCCCCGCAAGGCCATCATCCAGATCCTTAAGAAACGTGGAGCTATGCTGTGCCAGCTCCAAGGCACCTTTAAATGCTGCGGTTATCTTCCCCCGGTCGATTTTATCTGTGCATGTCTCGTCCCAGTCGAACCACCTGTCAATCGCTTCTTTTGGCTCATCAACAACCAGCACTCGAGACAGTGGTATCGTTGCTTGGGTGATAGGGTCTATGAAGTCAACCTCGTTGTCGTATACCTCCACCCGCTGTTGTGGAACTCGAACATCTATACGGGGAGGAGTGTGTGTCTCGTTTGATCGTATGGTGATGGCCGTGCAGACCGATAGAAAGAACAGTAAGGGCACAAAATTAATCATACTTGATTTATTAATATTGGTGTGTGTCAGAAGGTATATGCTGCACTATTGGTACTTGGTGCTGTATTGAATAGAAGAGCTTGCATATCCAGTCTGAACTTCAGCTACCAGTCGCATTATATATTTCTTTCTCCCGGCCTCCCGGCCGTCCCTCTTTTCCTCGAGGAGCCTTCTTCCATACCCCCCAGACCCCCAGATCCTTACCAGCCGCTCATGTTGCCTATCTTGCTCATATTGTTAGCTTCATACTACGGCCTATGTTATACACATAGTAACCAGCTTGCTACGTAAAATATTCACGGCAGTGCATCCAACTGCTATTTTCAACTTGTATCAACCCCCATTTCTACATCGTGACTAGTTTCGTTATCGTCGTCACCGCTACTTCTAAGAGGATGGTAGTTGGAATAATTTACACAAATAGGTGTCTAACGGTCATCCTGCTTGTCCTTCATTACCAACACCAACACATTACCAACACCAAGATGCAGCCTACTGCGCCCCCAGGATTCGGGAGATATATATATTAAATATGGAGATGAATGTTGGATGTACGTACAGAGGATGCTTGTATACTATGTTTGTCAAATATACTCAAATATAGCAATGCAATCAAACTGCACCCTACCAAGACAACCCCCTAGCCCTCTACAACACTAACCAGGCCTGAAACTAGGTACCCCCATACCTCTACTCGCCCTTGTCTATAATAGGGTCCCGCGCTGCGGCTTCGGAGGATAATATGAGCCGCAGTTGTTGCATTAATGTTATCCTGCAGTTGTTATATGCATTATTGACTCCCAGCTACCTGGTTTTACGTATATGGCCTATTTATAGATGAAGTAAAGGAGATAGAGTCGACATTAGTACATTATATATGGTCAATCGAGGCCGCCCATCATTCTCCTGTAGAGTAGACTCATTCAATACCAATTTTTGTCTTCTAACTCTCATAATTGTTTTATCCCCTTCAAAATCCTTCTACTTATTCTTATATAGAGCTGAGTCTAATACAAATGAGACAACGGTATCAGCATAACGGGATGTTCAGGAGATGCGCTATTTACCTCCTCTTGTCCTCCGGCCTTGAAGTTGCAGCGATACCTGCTCCCACAGGGCCAGAGAAGACCACGACAGAAGGCCCAACACCTATAACTTCTGTGGCGACGAGTGATGGTCACCCGGTCACTGGTGAAGCCCCTGTCTTGTCGTTGCAAAATGTGCTCTTTAGCTCTGCCGTTACTAATCCCTATAGGTGTTTTCACCCCGACTTCAATATCCATCAGTGGCCTGGCACCACCAATAACGAAGGCTATGACAATTACCACCACAGAGAGCAATGGAGAGACCATTGCCGTCGCCATTGCTGCTGGAGCTGGAGTAGTCGGTGCTGGAGCTCTCGCAGCCTGGCTATTCAAACCTGCCCCTGGAATCCCCCCAGCACCAACCAAGCCCCCATCGTACCCTACCTCGGACCAGAATATGCCTCAGAGCACTGATATGCCCATGATGACGACGACAACCACTATGGAGCCTCCTGCGGCGTGCCCATTCACAAAGGTGGATGCGAAGCGGGATTTCCAACAGATACAGCTCCCTGCCCCTTGGACAGCTACAATTCCATCACAAACAGTTTCTTCTAAGATCGCTAAATGCACCCAGCAAGGAAGCAACAATGAGTTGCTCCGTGGCACCGACCCGGGGTATATCAAGGCACTGGCCGAAGTCTTTTGCAAAGAAGACCTCTCCATCGATCAAAGGAAGACGATTGGCCAGAACAATCTCTTCGGCGGACGGTATAAAGATAGCCCCCTCGACGGTATTCGCGTGCTGTTTAACTTCAAGTTTGGTCTGAAGAACGATGCATGCCCCAAGAATTGCGTTGATGCATATAATAATATGGTCGATACTTGTAAGTTTAGACCGCCTATATTCTCACATTCCATGAGCATTGTATTCTAACCTTCTATTGCTAAATAGGCCAATACAACTCGCGTGTTCTATATGGCGGTGCCAGCCTAGAACAAGGCTGCGGAACGTATGACTTTATGATCGATGCTGAACCCCTCACCGAAAAGACCTGTAAAGGTCCAGACATAAATGGTATTTTCTTGGATTATGAATACCGCGATGCCGCATTGGAAGATATAAAAAACTTCTGCAAAGCCCAAGATGGCCATGTGGTAAAGAAACGCGACGAGAGCACATGGATCAAAGAAACTGCTTTCACTGCAGCCTATTCTGACAAATGCGAAGGGTCTGGTGAGTATAAAATAACGGAAAAGTACTGCAGGCAATATCTGGAGCAGGTAGTTGATGGCTGCGATACCGATACCGTCCTGTATAAGCATGGGGGAACGGTTACTGACATCGATAACTGTGGTGCTTTTTCGTTCCATCCTATTGGGTTTGATGCGTTTTTCTGCTATCCTGCAAACAAGGGCATACTTCCAACCCCTGGGGTCACACCAATCACGCGCAAGATTGCGGAGGATGCAATCGAACAGTTTTGTAGCCGTGAGGGTGAAGCGACCACCCTATATCCAGACTTCAAACCGACAGGATTCGTACAGGATACTTGTGTGGAGAGGGGCTACGCCGATTGTTCATATCGCTTCACAGAGGACGGGAAGCGGGACAAGAAGGGAGGAATTCGTGTTGCGCTTAATGCGTCCTTTTTCAACATCCCGGCAGGCGCCTACTGCGGAGAAAAGAGGGAATATAGTATCACTCGAGACAGGTATGCACCCTTGCCAACAGCCATAACAGTGCGTCCATCCTGTAGACTGAGCTAATGAGGTATAACAGATGCAAACGAATGCTAAGGAAGCTCATTGGCGACGAGCCTGGAATGTGTGTCGGCCAGGACCCAAATAAACTGGAGCTGGGCTCGTTTCTGGAGTCGGGGGATAAAGGATGTGTCCTGTGGACTATGTCAGCGATCAAGGTATAATAGCTAGTAATCTGCTTGAAATACATAGAAGTTAAACGTTTATCCTATAAAATATTGTCTATTAGAGATGGTAGCGTAACTATATGAATATATCTAACGGTTATATGGGTCTTATATTTGCCTCATTACATAAGCATGCGCTAACCATATCGGGAACCTCATATCGCAACAGCGGCCCCTTTGCAACAAGCAAGAAGAAGAGCTTTAAAGGATTGACATACCACACCTCTTGATATTATATAGAACGGGGGATCTTTCAATTGTTGTGTCATCAAAATCCTGGTAGAAGACCGTCACATACTCTCGCTAATACCCCAAGACGTTGTTTTTTACAGCCGCAAGCATGACACGCGCGCAGCAAACCCTTTCCGTTGCATTGCTAGTAACATCGGTAGGTTGGACACCAGGTTCATTTTGATTACATCAAAGATATTCGCGCATGCTTAAGGGGTATATTCTAATCTATACTTTGTTCTCAGCTCTACCTGGCCTTGTACCTGGGCCTTCTACCACTTAACCAAACTATACAGGAGGAAATCATCCCACATGTGCGTCTCCCACAAAATCAAAGCAATGGAGGCTCTCCCGGCCCTTTTTTTCTCGCATGCCACTACGGGAAGACACATTCGCTAATTTCCCATCTAACCGTTCTTTATAGCTTCCGACATACTTCCTTATGGTGCTGGGTTCATACCTCCTCTTCCGACTTGGCTGGGGTGTCTTCACATTCAACGACGTACCGGACGCATATAAATCTCTACAGGCAGAAATAACTACAGCAACAACCGAATTGAGGGCAATGAAAGTGGATGTCGATTGAATTGACGGCAATGAATACTAGACAATGATTGGAACGACCGCCGGAGGGTTCACAATGGACATGAAGGGGAGGTATGTAAGGAGATAATTTTCGTCGTAGATGCATATTATATGGTTTTTCACATTTTTTTTTGCGGATTATGGGATATTTCATGCAACCCATCAACCGGCGGCGCTTGGGAGATAAATATTAAATATTATTATAATTTACATGGCTTTTAAGTGTTGACGGGTGGACTTATCTATAAAGGTCAAGATATCCTCGTTTTAAATATACATATGGTCTGAAACCGGTGAATTGCACGGCAGGCCAGGAGTCTGACAGCCAATCAACTTTGCCCCTGAAGTGTCATGATAGAGGAGGGTATACTATACTCCATCTCTAGATATAGGGGTATGGACTTTGAAAACAGGCAAGCAGCCGTATCTTACAGCCTTAACGCCGTTGAGCCGCCTTTATAACTAATGGGTAATATGACCGTTTCGCGAGACAAGGCCAAAGTTCTAAATTAGGCGAGCAAAGGTGAAAGAAGGAAATATCATATAAAGGTCTAACAATAGCTTGTGCTTTTGGTCATTTTATGTTTATTTGAGGGGGTTCTCTTTAGCAAGTCGGTCATGCTCATCGATATCACTATACTTGGAGTCAGTAAACAATGCAAATGCATGTATGAAGAGGAGGGAAGACTAACGTAGCTTCCCAAGGATAGCAGATCCAAACATCTCCGCTGGTGACTGCAGCAAGATATCGGTTCTCTGCGAGCATGTCTGGTGGGAGTTGGCCCTTCTTTGGCTTATCTTTATTCTATATTGCACGAAGAGAAAATTTAGCACTGTATACTCTCCTTTTTTTGTGGATGGAGTGTTATACTCACGTGTAGGACAAAGACAGAGAAGGTGGTCTTCTCTCCCTGTCGGCCAAGCTGCTTTTGCGCAAGTTCTACGTCTTTCTCAAGTTCACGAACGGCGTATTCCAGGGTCGTGCGGGTGTCATCGACCTCATCAACTATGAGAACATTCTTTCCAATCAGGTTGGCCATCTCCAGCGAGCTCAGGTCCAGCCATTGTGTGCGTGTGACTTTGGTACCGGGGACTTCCTCGGGGTCACCTCTGCCTAGATCTTCGTACAGTGAGAGTCCGATGGCCTGGATAGGGATATTTGGAGAATCCTTCTTTTTGAGAAACGACCTGTGGCGTCACAGGTTCCCAGTTAGTGTCGAAGAAAGTAAGTATAAGTAACTCCGTGTATATCGGTAGGAGAATGTTCCCTCATACCTTAGCATTCGTGCAGGCACATATCCTCCACCACCGATGGCGATCATGAGGTTTGGGCGGAATTCATCGAGGATGCGGCCTGCAGAAGCCTGGCACAGCTTATGTACCTATAGACACCACAACCAAACACCTGTCAGACACGGAGCTATTCATCTCTCGGTTTATATCCTTGCCTAATGGCTGTTGAAACGGTATGACAACAGGAAAGAAAGGGTTTAGAGCCGGCTAGGTCCCTTTATGTGTATACAACAGGAGACAAAGAATCTCTCTAGACCCCTTTTATATCCGTACCTGGTTGTATGTGACGTAGGCCTTCTCGACCATGTTGACTGATTGATCCCTGACTCTACCAATAGTCTTCGTCCCTCGTTTTATATATGGCCAGTCCTTCTATATCAAAAAAAGTCCAACGTATTAGCTTGAGTCGCCCAGGAAGAGAAACAAAACACTTCTTGGGGGAGCAAAATAGCGGGATGACATCAGTTAAATACTTAGCCATGCAACAAGCTGGATGGCGCGTTTAACTATTCACATACCTGACTTTATATACTCAGACTGCAATCGAAGTATATAACTTGAACAGGAAAGGGAAGAAGAGAACTTATCAACCAGGCTTTGAGAATCTCTTTATTTGATATTTTTTATATATTTTTTGCCCTGCCTCCCTTCTAGACATGCGACAGTCACGGAGGGCGCCGGTGAAGGCTTTAGCAGCCTCCAACCTTTTTTTACTAGCTGATTGATAAGGGTTTGAGCCCTAAGAAGCTTCGGCATGCCCTTTCGGGATATCTACGGCCGTTCAACAGCAGAGCAACTACATACGTCGTACTGAATATGAGGCGATAACGCCGGTCACCAGGTTGTTGCTGCTGTTGTTTTTGATGATGATGAGCAGGAGGAGGGGCGGGTGACTGAGGCCAACGGTCCGAGCCAGCGCAGCCGGCTAGACGGAGCGTTGAGCCTTTCATCTCGAGACGTTCTTCTTCAATGCTTGCAGGATCGCCAGACGCCACGAAGATATACGAGGCGTATTTAACTAAAGTAGTGGTCAATGCTCTGTGGAAGGCTTTGATGGCGTTGTCCCCAGCCCATACGGAGTACAGAGATATACTATGTAAGTATAGAGCTAACAGCTATCAAACAGGCCAATAGACGGTGTGTCGACTTGGGAGAGCAGAGAGGCCGTGGGGTGGGAAGAAACTACAGAGTACATCCCAGAATCAAGATGACCTCCCGGCCTAGAGAAGAACATCTGAGCCCCTTCTTCGAAACCGTTTATGAAGGATGCCCTTGTATATTCATAACCACGGGGGCTGTTTCGGTATCGGAGTAAGGCAATACTGATGGGCCAAAGAGCCACCGCCACCTTAACAACTGGTTCTGTACGACATGCTTCGTACTTTTTTGGTCGTGCGACTTCCAACATCAATATTACATTATATGACTGCAAGGAGCAGCTTCGAGTAAGCCCGGGCCGTTTGTAGAAAGGTCATCGATATACGGGGAAAGCTTCATGAACGGCTGGAACAGGCTCAACTGCACACGAAGTATACATACAGACGGAGTACACAACATAACCCCGCTCGTCTAGTTTTAGCATCTTACTTGCTGCGTGGTGATTCGGGCTGTGTCGAGATGTAGATTCGGAGAAGAGTACAGACCCTATGCACCCACCTGACCGAACGACCAGGATTATCTGTGGAAACAGAAACAAGCTGAAGAGACAGAAGCGTGTTCTCAGCATGTCTGGGCAAAAAGCATCCCAAGGGGTCACGAACTAATAAGACGAACGAACTCCAGCCAAGATGTGTCAAGATCGGATGATCCATGCGAAATCGACAGCGCGCTTTGAGCTCTGTCAAGGGTAAGCCGGAGCCTAGCAAGCAGCCGATCTTCGGAGAAGGGGATGTTCCAAGAAAGAGAAAGAGAGAGTGAGAGAGACCTTGTCATCCCTTCAAGAAACAAGAAATTTTCGACCATCTGCGCCATCTCACACTATTTCGGACTATTTATGGCCATCATCCAGTATGGATTGGCAACAACAACAATGCATAAAATCCTACATTTTACACATTAGTTAGGGGGAAGCGTACGACCTCGTCCATATCCCGGGATCATGGCTCCTGGGAAACAAGTTCGACAATGATGGTGAGGGGGGAGGATAGAGAACCAGAAAGAGACACCACTAGCTGAGAAGTCATGTCGCTGATTGAGTGTTTGAAAATTTTTTTTTTTTTCTTTCAACCCCATCATCGCACAGAAGGACCAAGAAATCGGTTATATCAACTTCGGATGGGAACGGTTCCTACTGGTCGTTTGGCTGGTTATTGTGCAACGATCAAAGCTCAAGAGAGAAGAAAAAGGATGAATTTAAGGGAAGAGGGAATGGAAAGAAAAGAAAAGAAAAGAAGAAAAGAGGCAGAAGAAGAATGGTACCGCCTATCACAAGCCTCTTCTTGGACGGGAAAAGGTGACCTATCCCATACGCGGTGGTGACAGCTCACCCGCCCGGAAGGAAAAGGATAGCGCACCAGATCGTACCCACGGCGTCGGAAGCCATCCCCACGATCGGCTGCTTATTGTTCTAATTCGTTTTCTTGACTACCATGGGTCAAAAGGGGGTCGGGTCTGACAACATCACGTCTGTCAGGGTAGGTTTTTCGAAACTTCCAAATTTACTTCCAGTTCGAGAAGTTCTGCGGAACCCACTGAATTCCATGCATGTCAAACAGCTCAAGAAAGCTCTCTCAGCCATTCATATCAGATGGTGGATGGCAATGCTTGGAAGAAAAAAAAAGGGGGTTCGTCTACCAGCCTGGCAGCCTGAAAAACGCCTCCCCGTTTCAACGGCGAAAGGGAGAGAAGCGTGCAAGGGGAGAGAGACAAGAGAACAAGAAACACAGAGGAGGCGAAGGAAGGAAAAAGGAATTCTGCAGGTGGGCTCTGAGGAAGTTGGGTCTGCAGGAACAAGGCCAGCAGCACACGGCCCCCAGGTGGGAGAAAGACATGTTCTGGAGTATATATACATATATGTATGTATGTTATGCTTCGTTACATGGCCGGATGGAGCTCTCAAGGGTGTTCCCCTCCCGAGTCAGGCAGACTATGTACAGCATCTACATAGCTGGATGCAAGCCCGTCTAAGCACCAGCAGGGGTCAGACAGAGAGAAACGGGCGCCAAAGAAAAGAAATAGTAGCAGGCACTAGGAGAAGAACGAGAGGGAAGATCCTGCTTGAGGCTGAAGTGCAGATGTTATCATCCATTATATTGGTTTTATACCATGTATTCATGTATCAACTACTCCATTACTCTTCTCTCTCTCTCTCTCTCTCTCTCTCTCGATCTCAACTCGAGAATTGTTTCATCTTTCCTTCTTCTCTCTTTCTCTCTTTTATAAATAGTATTATTGCACAGCTCGCACCCCTTGATCCCTGGACCCCGTATCCCAGTCCCTGTCCGCTTGACGAAGAAAGTCGGGGTCGAAGTATCATCCAAGGCATCTTCCAGCAGTGGTAAGAAAGAGAAGTAACTAGTTTTTCTACCTGTAGCAGACGGACAGAAGAAGCAGACAGACAGACAGACAGACAGCAAAAAGAATGGAGTAGTTTTGCTTCTCTCGCCCCAAGAGCGTCCCTGAAGGAACTTCCGCCCCCTTTGCCATCATCCCGTCGTCTTCTCTTTTTCTTTTTTCCCTTCTTCTTCTTCTCTTCTTCTTCGCCTCTTCTAAAGATCTCTTCAACCGCTTCCAGTGGAAGAAAAGAAAGAAACCTCGGTTGCATCTCTCGCAAGCTGACGGCTACCAGCATCTACCCATCCTCGAAGTCTCCCTCGACCTCGAATAACGCCGGCATCAACTCTTCATAAGCCCTGCGAGTCCATCGAGAGAATCTCCCTTTCCTCCGTCCTGCATAGAATCCGCCCTTTTCCCCCGTCTTTCTTCGCTGCAGCTTTTCTTGCGCCCAAAAAAAAAATCTTCCATATAGAACGAGAACGAAGACGACAACCATAACAACCACCACCACCACCACAGCCATATACACACTGTGAATGCGATGATACTGGCTTCATCTCTGGATGCGATCTCGTTGACTGCTCCCCCCTCGACGGCTCCACCTGCTCTAGTGTGTCCATCTCTATCCCCCACTTGAAGCCGGACTTGCGACAAGAAGTCCCAGAATAAAAAAACCCTTGCTCTTAAGAAGGACTCGGCCGGGGGGGTGGAAGGCCTGCCTTTCGTATACTCGAGCCAACTACCGTTACAAGCTCACCCCGGAATTTTGCCCTCGCCAGCCTTTTGCCGCGGATCTCGTCTGTTGGCCTGTTCCTCTTCTCGCCTCCTTTATATTCGTCTCCTACTTGTGTGGCGGACGTAAAACGGCGACGCCGTTATCTGTCTCTTCTGGGACCGTCTCCGGGGAACGCTTTAGATTTCTCCACACTATACACACATCTCCGAGCCTGTCTTCGGTCTGGCTATCTCTGCCTCTTCTCTGATCATGAACCGCATGCTCGATCCTCCCTTGCGAAACCCGTTCCATGCGCCGCCCGTTGGTGACCTCTCTGCGAAAGCAAGGACAATACCGCTCCTCTCCTCTACTGCCCCCGCAAACGATTCGATTAGTCCCGGTGACCCTATGGACATGAGCCCGTCGACCTCGACGACCACGTCAATGGCTCCGCCGCTCCAGAACGGTCCAGAGACAGACACCGCCAATGCGAACCATACAAACGGAACCGCCATGGACTCGATACAGTCGCAAAACACAAACTCGAACCATCCAATTGGCGCTGCAGCTGCCGGGCAGCAGCCAAAGGTCGTTCAGACGGCCTTCATTCACAAGCTATACAGGTTCGTCTCCGGCATCCCGGGGGGAAATCGCATATATACTAACGGCTCTCTACAGCATGTTACAGGACCCCAGCATCCAGCATTTGATATCTTGGTCAAGTTCCAACGAAAGTTTCGTCATGTCCCCTTCCTCGGACTTTTCAAAAGTTTTGTCGTACGTGCTTCTCTTAACCCATTGTCTAGGCGAAAACTACTTGTATCTGACAGGCAACGATATAGTCAATATTTCAAACATACCAATATATCCTCCTTTGTCAGACAGTTAAACATGTATGGTTTCCACAAAGTGAGCGATGTATTTCATACCGGATCTCCGGACTCGCCGATGTGGGAATTCAGACACGGTAATGGCAGCTTTAGAAAGGGAGATGTTGCCGGTTTACGAGATATCAAGCGCAGAGCTTCTAGACATGCGCTAATCCATAGAGACTCCTTCTCTACTCATAAACCGAATCCGTCCCAGCCAGGAACTCCGGCAGAGACCGCCATGGATGGCCAGGATCCCAGAATGGCCAGTCTGGAACAATCCTTGTATGACATGCATAACCGCCTGTCGCGTATGGAGGATCATAACGCGCTTCTTAGCTCGCACTACCATGTCCTCGCCGACGGTCTGGCCAAGTGCCATCAAGTAAGAGATCCCTCAGCACACCTACTCTCGATCGATCTACTGACTTGACCTCTGCAGTGGACAAGTACAATGTCGTCTTTCATCGTGTCACTAGTCCCTGACACGGAAAATACCATCCACAAAGAGGGTAAGTTTGTATATTATTGCAGATTGCCGAACTAGATACTGACATGGCATACCAGCTGCCAACATGCAACGGGAAATCAGTCGACAACTGGATTATATCCGGACTCTTGAAAATCCTCAGGAGGCTATGCTATCAGGAAGACAACCATACTTTTCCATGTCCATCGACCCTGGCCCACCACTCTCACCTCGTCAGGTATGCCAGGATGACGGTAGGCGGCCCTCCGGAATACGCCATCCTTTACCACCTCATATCACCATCTCACCGCACCGTCAAGGATCTCTTGGCGGAAACCAAACACCCATCTACAGCAAACCCCAGATCCCGCAACAATCAAACCTCCATCCTCTAGCATCAGTATCCTCTTCCTCGGGCCCCAACCTTGCCCGGCGCCACACCTCAGCCGACATCAGGCAGCACGGTTGGCCTCCGTCAGCCGGGCCCTCACCCAATTCACAGTACGGCCCTACTGCATCCGTCCAATGGCCCTCTTCACCTAGTCGGAACCCCAATTCCTCAGACCAACACGTCCGAGATGCACTGGCACGATACGAGCTCGGTGGGCCACGGCGGCAGCAAGAACATCCTAGACAGGTTACTCCACCTTTACTCCTAGATCCATCACAGGCAGACAATGGCTGGTCGATAGGAGGACCCAAGTTCCCGCGCCCGATAGAGTCAATGCCTGCAACCCGTCGATCGAGTATGGCGAGTAATGTGCATTCCCTATTGAACCCATCAAGTGCTGCTGAACGAGCAGAAGACGCCGACGGACCGCTGGGAGAAGACCGGAAGCGCAAAAGACTTCAATGAAAGCTATTACCTAGCTTTTCCTTACAGTATATCATTTTTTGCTATTTTCATTCCTCTATTTTTGGTTTATCCTTCATTCTCTCTCCTATTATACCATATCATCTTCAAAAGGAATTCATCTTGGATTTTCATCAATTCCTTCCAAAAGTCAAAAAAATACCCCATTTGCTTTTACAGCCGTCTTCAAACCCAGCTATGTTTCTTGTACATCTGCAGCATTTTTCACACCCCCCACGGTTTGGCATGCATTTGGTGGCAGCATTTATCGCTATGAATGAAGCTCGTTTTATACACCACCGGCCATTTCTTGATCTATCAGCCTAATTTCTTTCTTTTTTTTTTTCCGGTATACCAGTTTTTTCTGTCATTTCGTCTGTTTCTACTCTTTCATACCAGCCTCCTCCATTCATTTAATTCTCTACCTTGTTTGGCTCTGGTACTTCTTATTTACAGGGTGTTAGGCTGGATGGCCCCTTTCGTTTGCTGTACAGTAAAGCCATTGGCAATGGGATTCACAGCTCCTTGGTCTAGGCTTTTATATGTTTGTGTTTTTCTTTTTCTCTGGAGGGAGGAGGGAGGTGTTTTGGATGGGCACAGCATTGTGCAGAGGCATATATACCATGGCATAGGGAGGTAGCTGTAGCAGTTTATTCTTTACTTTTTGTTTCCTTCTCCAGTATGCAAATGAGAGCGTTCTACAGAGTCCGTCGAATTTGTTATTGTTGCTATGCTGTGTTTGTGTTTATTTCTATGCAAAAACACCGATGTAGGACATTCACTGGACAATTTGTGGGAAATAAGTATCATCTTCCAAAAAAAAAGATGTAGATAATACATCTTTATTCTATTTTAATTGTACTGGCTGACTCCTAGCTTCGATATCCAGGATATCAATATCGCTTGGAGTTATTACTTCGACCGTTATTTTGGGATGACGTCCCCTGGTTCGTCTTCGCCACACAGCAACTTCGCAGACGGAGTAGATGTCATTGGCAGGCTGGGCGCGGTGGATGATGATTATTATTCCAGTCCAGGCCCGAGTACAAATGAGTCGTCTGATAGTGACGCGCCGATATTGACCAGACGCCATCACCAAATGAGACCGAAAAGAAAAACCCCGCTGCAAACAGCATTAGAGAAGACGAAGAAGAGAGCACCGTCATCTTCGTCTTCGAAGCAGGATTCGATACAGGAGAAGAGACAGAAGACTGGCCAGAATGAAGCTACTGCCATAACGATGAAGTCTGTTTATTTTTTTCCACTCTAGAAATAAGAACAACGGATAGAGACGAAACATAAGCTAACGAGATATTATAGAAACCGGTTCAATACCACGGTCAAATTTATCGTCGGTCCAGAAGATGAAGAGTTTCTTGTTCATCCTTTTCTCCTTGAGGCTACTGGGTTGTCGAGTCTCTTACTAGCAAAGAGTCCCGCAGGGCCAGTCCGGCTTCCAGAGCTGGACTCCGAGACGTTCAAAGCATTCGTGGAATGGCTATATAGTTCCCACATGAGGCCAGAAGAGAATGTGAGCGCGGCTGTAAGATACGGTAGCCTTATTGACTTGTACTGTGTTGGCGAGAAGATGGGTGGAGGAGAGAGCTGGATGGAACTTGTGGTAAAAAAGATGATTGATCTATTCAATCAGACAGAGCGAGAAGTCCCTAGTGGGTTGACTTCTGTTATCTACGAGAAATTTCCTAGTGGCTCTCGAATGAGACGCCTGTGGGTTACACTCAATATACTTGGTGAGACGGATGGTCGGAGTACCAATATCGAGTTCTTGCAGGACTTGAGCCAGACGCAACGGTGTGTGATACGAGACCACAGTCCAGACGTAGACTACCTGCTGGACCCATTCAAGAGGCCAGAGAGGGTACTTGGTCTAAAAAAACTGTTAACGGCTTTCCATGGTTCCCGCCTCCTTGAAAACGGCGCGGTAACTCAGCCTACCAAATCAAGCGTGGAAAAGCAGCCTGAACAAGAGAGGCAGTCACAGCGAGAACCGGAGCCCCAGTTAACAAACGAAAGATCACCTGAACTCGGCTCAACACCACGCACATCAGTCTCCAGCTCGGGGGAAAAGGATCCCGCGACCAATGCACGCAATACGTATGGGGAGTTGATGAAGAGATTTCAATCTACTCAACCAAGGATGAGCGCACCATAAAAACTCCATACCCACGAATAGGTCATTTCCTCCCTTTCTTCGGTTTTCTCTGCGAGAGAACTTCGTCCAGATAACTGCTACTTCTCTTTTTTGTGCCGGAAACCGCCTTAGAAGCCGTCGACTGGCCCTCAGAATGTTTCTCTCTTTTGCCTTTACCCAATGACGACCTGCCATCTTCCTCATCACTGTCTTCAACTATCTCGTTCCCTGGACCAGGAATAGGGTCGGCCGGTTTTATTCGAGACCTAGCATTCTTCGACTTTGCTGCTTCGGCTTTTTGAAAGTTCTTGCCTAATAGTTGTTTCCTGAGCTTATCATTAGAGCTGAGTTCCGTTCGCTTTATGCTTCCGTCGGCCTCTTTCTGGGGGATAGGTGCTCCCAAGCCTAGTCTAAAGGCATAATGTTAGCTTAGGGGTCTATACAAAAACAATAAGAGACGATGACCGATTTTACCTACTTCTCTGGAACCGCTGTGAATATCTCATCTTCCTCTCTCTCAAGCTCCTCCTCAGACTTTGCATTCGCTGTTTCATCGGCGGTTTTGGGAGGCAGCCAGGACGCAATCAGTCTCTGGCTTCTTGCAAGAGCAACATTTGCCCTGTTAAATATCACATCTGCTTCGGACGTAGTCGCAGGCATCCTTTCCTCTCGCCTTTCTTCAATCAAATGTAGATGATTTTTTGATATTAGAAGGAATTCTTGCAAAAGATGAAGAAAACAAGCATTTTATTAGCTGTAATTATCGTATTGATCTTTCAGTACATAATGCTACATTTTCTGCAGTGTCCGGAGCAGATCGGGACGTATTTGTATTTGTATTACCAGCTAGAAAGCCATCAACCAAACGTTTCCGATTTTTTGCTTGTTTCTTCTTCGTCTTTTCCTCCAGAACTTCAAGCAACTTCATCTTCTTTCTTCCTCCGTTCGCGCAACGCTGTCTCGTGTATAATACTTCTTTCTTGGACTCCCGGAGCTGTTTCTCAAGATGTTCAAGCTCGCTCGTAGCAAGCCAATTGCTGCGGCTTTCAGATCCGCCGTCGTGAGTTGCTGCCAAACCAGTCTCCATACATAGCCATTGTCATCTTTTATGAGCCCTTCTTTCACGTCTGGATGATTATGGAATGCTAATATATTGAACCTGTGTTGTTTGTAGGAGTCTCCTCTTCGCACCAGATTCGCCCAATCGCAGCGAAGGAACCTCTCGATACACGAATACCTCTCTGCCAACCTCCTCAAGTCTGTTAGTATCGACCAGCGTCTCTCCTACGCTCTAGCTATGGCTTTCTAACTCGGCACGGCTGCAATATAGTATGGCGTTGGTGTTCCAAAGGGTGAAGTTGCTCGCAGCGGCGATGAGGCTGAGGCCATTGCGAAGAAAATTGGTATATTTATCCCGACAAAGCTAAAGAAGTACGAAGAGGCAAAAGACGACTAAGGCTGTATGATGTAGGTGGTGAGGACATGGTCATCAAGGCCCAGGTCTTGGCCGGTGGTCGTGGAAAGGGTACCTTCGACAATGGCTTGAAGGGAGGTGTGAGAGTGATCTACTCGTATGTTCAATTTCTCTCCTGCTGCGCTTTGCACAAGAGGTAGGACTGACACTTAGTCCAGTCCAACTGAGGCCCGCATGTTCGCCGACCAGATGATCGGCCACAAGCTCATAACCAAACAAACCGGTGCCCAGGGACGTCTCTGCAATGCCGTGTACATCTGCGAGCGCAAGTTCGCCCGAAGGGAGTTCTACCTTGCCATCCTGATGGACCGTCAAACTCAGGCTCCTGTCATCGTTTCCTCCTCGCAGGGTGGAATGGACATCGAGGCCGTTGCCAAGGACACTCCTGATGCTATCACGACCACCCCAATCAACATCCACACTGGTGTCACTGACGAGATCGCCCGAGATATCGCTACCGGCCTAGGCTTCTCCGAACAATGTATCCCAGAGGCCATGGAAACTATCAAGAAACTTTACAAGGTTTTCATGGAGAAGGATGCCACCCAGATCGAAATCAACCCTCTGTCTGAGACTTCTGACCACCAGGTTCTTGCGATGGATGCTAAATTAGGCTTCGACGATAACGCCGACTTCAGACAGAAGGAGGTTTTCTCCTGGAGAGATACCACTCAAGAAGATGCGGATGAAGTTAAGGCTGCCGAGTAAGCAATTCAATTTTTTTAATTATCTGTTGTAGTTCTAACCGATGTCCTAGATCTGGCCTCAACTTTATTAAGTTGGACGGTGATATTGGCTGTTTGGGTAAGCCCACCTTATGAGCTTTAGCTTATATACCCATCATAAACTTTACTAACTACTCGGCTGTAAAGTCAACGGTGCTGGTCTCGCCATGGCCACTATGGACATCATCAAGCTCAACGGTGGAAGCCCTGCTAACTTCCTTGACGTTGGTGGTGGTGCCACCCCTGCCGCCATCCGATCCGCCTTCGAGCTCATCACTAGCGACCCCAAAGTTACGGCCATCTTCGTAAACATCTTCGGAGGTATCGTGAGATGTGATGCCATTGCTCAGGGTTTGATTAATGTCGTCCAAGAGATGAACCTCCGTACCCCCATTGTTGCCAGGTTGCAGGGTACTAACATGGAGAAGGCTCATGCATTGGTATGTCTCTCCTATAGTTGAAGCATAGCATTGTGATGTCTCTAACTTTTTTCCTATAGATCAGCGAGTCTGGCCTTAAGATTTTCTCTATCGAGGATCTCCAGGTTGCGGCCGAGAAGTCCGTTCAATTCTCCAAGGTCGTCAAGATGGCCAGAGACATTGACGTTGGTGTTGAATTCACTCTTGGTATTTAATTCACGGACCACCATTTCGTCCCTTTGCACCCTTGCCCTCCCTCCTTGTGTGTCCGAGCCCTTCTCACAAGGAGTAAGGGAAGGCCTAACGAGGCAATCAAGGCGTATGCTCCTTTCTCAGGCCTCTGACATGCTGTACTAACTGGTTTTTACTCCTACTGTCGCAGAAAAAGAGCACTAAGTGAAACCACAGCTCCTGTTTCAAGCTATCGACCCGTTATGTCTTTTTGCTTCCTTTACTTTCCATTTTGTTTCACTATTTTTATTTTAGCACGTAAAAATGTGGGTTCAGTCTATATGCCACATGTTAATTTATAGAAGGACTCTTTTTTTCCTTTTGGAAACCTGTAACTAGCTATGTATAAGGATATGTAAGAGGAGAGAGAAAAAAATTATTTGACTGAAACTTGTGGAGCCGACGTTGCATTCACACCAAAATTTTCTCTCCACCTTTAGCACTTTCGATGACTATGATCACTATTGACCTCAATAGGTTTTGATACCCTCACTTGGTCTTCCTGATATCCACATTCTTCAGCTTTCCCAAATTAAACATACGGCCTAAGGCATAGTTGAACACCCCAACCCAAAGCCAGGCGCCAGAAAGCAGATAGATCGAAATAACCTTGCTTCCAGCCCAAACCCATTTTCTCGGGTTTACTTTCCACGGCCATAGCCAGCGCCATGGGGCTGGGCCGTATAGCACCTGAGTGGCTACCCGTCGAGCATAGACTTCGTTTGGAGTAGCCTTATCCTGGCTGTGTTTTACCCTTCTGTCATATTCAGATCGAATTGGCTGGTATAAAGAATCGGGTGCTAGAGTGCGGGGTGTACGTGCAATCCGTGATTCAACGCCTCCAGTTATTATGGTGACTACATTGACGCTGATAAAGGTCTTTAGCATCAACCGTTCTGATATTACTGGTAGTCATATATACATACCCAAACGGTTCCAGTTCCACTCTGAGCGTGTCACTGTAGGAATGCAACGCACCCTTGGTGGCATTATACACTGATCCAAAAACATATGGTATTATCTATCAATTGGTTAGCTAGGTTAATAAAAGTAATGGATGAGGAACGTACTCCTGCAACAGATCCTATTTGTACAATGGTGCCTTTAGCTTCGATGATAAGTGGCGTGAACACCTTACACATATGTATCACGCCTATGATATTGGCCTCAAACGTCAGACGCACTTCATCCATGTCAACATCGAGAGCCGGTACTGTATAGTCTGTTTAATAATTACAGTTAGCACCTTTTCTATAAATGGATAAGTAGATTATAGCTGAAGGGTATAGATCATACTTCGTCCGCTGTGGAAGGTCAGGAGAAATTAGCAATGACCAAATGGCAGCAACTTTACTATGTAAAGTACTTACGCGTTATTGACCAGGATATCCAATCCTTTCCCGTCGCCTAGTATGGACTTCAGTTCACCCAAGCATGCTAGAACGCTCTTTTCATCGTCCACTACCAGGCTCATGGTCTCAATTCCCTTCTCCTCAAGATCTACAAGTGACTCTCTGCTTCTCGCAGTTGCAAATACTCGTAGGCCATTGCGCTGGAACTCGAGGGCAAGTGAATGGCCAATTCCCCCTGGCGAACAGCTTATACGGAGCGTGTTAGCTCTTCTTTCTCTGCCTGGTTGGGGGCGCTCACCCGGTTATGAGAACGGATTTGCGATTATCGGGCAAGGCCATAGCAACTGCTTCTAATTAATTGTTCTCCGTATGGTATTAGCAGTCATTGATCTCTTATAGATATGGAGGATAAACATATGTAGAGACTGGAGAAATCGATCGAACGCCAAAGTTGTAAATAAGCTGATTGGTCAACATCTTAATGGTGATTAATTCGCGTTACGCGATATTATTGGTGCGCTGCCACGGCACACTAAGCCTTTTTGGATCGCCACGTTTGATGACTAATACCACAACTATATAAGCAGGAACTTGTGCCCTGCAGTAAGTTGCTGGCTGAAGACGACCATACGAGAGCAACTCCCAGAGCTACTTCTCAGAAGAATTCTCTGCCCGCAAGCATAGGAACCATCCATACTCAGAAGCGATACCTGACCTTATTTTGGCGTCTTCGCTGTTAAGAATACTCCAGTTGGCCCCATTGTCAAATATGAACAAGCACAGCGCATAAGGATCGAATATAAGTAAGGGCAAAAGATCATATGTTGAGTCTGATGACGCTAAGTACGGATTTAATTTTTGCTTGGGAATATATATACGGGTGAGAGCTGACTGAGAATTAATATGTGACCCTTATACTTCTAAGGTGTAGGCCTACCTATATGTCAGCTTCGGCATAGAACATATATCCAGAGGGAAAAAGGTACTCACTTTAGCATCGGTATGGAGATATTTGGTTATCTGGGCGTGGTGTGACCATCCAATATGCTTGAGGGTTAGTTTTTTGTGCTTAGGGATTATGCTCTAGTAGGGGAAGACTCTGACAATGTGAAAGTACAGACTGGGAGTCGCCTCCTAAGGGGCATGTTGAGCTCATCCTGCCAGCAACTGCTAAGGAAGATAAAGGAAGTGATTCAACTAATGGCCCCTGGTGGCCGCAGGTGCATATATAAAATGCAGAGCAAGCTCCCGACACAGGGATACTCAAAAAATATCTATGCCCGTGTCGGCTATCTCCACATTCCGGATCCCATGCTGTTCCTGCAGTATCATTACCTCTTAGCTGGGGCTTTACAGCACAGTTTGAGGGAAGTTTCCCAGCATGTACGGCTTTGGTTGACTCTTCTTATGGCCGCCACCTTGTCGGTCGTCTCGTGCTTGGTCCTTCCTCCAGATTCTGTTTAATAATGGTAGAGTCAGAGCCGTCATTCGGCCGGGGTGGCCATCCGCTGCGTGCGGCGTCTGTACTCTCAGAAGGCGAGCTGGCAAGCGGTTGAGTCTTTCTGTTAGTCTGGGGAGATTTGTTTCCTTTGATGGCGACTGTCCAGTGCCTGCCGCGGATTTCGGTTCGCCCAAATCCTTTATAATATTTTCTAAGGCTTCTAGGCGTGCTAGAAACTCAGTGTCCCTGTGTTCCTTCGATCCCCTTAGGGCCCGTTGGCTTGGGTATATACACTCAATTCTCGCCTTAACACAGCTAGAGCATGGAGTATGCCTATTATAGCGGACCTTTCTACGTCGGCGGGTGGTTCAACTTCTCGGGTTAGGCGATTGCTCAAAGGTCGCGGGGTCTCGGGCCGCGGATTCCATACTGGAACCTCTTTCTATACTGGATCTTAAGCGGACTAAGACAGACCAGCTTAGTATGTACCGCCGATACGCTACGAATAGGTGGCATACCATAAGACCTCAGAGGGGAGATGTTCTTGAAGCGAGTTGAATGAAGACGCTGTGATTCGTGTGGATGGATAAATGTTTAACGGGCTTCCCTCAACATGGATTGCCAACTTATACCCGTATAAAGGAAAAAACAAATAGCCCGAAATGGAACAAGGCGACACCATCAAACAGGAGAGTGAAATGAGAGAACCTTGCTGCTATTCGTAAGGAATGTTTTCAGGATATCCACCCTCCGGTCAAATTTTTCACAATATGTTATACTATATTGAAACCAAAATGCACGCGATGTATGTTCAAGCTCTGATTCCCACTTCTCCGCATCCTTCTGGATATCGGGGTTCCATTTTGAATGTGACATCGCTTCATAGAAGAGCCCTCCCACACCCCTGGGAACCTCGTCCAATAGCGTTAGTCGTTCTCGCCGGGCGTTATCCACGGCAATCTTCCTCACTGTCAGTATCCTAATATTGTCAGTAAAGTACCAGTGTCTAATGATATAATGTCACGCACAAAACCGCTTGTTCATCCAGGCCCGGTCCAGGAAACAGAAGAGCTCTGTTGGGAGTTAGCCGCTGATATATTCTTGTCATAGATGCTAGAAAATTACGTACGCCGGGAACCGGATTGCATATGCAGATCCAAGCTTTAGCCCTTTAAGGATATCATAGATAGGGATTATCTGCCCCCAGGGAATCCCGTGTCCGCTTGTGTACGAGAATACCGCCTGTATGGGATATAACGTATCCTTCGACTGCCCATCCCTCAAGACCCTCCATTCAACAGTAATATCCCCGGTAAAGCTTTGACCTGGAGTCTGCGAATAGTCGTCAGGAAGCAATTGATAAAAATGGCACAGCTTGGGGTCCAAGCTATACATGGTTTAAGCTAAAGGGGGTGGAATCAATGTGAAGGAAGTCGGAGCGATGTCCAGAGCACATTCATGAGATATTCCTCCTTTTATGATTATACCGACTCCTCATACTTCGTACTAGGGTTTATTGTGTAGGAACGGTTCTTAAATACAAATGCCTATATAGGCAATAAATTGTACAATGTATGATGTCTTTAATAAGGTTTGTGGGGCTAAAATGAACCTTTCAAGTCGATTAAGATTCGGCCCGTCCCGGCAACTTAGAGTTACGGTGGATATGTTACTAGTCAACTGGCGACCTCGTCCAACGTTGACGAACTGCACTCGAATGAGCGCAGCCGCATAATATGATTTTGATACCTCAATATATGGCTGTCCAATAAAGAAAAGTTTTCTCTGATAATTATGGAAAGATGATTATTGTTAACTATTGTATCACACATAAACTTGTGGCATATTTTCTGGTTGAAAGCATCCCGCGGTGACCGTCGGCATTGGCGTGGTGTAAACTCCTTGGTCACAATGTTGGTCCACGGGGTAAGCTGGGGGCATGTATTTTGGGTCTCTACTTAAGCTATAGCTCTTAGGGGGAACAACAATGCAGCCTTGGAACCCGCGCTCGGTGGTCTCATTGAGCCACTGGTGGTTCTGGTCTTCTGCGACAGCCGGTGGAAAGTATTCGACGGCACTGCGTAACTGTAGCTCGGGGTTCCATTGTTCTCCAGCGCCGTATAGCTTAGGGGATGGGTCGACAAGGATTGACCCGGGTTGCTCTGCAGCTACCTCCCCTACGTCGCTGATGATATAAGGCGATGGTAATAGATTTTGGCGCTTTGCATTCTGTTTCTTAATTTCTCCCACGGGTTCATATGCATTTGGCATTGAAGGATGGGTGCCTCTGGTTTGCGGGGTCTCTTCGGGTTTCGTGCCCCAGTCGACTACGTAAACCACAGAGTTCGCATCTGTAGCCATATTAGCACCTGTACTAATTCTGTAGGTGGATTAAAGCATACCCTTTTTGCCACTCTCGAAGCACTCTTCCGCTCTTCGAACCTTGTAAATCTCATCTAGAATACTAAGTCGATCGCGAGGTTTTATTTGACTCTGAACAGCAGATCCAGCCTCCTCAAGCATGTCAACAGTTATGTTATGCGTCTTACCAAGCTTGCGGAAGATATGGACAAGAAGGCGTATACGGTCTGGCTTCTTTAAGTGATCGGGCTCACGGTGAACAACGCCCATTGGCCACCAGTCTGGTTTGGTTTTCTCCGGGTCTCTCTCCTCATTCGATTGTCCTCGCCGCCCATTATAAGGGTACTTGACTTTCTTGCATGGCTCGATGACCTTGATGTAGGCCTTCGCGATCTGGCGACAGTTGATCTGGTTGAATGCTCTGAAGGCAAAATCGTAGTATGCCTCAACCTCTTCCTCATTCCCTATCCGAAGGGGTACCATATCCACACGCTCATCTAGCTCAGTAGAGGAATGACTCCTCTTACAGGGCCTCTCCGAGTCTGGGGGCAGTGAATCATCTCTATCTCTTACTGGCAACTGTACTTCTTGATGATTCTCGGGAGGCCCTAGTGTTCTATGTAAGTAAATATTATATCAAGCAGGTATTTGAGATACATACCAACGAAGGCATGATCACAGGTTATACTAGCCCCCGTAGCTTGTACGAGCCAATTACCGAATTCAGAGGTGAATATAGGACCTTCGAACCCTGGAAGAGATGAAGAGTGCGTAATCTCTCCGGAGCTGTTAATTTTTAAGCAAAAATGATGCATACAAACAGGGCTGGAGTGGGAAAGTTGTTGGGCACTGGGAAAACTGGCCATTCTCTCTGATGCAGCTGTCATCAGCGGTCAGGTTTAGTACTTTGCAGTGAAAGAAGACAGACTGGCGGGGACAGGAGTAACTATGGGCAGTATGGTTTTGTCAAAAGGGAAACACAGTCAGATGGAGTGAAAACATAGGCATTATAAGAAACGAATTCGACATCATTTGCTGCCGTAAACACGGAATAGATTAATTTCCTGTATTGGAAATAGAACAATGCCTGGATGCCAGGGTGCAGACGAACTGACGATCTCTATCTGGCTTATGCCAGGATGCTCGTAGACCGAAGGTACCTCATGTACCTCATTTCTGGTATGCAGAAAAACTGGGTATCAAAAAAGAAACGACGCCTGTGGCTATTGATGGATATCAAACCACGGCTGAGACTTAACCATCCTAAGTTATCTGAAGAGTGAGTTGACATGCCCTTTCTGGGCCTGGGCCCTTCATGCCAGATGGTGCACTATGTCCACTAGACGGCTCAAAAGTTCCACCACAAGGAACAGAAAGAGCTTGGCTATAATTCATGAATTTTCGCTAAGAGACTCTTCTCGCCTCAACTGCCTGGACTTTTTCCATCTTTCGGCTTTTACATCCTTCACAAGTAACGGCCATTCAACAAAATGTCTTATTCCAACCTAGATGAGGTAGAAAAAGGCCTTAGGTGCCCTTTTACATGCATGACGATGCTCTCAATACCAATAGGGCATAGGTGCTCTCAAGTTCCGCCAGCCTGAATAAGTGGCTCGAGGGTTATCAAGATGTGCCTAGTGAAGAATTCTTCCTAGCTTTAGCACTATGGCGATTGCTATCGCTCAGTTTCTCACATATCCAATACAACCAAGAGTGATATCCCTCCCCCCTGGTTATCAAACATAAAATCATCGTCACCTGAGACAAGGACAAACTCCCCGTGGTTTAAGGCTTTCTTCTCTTCAAGATATGGAAGGCCGTTGTTTCTGTCAACATATTCTAACCCAATTATGACCAAATATTTGCCGGGAAATGGTTTTGGAAGTTTGCCGCCCTTGTCGGTCCAAACAACGGCATATGATTCGACGACATTGTCTCGTGGATTTTCTTTGAAGCGCTTTCCAGTTGCGTGAAACACATAATCTATAGCCGTTTTATCCTATTTCGTCTATATATTAGCATACTTCACTATCTTTACTTGTAAATTGAGATATTCGTACCTTTAACCACATATCTACCACAGATGCTATTTCATTTTCGCAGCCTCGAGGATATAACCAAGGATACTTATTATGAGAGCTTCGTTGAACTTTTGCCCTCACTTTGCTGCGACTTGGGCTGCTATTTCTCCGAGCGACGCCATATCCATTCAGTTACGCGGGTGTTCAATCGCTGCTCACTTTCCGTCTATATAACGTCGATGGCATTTTTTGTGGCGGGGCGTGATGCGGCTTCTTCGAATATTCAACGAGACATTTTCGCGTCTTAGGCCGAAGTGTAGCAGTTGAATGGAGATTGCCACGTGATTTGCCCCTCTTAGCCATTTGCCAAGCCCAAAATCAGATCCACTTCAAGATGGAGCAAGTCAAGGTTATTTGAGGGGCAACCTAGTACATAGTATATCAAGACTTGAGCGCACGAAACAGAAGATACATTTAGCCTATCTAGCAATTTCCATAGAATCGTCAAACTAGACGTAGCGTATTAGTCCCCCGCCCTGTTTTAATCCGTCCAGTCACGTTTGGAGTAATCAAAGTGCCGGGTATTAAAAGAGTTGAATATTGGTGGCCACCTCGAAAGCATAGGGCGAGTTACTGGCTAATACGGCCAGGCTTTGTCACGAATAGACACACTAATGAAGGAATAAGGTCGACGACTTCGGTATGGTATACGTATAGGCCGCTCTGGAGCTTATGGCCGGGCAACAGGCGTGCGTTGTTTGAGATATCGGTAATCGGAATAATGTATTCGGGGCCAGTCGCATTTCTAATAGTTACACGATTTGATATTTTCCACGCAGTATACCCGAGATCCTGATAGCGTAGAGCGTTAGTTGTGCGGTTTTCTTATGGGATTCAAACGTACATTAAGATCTAAGTATTTTAGGAGAGGCAGCACGTAAGCATCAAGGCTTGCATTGGTGTATTTCACATTTCACAAAATTCTTCTGCGGCAACTATTTTCCCATCTAAAAAAGCTTGTTGTATCTTCTCAAGGAGGGGTCTGCCCTCCTCATCAATAGTATATGCCGTTGATGCAGCCATGGATCCTTGAACTCGATAGCCTGTTTCCAAGGGGTGGTAAACTTGTGCTTTATAGATAGCGTCGAGGTTGTGATACTTATGTATGGTTATATGGCTGAGGGATAGCCTCAAACATTTCCTAAATCGGCATAGTTTAAGCTTCTGGGCCGGCCCGCAGCCAAGAAACAGTTGTATCACATGATTTCATATACCATATGGTATATAAAATCATGTGATTGATCAGAGGGATGTCAGATAACTATTGCGCTTAGTTAGCACGCACAACTCAGAAGACCTGGGGCTGCAACGCGAAAAGACTGGTACCGGTACGATGCAGCACGTCCTTGCCAAGGGTATGGACTTTCTCGTCTGTACGGTCTCATTGGGCTCATGCAAAATATCAATTCATGTCCCATATACATATATTCGTTCTTCGACCGCCAATCACTGCGCCAGCTCACATTTGGCGGTTACAATCGCATCTGGTCCTGGCTGTGTATGTAATAGTAGTCTCAACCCCGCACGGGTGCACCAATCAGCAGCCACCATGGCCACTATGGCACCATAGCCACCATCAGTCAAATTTTATGTGTCCATTTTCAACTTGCCTCATCTCTCACCAACCTGGCGAGGGGGGGAGGGGAGAGGGAGGAGTTGGTTTGTTGTCAACAATGAACAACTGGCCTCCTAGACTCTGGTGGCCTCTTTGGCTGAAGGACAGTACTTTCGACGGTTATGAGCCCGGCTATCGCTCGTTGCATTGAAGCCATTACGAACAACGACCGATTTGCACGTACAATACACCAACTATCAACACCAACAATATCAAATATTGGCAATCGCTGCACCAGGTCGTATTATACAAACGTCCTTTACGACTTTCACCCGCTCCCCCTTACGAATCGACGATTACTCTGGAGAAGTGATGGATTTTCACCGTCTTAGCACCATAACACCCTCCACAGTTCTGAGATCACCGGTAAAAGACATAGTTATCCCAAAAACTTTTTTCAACGCTAATCCGCTGTAGGACCTACTATTGGATTTCACGCATTTTATTCGTCGAGGACCGTCCGACGACTCTCTGAGATTGCTTCAGTATCTTAATCGACAACTGCAACTACCACAGAACTCCGGGCAGCAGTCTTGCCTATCTCCTAGTTCGACGCCCAGTTCATCTCAAGCTTCATCGCAACTGACACAGTGCCCTCTGCCAAATCCAGATATCTCATACCCAAAATTAAAGATATCACAATGGCAACCCCAAGAAGAGTCACCGCAAGAGAGGCAGATAGTAATACCGCCCCTTAGCCCCTCGCGCGAGCAGCGTGCCCAACAAATAGTACCTATTGCTAGAAGGTATTATCAGAATCAGGGCATACGTGATACTAAAAGGCTTAACCGGCTTACCAAGTTATCACAGCAGCTTCTGGGGAGCAAGTCAGATCCCGGGAATATATGGAATACTACAGGCTTAGTATTTGATAACAACGGGAATTCAAGGATAGATCGGCTCGAGAGAGGCAAGAGAAATCTTGAAGACCGGCGGTTAGGAACAAGATGTGCCACCAAAATCTCGATGCTATATACTATCCATGAGATCGATGAGCTGTCCGTTAGTCCCAATGTGACTGGTAACAGAGTTTCTTGGGCTATAAATAAATATATAAAAGATGCGGGCATATCGAGAGAGTTGCTGTTAAAGGACCGGTCAAATACACGCCACCTCCTCTCTTTGCTTGAGAATTCCGGTCCGGGGGATGTGGTGTGCACCAATGATATCAGCATTGTCACGTAAGTTTAATAAGATGCTTAATGGTAAATACCAGGCCGATATAATAGCTAACGGTTATAGGTGGACTCGGGAGCTTTTAGATGGCGAGGTGAGCCTTGGACTCCAATTTCGAGGAGAGATCTTTCCACCAAGCGATGAAGAAACAGAAACTGCTCGGAGATTTCATCTCATTGGTGCGAGATTGATTATCAATGGGCTTGTTGGATATGGCTGGAAACACGAAGAGCTATCCCGGTGTCAAGGCCGGGTTATGATGGCCTTGTTCCAGCATATTGACAGATCTGAGCTTGCGAAAGGAAACATTGAACCGAAGAGAGACTGTGGTACACTTCAAGGCCCTTCGACCATTGGTAGTCCGGAAACTGAAAGCTCGTCATTACCACCATCAGGTGGGCCCGAATTCGGTGTCCGTAGATTTCATCCTGAGGGTAAGTCAATAGACATAACAACCCCCCCCTTCCCCCCCAATTCCCTCCGGTTGAAAGAAATACTGATACGAATACTTCCCAAGAGCCAGAGGTACTGGCGGGCTCCGTACCCTCCCGCGCGGAGGAGACGAACAAGCGGCCCTACCAGGCAGGTGACGGTAGCGAATACCAACCTTCGCAGCGAAGGAGATTAAGTGGAAGGGGTGAAGGTAGGCTGGCTCGTCAGCGATGATTTGGTGATAAGGTTAACTAACTTGTATAGACGATATCCCTTCCATATATCCTACTGGTGACGCTCTTGAGCCTTCTGAGGATAGAACTTCGGGATCTTTAGCGAATTCTATTAACGGCACGGATTCAGTTTCTCAGGATGAGAATGGAGATAGAAGGTCCCTCTATGAAGGTAATGGTTTTGTAATCTACATAATGATGATGCTTTGAAGAGTTTATGCTAATACACAAAATAGAATCTTCCTTGCCGGCTGATCATGAACAGTTGGAAGAAGTTATAATAGTCCATGACAAAGGCAAACATACACTTGATCTCTCACTGGTATTGGATGAAACTCCGGCACTATTCCCTGGGCTCCCTGAGCTGCCTTCCAGATTATGGTAGAACAGACCAATAGAACCAGAGCAGAGTTCTCCCCCCTCCTTTATTACCCTTCCAGCGTTGCAATAAGTCTCCTTTAAAATGTAGCATATCCCCAGCTTTCAATTCAAACTCCTTTGATGCTTGTCCGAGAGCCGGCAATCCATTAGAGCATGATAGATCTTCAAGTGCTAAAATGCTATAAACCCAGTCCGTTCTCCCGGACTTTTGTTCTCGTTCCTTTTCAATTTTGTTCAATATACAAAGGTGGGAGCCACGGAAGCGATCTTTCACAATGTGGTTGTCTACCCCAAGGAGCCTCGCCAGTCCTGACTTGTCCTTTAGCTAATGGGATTTTTTTAGCGTTGATAGAAATCACTTTGGAGAAGAGACAGTCATATAGAGGGCCTTACTTTCAAAAAAGAATTGGATGCGGTCCTGCTGTTTTCACTATGATCTAATAACTGGAGAGGCTCGCTTGATGGTATGATCTTCTGGTACAGTCCTTCGGCGTCTTTTTTTGCTAGTGCTGCAAGCTCTTCAGATATGACTGCCTTGGCGATATCATAAGGGGCAGGCTGTTCCGTTGACATTCCGGCTAGATAGCGCCCTTGAATTGGTGGAAGCTGATTATGCATCAATATAAAAGCCCTTGAACCAAGGATAGAAATATATATATACCTTAAGACGACCCCTCCTTCAGATAACTTAATAAAAGGCTCCCGATTAGCTTATATAAGTATTCGTCTGTTTAATTCTATGTTCGATGTGTTGCTAAAAGATATGTTAATTGGTAAGTTGATTTTATTTTTATTTTTATTATATTTATTTGTTTTGGTTTATTTTTTCGGTGGCCCCTCATTCCACTGGTGGAGGGGTAAATTATCATATATTCGCCAAGACAATTTTTAGCATGCCTTCAGGAGGAAGTCTAGAGCATCATAGGGATCGGTAGAAAGCTGGTACTGTTGAATACGTTCGATTTGAAAAAAAAGTAGCACTAAAAGCGGTTTGCCGGATGGATGTTCAAAGAAATACTGGCAATTTGCAGCCTAGAATTCTAATCCCTGTCGACGAATTAGTGGTAGTACCTTAGAGCGGGGATACCTGTCCTCAATCGAGGTGACGCTGAGCCTATATGACCACGGCCGCCAATACATTGGTTCGCTCTAGACAAAAGTTATTCACTGAGATAGCACTGAGAAAAGATCAGGTATACTCCCATCTTGAATATAAGAACGCATTCCAAAGACAGAAACATATCATGTATCCCACGTCATAGAAGGTGCCCAACCAACGGCCCGGTGCATCGAATGAATCCGTGAATGAGTCTGGGTCGGTTTCCTGAGGTGAACTCATGTCAATAAGTGGTGTCAGCTAAGGTGCCCCGTTAGGCCTCGATTGGGTGAGATATGTGATGAATTGATTCTTGTTGGCATGACTGAGGCAATACCAGCTGATGTAACTAATCACGTGTTAATCACGTGACAAATGTACATTAACGGTCACAAGAACCGTTCTGTGTGCTAAGCGTGTGCGAGCCTAACCAAGGCCAAGGTGGATGACATAATCCAACGCGTGGGGTAAGCACCTGATGCCGCTTTTGTTGGATTATGTCATCCACCCCGATTCACACATATTACTAAGAGCTTTCTGCAGACAAGAAAAGTTGATTCGTCGATTAATACCTGTCGCCGATTATATACTACGTTCTGTGCAGTCGATATTATAATCCCCATCCTCACGATATGGGTTCACGTCATGGAAAGGACCTCATGAGTGACGGGAAGCGGAAGCAGCAAGGTGAGGAGTTGTGCCTCGTACTTACCTTGCCTCCTTTTCTAACAACCAGCTGGCAGACAGGCGGCAGGGAGCGTCCCAGCATGTCACTCCACAAACAACAACAACAACAACACCAACCACCAAGCGGAAACGCATAGTTGAAGCAGAAGAGCTATCTCAGCGTTCGGTCAACTGTGTCGCAAAGCGGCAGCGAGCTAATCTTTCCGACGGGCACAGAGACGGCCAACAGGGAAATTCGGACTTCCTGGGAAGACAGGATTTTGATCTAAAGGTATGCTCACTACCTTTGACCGTGGTGCAGTGGTTAATTTGCGCTCGTCTCGCACCGGAAGGCTTCAACGCGAGATAGTTCAACCACGAGTAAGAAGTCTCTTCAGCACGAACGCGTATCTGAAGATCCGGCACCTCTAAAGCACCACAGGACTGAAAAGGACCCATATGTTGAATACTGGGTTGCTCATAAGTATCAGATATCCAAAGAACCTATAGCAACCAATCCAATGGAATACTGGTTCGCACGGCCGAAGGCTCTGCGCCAAACAAAGTCCAGCACTAGTTTGTATACCCAAAGCGAGTCCGGCTCAAACAAAAACAGGTATAACGATAAGAATTTCGAGATATTTCTGCAGTCTAAAGGGAGCTTCATGCAAAATGATGAAAACGGGATTTCAGGCGATAGTAAGGAACTTTGTCAGCGGTTACTTGAGAAGGGGCATATCGTTCCTCCTAGAGATACCGTCTTCGATCAGGTTGTTTTCGAGTCTACTTGTCGGAGGGTCGGGACGCAAAGCGAGATGGGGGTCATTCGAATCATTGGGGAGTTAATCGTTCCATCAGCTGAATGTGCTATTGGCCTTGGCCATGTTGCATTCAAGCACCTGATCTCCAAAGTGAACGAAGTCTGGGACAACTCGATCTCGCTTAATGCGGTTCAACCACCTCTACAGCTTCCATTACACCCTCCCCCACCTCCGCAAGCGTTGCCAAAATATTCACAGTTTCAACTTTCTCGACCACAGCCTGATTTTGCCGTGGGATTCTGTCGTCGGGCCTTCAGTGACGATCAGCTGCGCAGGCTTGAACCCTTTATTGGCGATGTTGATCAATCTTCTTTCTTTATGAGCACAGCTGATACATATTTTCCTTTCATGACGTCTGAAGTGAAATGTCAAAAAGTGGCACTAGATATTGCAGACCGACAAAATGCACACAGCATGACACTAGCAGTTAGAGGAGTTGTCGAACTGTTCAGGGTTGTCAAGCGCCTGAAGGAACTGAATCGAGAGATTCTGGGATTCTCAATATCACATGACCATTGCTCAGTGAGAATCTATGGGCATTACCCTATTATAGATGGAGAGAAAGTCACCTATTATCGGCATACCATCCACAAGTTTGATTTTACTTCGTTAGAAGGGAGAGAACGATGGACATCTTATAACTTTACACTGAACGTTTACGATCGCTGGGCTCCCTCTCACTTCAAAAGGCTCTGTTCGGCAATTGATGACATACCAGACGTGACCTTTGATGTTTCTCATCAATCGGAGGCATTAGAGCGCTCGAAGGAATTGCAGCCACCAGAAGTTTCAAACCTCGGTTTTTCGGAAGCGACCGGGATCTCGCAGGGGCTTGAGGACGTCGGTCTAGGCTCAAGCTTTACATCTCTTGGAGAAAACGACGGTCAAGGTTTGGACCCTAAACCTGGCCAAATGAAGAATAAGCGCAAGCGAGTTATTTCGGAAAGCAAATGAAGGGCTATTTTTACTGCGACATGAGTTAATCCATGTCAAATACTCAATCGTGAGTCTCATAAAATCCCAAGTATATTTATCATGCCACAGCGCATCTGCCTTGCGCCAAGGCGAAGCACAGGATTTTGGCTGCCTCAAGTTGGGACGTAACTGGGGCCATACCTTTCAATGAGAGGCCGGTTGATATTATATGTTGTATTGGTTGTATTATTATTAAGTAGTTTTATATATATATATATATATATAATGAGAGTATTACTATTACCTCTTATATTCTCTTCAAAAATATATTAAATATAATACTCTTACTAACTACTATTTTTATATATACTAGTATATTTTATGTAGCTCCTTATATAAGTATCCTCAAAATAAATAGTCTAGATAGATATAATTACAATACTTCATATGCTAATATTTAATTAAAAGAGCTAGTATTAGCAGTCTTCTATACCTTTTCAAGAAATTTTTGTAGGTAGTTAGATAGTTTTAACTTCTTTATTCCTAGACATAAGATATGCAATGCCAAACCTATAGATATTTAGGTGCGTTTAAACCCGGCCTATTCTGAGTACCTTTTAAAGGTAAAGGTTGGTGTTGATATGCGATTTTTAACATTAGAGAGCAAGTGGCGCACCAGCATCGTTGATAAACTACCCTTCGTTCTTTTTTTTTTCTAGATAGGTATACTATCATCTAATTATTTGCCAACGCTTTTTGCATGCCTTCACATGGTGACAATTAAGGGGAAAGCGTTATCAATAATTGGTTATTCATACTAAACCAGCTAAACACCTTGCAACTTATACACAGAGGTTTCAAGCTCATCTAACATGTCCAGTGCAGCAGCATCAAATGGAGGAAATGAATGCAAAAAGAGAGTGCCGCAGATACCAGCCTCCATATCTACCCACTACATTCTACCAGTTAGCAGGAGTCCTATCAGTTTGTGCGGCAGTAGGAAAACGGAACACGTACCCAGAAAGTGTTTGCGGCTCCAGACCACGAGATAGAGCCTGGGTAACGAGCTTCAGGAACTCGGTCCAGGTTAATACTTGCCGACAAACCCATATCAATGACCTTTCCTGGGTTTACAAGTCGACTCATTAGTTTGGGGCCCTGATCTCGAATTGCGTTAATCTCTTTATTACTCTCGAGCTGGGGAGAAATAATAGTGTTGATATTATCGCGTCGTAGAACGTTTTCTCCGCCGCGGAGAATCATTTGCAGAAATCGGGTATACTCTCTGGGCGTCGAGTACAGGCCAATACCACCCAAATCGTCCTTGGCTGGGATCGTGTATGGAATTGGGACAGTAGATAGGCTCCCATCCGGTGCCCGCTGGGAGAGTTCAACGCGTCTTGCTTCAAACTCGGGATGATTTTCGGGGTGGAACGTGGTTGCTGTCAGACCGAGTTTCTGGAAGATGTTCTCTTGCATGAACTCCCCAAGTTTCTGATTTGAAACCTTTTCGACGACTAAACCAGCCCAATCGACCCCAGGGCCATAACCCCAAGATTCGCCTGGCTCGAAGGCCAAGGGCAGGCGATATGTATCCTACAGGGAAGTGTTAGATTTTCTTTCTCTTTCTAGGTCTAGAGTACTCTGCAGCATCCGAGGTGTGACTGCAGCGTAGACTTACCCTGGAAGTGACATCCGTTGTGGCGGTATGATTGTGATACTCTGCCCATCTCTTAACTGATGAATTTACAGCAAGGTAAACGAACCCGCTGGAGTGGGTTAAAAGTCGTTGGAGGGTTACTTTTTCCCTTGCCTTGCGGAGAATAGGCTTGCCTTATAAGTTTATTAGTTTGAAATAACCATCTACCTAGATTAAAGAAAAACATACCGTTATCTTCTTCGTCAAATCCGACAATAATCTCAGGCCCAGCCAGCTCAGGCAAGATGACGCCGACGTCATCATCTAAACCAACTAGCCCTTTCTCAACAGCAACCATAACAGCGACCGCCGTGATGATCTTAGTCATGGATGCACACCAAAATATCGAGTCCTCTGTCATGGCGTCTCCGGAACCATCAACCTTTCTAGTTCCATGGGTACAAGAATGTAATACTTGATCTAACACTGCTTTAGTAACCATCTCGAAGCTTTAATGTGTGTCTATACAGCTTACCTCCACAAGCAGCCGTGAAAACCGCTGCATGAAACTTGCAGTCAGCATTGGAACAAATCTTCTCTAGAATATGAGCTGGATCCATTGTATATGGTTTGCCCTTTGGCACTGCGTGTTATAGACAAAAGCGGTGCATAGTTGTATATGTCGGTTAGCAGGAGGGTATATATAGCAATTCAGGTAAATGTAGGACATCAGTTCGACCCAGCCGCTCTATCGTCCGGAGTCCCTATTCAGATATATTTCGTATCCGCCAACCTGAATACGGGCTCCATGAGATAGCTGCATCCAAGCCACCGGAGTACACTTTGGGTTAGTTAGCTGACGTCGGGGACATGGAGATGGCTGGCCAGCACGTTTGACCATTAGAATAGTCAACAGGCAGTTCTTTATTTCTCATGGATGTACTGCCAAGTGGTCCAGCCCTCTATCATATCAAGTGTATAGGACATCAAAAGATGGAAGAAGATAATAACCGTAAGTGTATCCGAAGAAATGGCATTTACCTCTGGGTGTTTTTGTCCCGTCTTTAGGGTCTTGGCGCTGTTCAAGTTTTGGTTTCCTCCGCTTTAAGTCCATGCTTGAGGTGGATCTTAGGCTTAAAGGACGGGACGTCTTCTTGTTCGCTCACTCAGCAAGTTGGAAATTCTCAGAGCCTCATCTTGGTCAGGATGCCAATCCCAAGCTAAGGTAGGTATCAAGCCGAAGCAACCTTAAGGCGAGAGAAAATGATAATAAGATAATATCTCCGTTCAAGGAAGAAGCAATGGAATAGTGAGTTCATGTCAATCCATTATTATGTACAGGCCATGGATTAAGCATATAAACCGAAAGTGAGGCACAGCCGTCAAAATAAGAGCTATTTACAAGTCAAAAAACTTCGACACTTCCTCTTCAATTATGTTCAAGGGGCAAGAATTAAAAAAAAAAAAGGGGGGGGGGGGGGGGGGGAGGGGCACTCCATGGTGGAGTGGTTTACGTTTGAACTCGCCCCAAAAGACCAGTCAAAAGTAGATGTTTGACGGAGGTTACCAGCTTATTTGCCGGATCCGTTGTTGATGAGCTTGCCGGTGGTGCCAGCACCAGGGTTGGCGATAGCGTCAATGGCCTTTTGCTTGATGGTATCGCAGAGGCCTGGGCCACCAGGCATGCCGAGTCCAATGAAGTAGGCAGCGAGGCCAGCGACGTGTGGGGTGGCCATGGAGGTACCAGAGAGGACCTGAGAGCCACCGCCTGGCTTAGCGGAGGTGATGGAGTCACCAGGAGCGTAAACATCAACTAGAGAAGACGTTAGTTTGTTTTCCTCTTGTCATCAATAGAGCCAGGCATCGGGGGAAATTGCTACATACCAACTTGACCGAAGTTGGAGAAGTCTGCCTTGCCGTCCTGCTCGGTGGAGGCAGCGACAGTGCAGATGGATGGCTCGGAAGCAGGGGAAGAATTAGCAGCATCGACCTACAGATATGCCGGTTAGTTAGTGAAAATCGATGCAAATACTTTGCCAAAGAATGCTTAAGGGTAATACTCACGTTGTCGTTACCGGCGGCAACAGCTAGGAAGACACCACCGTTGGCAATAGCGGCAGCGGCATCGTTGGAAGCTTGGGAGAAAGCACCACCAAGGGACATGTTGGCAACAGCCTTGTCAGCACCCTTCTTCTTGGCATCGTTAGTAGCCCATTCCATGCCCATGATGACACCGGAGTTAGAGCCGGAGCCGTTGCAGTCAAGAACCTTAACGGCGACAATGTTGCTCTTCTTAGCGACACCGAAAGTAGCACCACCAACAGTTCCAGAAACGTGAGTTCCATGGCCATTGCAGTCCATATCCATGTCATCAACGAAGTTGCTTCCCCAGGTGGCACGACCCTCGAATTCCTCGTGCTCGATATCGGTACCGGTATCAATGATGTAGGCAGTAGAGCCCTCACCGGCAGTGGAGTCGTAGTAGTAGGTGCTACCGCCGGCTTCCCTGGAGCCAACACGGGCAAGACCCCAGGATGGGACGTTGTCCTGCTCAGTGATTGCGTTGATTTGGACGCGAGCATCACGTTCAATGTACTTGACCTAAAAATATTGTTAGTGAATGGGTTCGCATAAGACCGGCTAAGTAACCCTTACATCAGAGTGTTTAGCAATCTGATTGATCATATCCTCATCGAAGTGACCAGAGTATCCCTTCATTCCAGTTGGGAACTTGTAGGTGTGCTTCATGCCACCCATGGCTTTAGCACCACGGCGCACCAGACGGCGGCGGTGAGTACGGTTAACCCACGAACGGTGAGAGTCGAAGGCCTTTTCAGTCACACCATCATTCATGATAACGATGTACTTATCGGCGAGGGTCTGGACACCGGCACGAGTCTCCAAAATCTCAGCGCCGTTGACAACAGACATCGCCGCCAGGGCGAGGGGGATGGCCTTGGTAATGAAACCCATATTGAAAGGTATCCTGCGTGCTTTTTGACTGGTGTAGAAGGAAGAGTGAAGATTGAAGGCAATTGATTGCTTGGGGAGGAAAGAAAGAAAAAAACCTGAGTTCTGGTGGGAGAGAAAGGCCTTGATATAGATTTTTGGAGCTTGGGTAAAAAAGGTTGAGTCCCTTAACCAAAGATAGCTATACAAGAATTGAGATTAGTCCGTTCTGGCGGAACCTCTTGGACCTTATCCCCTTATTTCCCATCCATACTCATAATGGATACCAGTAAGCTGTGCTTCGGCATCCTTAGCTTCGGGCGTTGCCTAGCCAAGGGGCTTCTTGAAGTGCATAATTGCGGTGCCCCAGCCTGACTGAACTCTGAATCAGCATCCATTGAGTAAGGAGCAAGCATACCGTTCGGTCCAAGGTAAGTCATCTGGAAATTGATATTATGCCGGAATGTAACCTTCATTGAAGATCATTAAAATGGTGCCGGTTGGTTTCGGGCTCTCATTGCTCATTGCTATGCAGTGGGTCAAGAGAGATATGTACCTAAATGTCGAAGTACCGGAGGACATCCGCAAAGGGGAAGAGATGAGACGATGGTGGGCACGAGTTGGCTCTGCTCAGGCTTTTGGAGAGCCAGAGCGCAGATCCGTTTCCTCAGCAGAAGGCCGGTAGGTGTGGATTGGCCCCCGCATTCCGATAACAAGATAACAAGGTCCTATGGGTGGTATAATTTGAAGCAAGGGTCATGCGGAGATTTTCATTGCGAAATCCCTAACCTGGGATGAAACCCCGCGAGGAAGGCAATTCAAGCATGCCAACCCTTGAAGCCTATTCAGGGGCACAAACCCAAACTCTCCGTTCCAACCAACCTCGGCATGCATTAGCATTTTCAAGTCGATGGGTAAGGTGATATATATATATACATTTGATTGACAGACATTGCGTTGAAGATGCTAGGCCAGTGAGATATCATTGCGGCATGTCGATCTTCCGCCAAACACCAGCGTAGCTTTCGGCGAACCCAATCTATCTCCTGTGATTCGCCATGAGACGCTGGCAGAGAGGGAAAACAAATAATAACCAAACCTGGGAGATGACTGAACACTTTTTTTTTTCGCTCCATGGCGGCAAACGATACTATAACGCCAGCCTTAATACGGAGTCGATGGCACCATACGCGGTCATGGCCTGCGTTGTCAAGAAGCTTCATGCAGTCGAACCTTGCTCTGAAATGGGCCACCAGTCTGACGCGACTAACCTTGCATATATTGGCCCGATAGTAGAGGAGTAATTCGTCTAATTTAGGTCTCTCTGTTAAATTAGCATTGTCGGAATATCTGACGATTCGATGAGCCTTCTCCTTGGCTACACCCGGTCCTGCCGTACCTCGTGTATACATGAGTATACCTGGTCACCCACTCGTCCAATCTGCTTTCATATTCGATAAACAGTGCACACGGAATATAGCAGTCGCTCGTTGTACAGGGCCATCATGGTAGAGCCTATATTCAATCAAGTATGCATCGGACAGGCCGTCGAGGACAAGACAAACCCAAAAGGGATCCACTGCGAGGGTCCCCGGGCTACCAAGCTGGTACATGTATGTCTATTCCCCGACATAGTTAGCCGTTAGAAAATGTTTATTCCGCCACAAGCGAGTTCGAGCCCACCGGCCCAGCTAGGTCTCTGTTTCTTCCGCGTGTCAGATGTCGTAGCCTCGTAACACCGACTAGCACGGTTGGCCTTGAGCTGCCGACGTCTTGCAGGGGGGGTTTCATGTCGCTATTTCCCTCCTTCCTTCATGCAGACCAACACCAACAGTATTCCATATCATCCCCATGCACCGGCAAATCTGAGCCCCCGGCCAATTTCCTGGGGTTTCCTGGGGTGCAGGATGGCGAGCGTCTTGGCTGACGCGAACCTGCGTTGGTCGTTGACTTCTTTTTGCGCCCTGTGGTTGGTTTTTCATTTTTTTGCGTTCAAGTAAGGTTATTATGTAATGCGGTATAAGGTTAATTCCTATATACACGTGATTTTAACCATATAAGATGACGTAAGACCCTCTATAAGACGGTCACAATATATAGGTACAAGGGGCAAAAAAGGGGCTTGAGTGGCCGGGGGCATGGGTCTTTGCACCCTTGACAAGTGCATGGAAGATGGAGCCCTAAGAAAATAGATGACAGGCTCGAGTGAGCCGCCACGGCAAGGCTTGTCTGAAGATCGCAAGGACGGTCTTGCCTTGGCGGTTCTTATGTTCCATGACAGGCATATTTATCCTCCTATCTTCCGTCATTCTTCCGGTGTGTGGAGGAGTTATACGGAGTTGCTCAGGCCTTGTTCCTCGAATTAAAGCCCTTTCCATTCATGCTGATATAAATTTAGATGCTGAAAGCATGTGGCATGTGGTACGTTTCCCGTAATCTGTGTACACTCTGTGAGGCTGGATTATTCTACCTGTACACAGTGGCGTGTAGATCTGCTCTATTCATATATCTTACAGCTGATATCACCTTGTGAAGTACCATAGTAAAAGGGAGCACTTCCATCATCTGCCTCCTTGTCTTCGTGATTTATCAATTCTCACATTTCACAAAGTGTTAGGATCATGATCGTTGATGCTGTTGTGCTTGGCCACCCACCCTTGACCGCAGCTCTCGGAGGCGCCTTATGCAACAAGATAAAAACCCTTGTATATTCTATCTGAGAAGTGTTTATTCTGGTGGTTATCTGCCCCCGCGAACTCCTTGGCGAACTCATGTATCAGATCGGCAGAGGTCATGGCCTATCCGTCTTTTAGCGGTATGTCGTCCTTCGAGAAGATACAACTATTTATGTGTGAAGCTGTTGTTTTCTTCCCCACAGACTGTCGATCGACTACCTTGGGAGCTGTGTTGGTCTCTGAAGCAGCTTGCTTGGCTGTGTTTGACTTGGTGGCGATCTCTTTTCTCAATTAGCCGGTCCTCGCTCCTTGCTGGTAGATGCATGATCATCCCGTTCGATATCAGAGGAGAGAGATGGATGACTCCGAAGAGCGAAAATGGGGTGGCTTCGAAAAATCAACCTTGTGAAACTCCGCCGTTTACAACGGAATATGCATGTAGAAGACCAACACCCCCCGGGGTTTGTGCTCCCTCCGCTAAATTCCCCGCCCCGTGTATGATGTTGGGCGGCGCGGAAAACGAAATGCCCTATGATGCGGGGGTGCCAACAGCACCCTTCCACTCTTCTACTACTTCGTCATAGTCACCATCATTATACTATGTAATCGCTTGCACTGCTGGCTCTCGGTCTTGGCCTTCGACTAGGCTGATGTGGAGGAAGAATGTGGGGGGTAGAAGAACGAAGGCTGGAGTGGACCTGTAGACGGCTTTTGGATATTCCCACCATATCGATGTCTTCTAGAAGGGGGCTATGCAGCGATAAAGTGACACCAATTCTTCTCCAACCCGATTCAGTGAGCTAAGATTAGCGACATAGATCTTCAGTTTGAGAGATCCGGCTATAGCAAAGCAGACACTCTCGTTTTCCCAGACATCTTCCGGTTGTCCGTAGACGAGATATCCACGACAATACGGAATGCCACGGTTAGATTATTCCACCGCTTCGCGAAGGGACATGATACTCTTTGACATCATCGTCCAGGGACGTAAATATTTTCCTGCTCTTGACCCAGTACAACAATGCTTGGATATTGTGATAGTGCATCTCCTCCAGCTCCTCAACAGTGGAGGATCAGGCTATGTCCACTGATGGATAACAAATGGTCTCATCTTTGTCCACATTTAGACCTCCCAGCTGACCTTCTCGTATCAAATCTCGTAAGAATTCCGTCTTCTAGCCCTAGCAGGAAGTTCGAAGGGTCTGACGATTCCACATCTGCTATCTTTCTCTGGCTTGGTCGACTGTGGAGAAACCGCCTCCTCGTGCAAGGGGTGGTATATCTCAAGAGCTGGTATGGGATAGGTGGATAAGTTTGATCTCGACCCATTCTCAAATTCTTCCTCTTCCCTAATAGTCTCCTCATTTTCGTTATTATCATCCTAGGAAACCTCGTCTCCATTGAACGTCAACAGAGTGCCAAAAGGAGTACCTTCGCCTAATTAGAGCAAACCGGTTCATCCAGCTATCAAATAGTTAGTAACCCACTCATAAAGCTATCGAATCGCCAGGTAGATAATAAATCCATCACCCATACATAAATATTAATAACATTAATCATTTATTATATAAAAAGAGTAAAAAAAATGTTGACAAGGGTGGGATTCGAACCCACGCGTGTAAACCACATTCGAATCCAAGCTCGTGTTAGATCACAAACTAAGTTAGAAACTTGAGTCGAACGCCTTAGACCGCTCGGCCACCTTGCCGCGTTTGACAGGAGCTTATAAAGTGCTAGTGCATGATGGACGACGCCACAATACCGTATGTTCAGTGATATATATACGTATGGCAACGATAACTACAGCATCTATGAGCGTATGCAAAAAGTTGCCGGCTTATGCTCCTTGATTTTAAATCCACCCTCGTCCTTGTCCTCTCCCTTCTGCGGCCACAGTATCTGTCGAGCCCGGATGGCTCGAACCATCATGGAAAAGACAAAAAAGTACGTGATGAAGAGTAGGACGGTAAGAACATAGCCCACTACCTGGATGCCATTGCTTCCAAACGCCCTCCCGACGGCAAAAGTGGCCGTTGTCAGCGCGGTGTTTGGAAAGACAAAGGAGAACCAGGTCATCGAAAAAGTCATCCGACCTCGACGTGCTGGTGTCCAGTGAGCAAAGACGGCAATGAAGAAGAAGAACACCGCCAGGCTTTCAAGAACTCGTTAGCAGGTATCCTTTCTGTCTTGCTGAGGAACGAACTCGACTCACCCCCATAGCCACAGGGCTGCAAAGTTCGAAACGACAAAGAGAATTTTCGCTGTCAGCTTCCCGTCACCCATGAAGTCGGCAGGTAAGGACCTGGCAGCATTGTCGGCCATGCTCAAGGTCCCCGCCACAGTAAATGCACTTGGTCCGACTGATACGAACATGCCTGGTCTGAGGGATTCGTTCGGCAGTTTCTGCGTCATCAGGCGGTATATGAATGCAGAGTAGACCATCAGCGAGACCAGGAATCCGATTCCCTGTATAGTCCAGCCGCCGATGATGATGCGAAGGGCCTGTTTCTGAGGCACGCTGGCACTCAAGATCCCCGCGTGAGGCCCAATGATCAGCATCGGATATGCTGGGAATATCCATATTGGCGTCATTTTAGCAATTGTAAATGTCTGTGTTGACCACCTGCAGCCCTGATATCAGCTATCTATGCGAATAAATATCCAACAAAGAGTAACGTAACAAAAAAAAAGGGTCTTTAGTTTACAAGATGAGATAAATGCCCGCTGACAAGGTAACCGCCAACGCTGCATCAAACCAGAACAAAACCACTGTTGCGTGGGAAAGCCATTCACCGGCATGGCTGGGACCATATTGTGCCACATTGATGAGTATCGTACCGAAAGAAACGATCACGGCCGGGGCAAATAGCGACTCTGTAGGGTGCAGAAACGATGCCTTGAAGGTGTACGGATATAGATAGAACCGTACACACATCAACACACTGATAAGCACGAAGAATGCCAGGTTAAACAAGAAGATGGTAAGCCCGACTATCTCCAGCCACCGAGCCTGGACAGGGATCGTATAAATTACATTCGCCAGCCCGCCGGTGGCCATCGTCAGCGTGAAAAACGACCATGTCAAATGTCGTATACGCTCTTTCCAGGTAAGTGATGGCAACTGGTTCTCTGCAGCTTGCACTGGCGTTATCGTCCCATTCCCGTCTCCATCATCATTTATCTTGGGTAAATTATGCGCAAGCGGCGGCCGTTGACGAAACTGCAAGAGAACCGGCGGCGTAGGACAGCGAGGAGTCGGCGGTTGAGAGGGAAATATGAATGGCAGTGCACCGGCAGAGAGGTTTTTCTCTGTGTCTTCGATGGTTGGGGTCCTGTACCCTTCATCTCCAGGCCGACGAAGGTATCTGGGAATATTCGCCATAGTCCACATGTATGGAGGAGAGGCTGGAGGATGGCATCGCGGCCCTACTCTCAGTCAGAATATCTGCAGACAGCGATTAATGCCTGAAGGGCTGACTTTCGCATCTGCAGTTATTGTGTAAGATCTACGGACGGATTGATTGCGTGTGGAGAAAAGACAGCAAAAGGCGCTTTTCTCGGCACACTTGTACCGAGCGATGTTGGAGGGTTTTGCTGTACCAGACATTTTCGACACAGAGAATTTAATGGTTATATGAAAAGAGGACGGAAAGTTGTCAGAAGAGATATCCGTTTATTTGGGTATTGAATCATGGCTCGTTAGAGTCGACTGTGCGTAAAGCTTCCGAAGGATCTATATACATGCGAAACCAAAATATTCCAACGGATGCAGAAATAAAGTAGCCAGTTATATGTACAGATACCTTTCTAGCTATGAAGGGACGAGTACCTGGGCCATGCATAGTATATACGGGGACGATACAGAAGAAGTAGATGTTGCGGTTAGATATTCGGACACAGGAGGTCGTACTTCACGCACTTCTCGACACTCGAGATGCTGGCTTTTAGGAAGCTTCTTGCCTCCAGCCCAACCCATACGCGGAGCATGGACGTGTCTCCCTCGCGAACAGACTTGAGTAGTGTAGACTTAGACCCGAGTTGGCGGAGGATTGGCAGTGCACTATTCAAGGCTTAGTTAGTGAAGTAAGGGATGACAAGGGGAGAAGCAAGGACGAACTTTTTGAATATGTCAAGATCTGGATCCAATCTCCTACCAATGCCCTCTAGGAGTAGAGCAGAAATGACGACGTTGATGAAGTCACCTTCAAGTCTCACATGATGGTTTCTCACCATATATAAGACGTCACTCAACACGTCCCCGAGCTTGACGTTGCCCAGGGCAAACGTCCTCCCCTTGATGCTGAGAACAAGGTGTTGCATCCTAAGTGCGAATATTTCAGCGTCAATTACTGAATCCGGCTGTCGAGATCTTTCGATCATGAGGTATCCTGCTTTATATCCATCGAACTCGGCAATGGCTCGGAATAGGTCGAGAAAGTCTCGCCGATTAACAGCGTTGAGCTCAGTGACAAGTCCGGTATCGATGAAGACTAGTTGAGGCCGATAGCCTTCGGCGTCAATCTGGTTTAGTGTCTCATTCCATGCAATTGGATCTTTTCGATGTTTTCTTAGTCGTGCGAGGACCGACTCAGTTGCGCTATTCCCACTCTCCGACGCCAGGGCTCTGTGAGCACGCTGCACACTTAAGGAGAGGTCCAGCTGGCTTGGTTTATAGAAACGCACCATAATATTACCTGGGTGTAGATCAGAATGAACAAAGTTGTCAATGAGCAACATGTGTAGGAATGCATCCAACCCTTCGTGAGCAATATCATGCTGGAATACACCACCTCCATTCTCTAGAAATGCAGCAAGGGGAATTCCTTGTGCAAACTCCTCAACCAACACCTCGCGGGTTGTGTATTCGGTGTACGGATAGGGGAATCTAGCTGTTGTTCGCGACTCGAAGTTCTCCCGGAAGAATGTAAGATTTGCTGCTTCTATCCGTAAATCTAGCTGGAGCTTCATCATTTCTCCAAACTTCTCGACCTCGTCTGGTAACGATAGCCATTCCATGGTAGGTATCCAGTGTATCAGGGTGGCAAAGAATCCCATAATACGCAAGTCTCGTCGTACGGTCCTATCAACATTTGGATGAAGCACTTTGATCGCAATGTACGATGATGGGACACTTTCTGGAGTACTCTTGACTAGTACATTAACGTTCTTTCTCATCTTCTCGCGAAGATTCACGGGTTTAGATGCTCGATCTAACGAGCCGGCCAGGTCGGGACGTAATTTGGCCTTGTATACCTGGGCTATAGCACCGACCCCAAGTGGTTTTTCGTCAAATTCCTCAAAGATTTCATCGAATGGTAAACCATTAAATGCCCTGCTGATGGTCTTTTTTGTAATGTGTAATGGATGCGCGGGAGCATGGGAATGTAGGGATGACATCAAAGCACATAGCTCAGGGGGGAATATATCTGATCGTGAAGCAGCCCATTGTCCAAGCTGTATGCTCAATAGGAAAAGCATAGTATCGAGTTAGCCAATGATCTCCCCAGAAAAAAGAAATAGAACATATCTAATAGCCATAGCTCTTCTATATTGTGTTTACCGCAAAGGGAAAACTTACCTTGATGAATGCAGACCCAGCACGCTCCATCGTGTACACTATGAGTGCATACCATAGTAAAGCACCTCTCCTATGGTTATCTCGATCCTTCACCCTTGAGCCGAAGAAAATGATAGGCACGCTTGCTATGACCGGGATAAATAGTACCACAAGGTGAACAAATCGGAACCCTGTAGCAATCACTTCAAACACATACTCGTCCAGAATGCCGTATATGCGCCATAAGATGTTCCTTGCCCTTCGCCTTTCGGTATTACCATCATCATTTTCGCTTCCTAACCCCCTTCCAGTACGTCTTATACTTCGTGCCTCTGCTCGTGAAGCATTAAGCATCTCTCGTTCACGAGTGCTCATTCTATCTTCCTCCTTATTGTCCTCCGCCAGTTGAAGAAGAGCTGCCGGAGTCAACGTCGCAGTGCTGATGGCAGAAACAAGAAGGATACTGCTTCTTCTCGAGTATCGACCACGCTCCCAGTTGGCCTGATACTGTGAATTGTTTCCCCCATGACTATAGCCATGAAACCTCCTCTGGTACCGTCTCCAAGCGCCTCTGGAGCCCCATTGTGGTAACTGACGGGTAAAAGAGAGGGACGGCGACGAAGATATCGGCGTAGATACTGGATAATAGGAGGATAGATGCCGTGAGTGGGTGATAAACAGGGTGCGCAAATCTAGCTGCCGTCGGATGGAATTGGAACAGAATTGGCTGGTAGGAAGAACCAGCTTCATGGTGTCACAGGACAGGAAACCGAGTATCGAGGCCAGCAGTCATGAATTCGGTTTTATTTAAACCGTCGGCGATATTAGGCGTCTCTAATTGCTGCCATGATCTGGTTATGCTAGGTGGAAAACGCAGGAAGTCTTAATTTTTTGCTCTTGCAAGGTCAAAACGTCATACACATGCAAAACGCCCCTAGTTTATTCCTAGGCTCATACAAAAAGCAAGGGTGTTAAAACCATCGAACATGGTAAATATCCAACTGCAAGAGGCATGAAAGCCATGATTCTATTCTATAGTACAGTACGCTGGGAATATATATATATACACTCTCCATTTTGCTCCGGCCAGTTATGAAAATGTCCAATGTTAATAAAAACAAGCATCCGTCGAAACTCCCTCCCGCAGATAATGATACAAATATAGTGTGCAAAATGGGGGATTTCAAAAAACGGAGAGGTGTACGTATTCCTAGCTTTGCTATGTGATTGGGAATCTAGCATTAGGGAATATTTCGGATTGTCGGTCCTGAAGGGCTGCTGTCGGGGATGGTAGCTACGATATCTCTGATTTGAGTCGCAAGGCCTCGACGCTCTGCATCGACGTCCCTCCAGTTTCTGTTACTCGCGAGATCTTCAAAGAAATCCTCGGAAGCCTAGATTTGAGTGACAGGTCAGAAGAGCGGCTCGTTTGAATGTCTGAGTAGTTAGTGGATGGGACGGAGTGGCATACCTTTTCTATCAGCTTTCTCATCTTAACAACTGTACTAGCAGCCATAGAATCGCTTTCGAACTTGCCATCCGGTGACTTAACCTTGACTGCTAAGTGAGCGTCAATGAAAAGTGCATTATCTCTGCGAGTCAATTTTCCTCCGAACAGGCAAGCCATCAACGGGTGTAATGTCGTAGTGTCCATCATGATCGCGTCTGCCTCGCTATGGAAATTCAACGCCTCGTTAAATGCCAGCATTCGACCAGCCCAGCTTTTCCGGAACGCATTTGCGCTCTTGTTACTGACAACAGCTGCTGGAAAGCGGTTTGTGCACCATCGGCCCCCGCTATCGCTGGGTTTCATCGCGATATTCGGGGTTACAGTGCCAGTAATGAGCGCCCTGAGAACTGAATGATTGTCGGAGTTCTCGTTGAGGACAATGCTGTGAAGTTGGTCGTCGGACTCGCTTTCTGGAACCGGAATAAGGTTGAGCTGGCGAAGTGTGAGAGATATTCGCGAAATAAATAACTCCATATCTAAATAAGTCGCGTGGCTCATGGAGTGTCTCAAACAGTATTCTTGGGCAGCATTCTCTCCAGACTTGTTGGTAATTTGACGGATTTTCCGATATGCTCTCAAGATTGCTATATGGTCGCTGTTGGTATCACCAGCAAACTTTCGACGAGGTGAATTATACCATCTCTCAGACCTAGATGGAATAAAAAGGGAACGTGCATGCGTAGCAGCACCAAGAATCAAGGCAGGTTCTAAGCATCTCAATAGAACACCAAGCATAACCATTTTGCCGGCCTTTAGAGGGACAGGTAATAGCGATAGGATACGTCCTAACGCGGTAATATTGCCACTCCTATCGATTGCACCAAGCGACCTTAAGTTTGCAATACTATTGTTGACGCGATCCAGAGAAGGTGGGTTTGGTAGCTGGCGTATAAAATCGTAGAGAGGCAGACCCGGAATGGTAGCTCTCAGCTGAAGGGCCTCAGTTTCAATATCATCAACATAGACCCGAGGCACATTTGTCTTTACCAGAGTGTCGAATCTCGAATGTGTGAATGTGGCATAGTAATGTCCATTTCCGGCCTGGCTAGCACAGGCCTGCCTTTGGTGTATTGTCAGTTTATCAACCCAACCACCCACTACCTTACGCAGGCCGGTTGAAGGGTCATAGACAGAGTCATGTTTTTTCCCGCTATCAACCACATATCGAACCTCTGGTATATTTATTGAGTTTTCAGCAATGTTCGTCGATAAAATGATTTTTCGACATCCCTCCTTGGCTGGGCGTAATACGTTCTCGTCAATGTCGCCCAGTCCTGAATGTAGCTTGAAAATCTGGAATTTACTTTTATCGCTGAAATCGACTCCTAAGGGTTGGTCATAGAGTAGTTGTTCTAGGCGCTTCATAACATCAAGCCCCGGGAATAGAGCTAGTATCACGCCCTCGCCTTCGGTTTTAGCAATATGGGCAATTGTAGCAGCAGTCAGTCCTAAAGGAACAAAGTGTTCCTTTTCGTTGATTGGGGTTTCAGCGGCAGCCTTCTCCAACAATCTATCTGGAATGGCTAATTTAGTCTCGTTGTTGCCCTCCGAAGATTCTTGTGTAATTATATCCTTCTCGGCTGCAATGTGTTGAGTTGTTGACGTGTCGGAGAGTAAGGGAACTAGGTCTTCCGCGGAATGGGTTGAAAATAATGAGTGTAATATGTCCTCGAGAAAGAAACGGTTAATTAAATGAGGAGAATCGGGAATAGCAATGCGAGGTGCTGGTGTAGATTCTCCATTCTCAGACACAGTCCCCATATAATTTTCAAGAGGGCCAGATTCTGGGTCTGCGGTCATGATTATTATCTTGGGAATGGGCTTGGATAGGTTGGTTCGTCGATTGATTTCTCTCCTTAATAGAGCCAGGAGAAAATCTGTCGGAATATCCTGTTCATGTGTTTCATCGATAAATATATGGGATACGGTGTCCAGGATTTTATCCCCCCCACGTAATAAATCTAGTAACACAACCCCAGTCGTTCTATAAGTGATACCACAGTTTGACGAAGGCTTTACAGCATCCCATCGGATTTCGTAACCGACGGACTGTCCGAGTTCTTCTCCACGTTCAAAAGCAACACGTCGTGCTATAGTCGTAGTAGTAACCCTGCGAGGCTGAGTAACCATTATATTGGATTGGGGAAATTTTTCCAGCACGATCTGAGGGATTTGAGACGTTTTCCCACTCCCTGTAGGCCCAACTATAACGCTAACTGCATTCTTATTGATTGCATCAAGAATATGTTTAGAGTGCTGTCTTGCAGGCAAAGCACTTCTTAATCTGAGTGACTCCTCCAAATTTCGGTTGCTGAAGGGAAGAAAGCCGGGGTCAATAGACTCAGCTCGACGCTCAGCAGCGGCCAAGACATCTGAATACAGTGACTCAATGCCATCTGAGCCTGACTCCTTGATTCCGGACTGGTCCGTGGGACTAGAGTAGGAAAGGCTTTCGAGAGAGGTTTGTATGGCTGCAAGAGTTTCGGGAGACATTGGTGTAGACACAGAGTGCATAACAGGTATATTTTCTTTGGCTTCTACAAATTCTGACCAGATGGATGGGTCCCTACCGACAAGATGAACGGCCCCTGCAAGCCTTGCGAGAGACTTAGCTGATTTCTCGGAGTCTGCGATTATTGGATTCGACACGGGTCGACCATCAATATAGAGAGCTCCATAGTAGACCGTAGCAGGACCAAATTTCTTCCGGGAGCAACGGGTATCAATCTCACTAGACTTTTCACACTTCGACAAGTAGAAGTTTAAAAAACTCTGCGCGCTACCCACCGTTAGAGGTATCGCGTCGTCAATAACTTGTTCTTGGCTTTCATTTTTGCTCTGGTGCTGTTGTGTCTGGGCAATAAAGGAACTAGAAGCTTCCGTAACTACTTTTGAAAGTATAGGTCCGGTAGCAACAGACAAGATATTTTGGCCAGGTAGCTCAATCCTAACTTCATGCTGGATATGTGATGTAAAGTTAGGATCTGGATTGGCCTGATGAAGTATCTCAGGTAATGCTGCATATCGTGAGGCATAATGGTAGACATCTGATAAATCAAAATGATGCACTCGCGTGTCCCGAAGATGTTTAACTGCTTCGGCAATACCATCGAGGTAACCCTTGGTATGAAGCGCGGACACAAGGAAGACGTAAGCGGCACATTGCGCAGAGTGCTAAAAGGAATGTAAGATAATTCATGAGCACAATAATCCATAAAACCATATGTTCAATGATGGGAGTATTACCGAGTTATGTCCTAACCCTGCGACCTCAACTGGCTCCTTTGCCGTTACACCTGCCACAGGTGTTATGCGGCACACCAACTTACACATAACCGCTCCTAAGGCATCGAGTTTGGCCACGTCTGTATCAATCTCGACTACACCAATTTGCGACAGGGTGTATATTGAAGAATGTGGGTTCGAAAGAAGGTTTGGTAATATCGGAAATTCATCATATGATGGAAGAGGGGCATTCTCCCGAGCGTAGGCTTCAGTCAACCTGCAATAGGGTGCTGGATATACCACTGACTTGACAGGTGAGGATTCCACAGACGGATCATCTGCTGGCAGTTTATTATCAGCCGCTTGGGTCGAAACACATCTCTCCTGAGTCTTGTGTGGTATTTTGCTGCCATGGAATAGGCCCGATAAACTTCCTTGTGTCGCATATCCTCGTACAGTGCAAAGAGAGGTACATGCTCCTGGGATATCCTGGATCTTCCACCAGTAGTAGTATTCACCATTTGGGATACAATGTTCTATGGCCCACGCTCAATGGATGTCCGCATTAAAGATTTAGGAAGATTCCGTATGCGACGTGCATTCCTGAAAGAAAGCGGAGGGGGATACCCGGCATGGAGGACTGTTGAATAAACATCTAGACTGCCAGAAAGAAGCTCCCGGGTTAGCTTAAGCTGCGAATCTGTTGTATTATGGCTAACGCACCTAAACATAGATGTAATCCAGAGCATAGGGCACCACGCTCCTTCTATCCAACAGTAGAACGTGTCTGCCTCTGTCAATGGGAGCTACTTGTCGCTGCCGCAGAGCGATTTTGATATTGAGGCTCGAATAAATTTCCAATCTTCAATTTCGACGGATGAGCATTATCACGTGATATAAATATTAGATAAGCGTATAAAGTTAGTCTTGCTTATCTATGTTGGAGTAAAAGCTACGGTAGTAAGGACGAAGAAATATCCTATCAACTGGGAGCTCAGATTCGCGACTATACCCTATACTCACATTAGCAAAGTATTCTTATGCAAGCTCAAAGAAGCTGGCTGACGTAATCGTGTATGGGATGGAATGGATAACAAACTGTCACGTGACTGACGCGAGGTCAAGTTTGCGCCTTTCAGCATCACGTCTTCTCCTTTTACAAGATAGCAATTAAAGGAACCTGACGTTGCTGCAATTCATCACAATGTTCCGCCCATCCACTTTCCAACCCTTCTACAGCGCCGCTAGGCCCGCTACTAACTCTATATCCCGGTCATTCAGCAGCACCGCGCGACGAGATTTCGCTCGTCTCACGGTTGTCGGTCGTCTCGGCGCTCAACCAGAGCTAACGACATCTTCAAATGGACGTGAATATATCAGATACTCCGTTGGTACCAATTATGGGCCTCGTGATAACCAACAAACTAGCTGGTTTCGAGTAACGAGCTTCATGCCTGAAGGACCCGGCAGGGATCATTTGCTCGGTCTTCCAAAGGGGTATGTTTATATATTTTATTAAATGCCAAAGCCCCGGAAGCTAACATTGGTATCTCTGCCTGTAGAACTTTGCTCCTCGTTGAGGGAGATGCCACCATGCGAACAGTAGAAGACAATGAGGGAAAGAAATCTAGCAATTTAGGCTTTGTCCAACGTGAGCCTACCCCATCTTGCGCGGTATTGCTACCATATGCAGTAGATCTGTTCTAATATGATTGTTCAATCTAGGCCACTATGATGTTCTCAGCAGGCCATACAACCCGAACCGTGATGATGAACCCAAATAAGTCACTCTCTGACGCGAATGCTGCTCCCCATCCCCTCGTCTACCGTCCCTATGTATGATATTGTATGAGTAGTCACTTTACCGGATGCAATAATTCGCTGCGCTGACTGTCTATCCATATGTTCGCCCACCTTGCAGCACAAATAGCCTTTTTGGCCTTGTCCCAGCAGTCCTGCCTCATGTACATGTATTATTATATCGTGGCCGCTTTACTTCTCCACCCTATGCAATGTATTGTATTATATCTTCTTGCCCACTGAGATATCTTCGGAAACCATTGCTATGAGCATATTTTTGCTGCTATAGAGCAGAATTTGGCGTATGGTCACGAATTCATGTGGGAATAATACGGTGCAGCCACGGGTAATACCAACTATTAACCAATAAAATACAGGAGAGACCCAATCAATTGTGAGATTAAGAGATGAATATAAACTTGATGTATCTAAAGACATCCCATGGTATAGGGCGGCATAACATATACATCCAGCAAATGTCATAAGCCACCTTGTAGGTATCACAAGATATCAACGCTAGCAAGAGAAACAAAAAAATTCACTAAAATGAAATGATACAGGAAGCATTGAGACAGCTTCTCTGACTGGAATATTTGAGTGTGGGTATATTGAAACAGTACGATGACTTAAGAGACGGTTTCTAAACCATATCATGCCCGTCCGCCGGACACCTTCCGTTTACCGCACTGGTACCGGGTGTGTCAGTAAGGAACTCGAGGAAAATAGAGTCTCCTGATTGCCAGCGAGACTTTTTGGACTTGCTAAAATTCCCGGAACGGTTTACTGGTGCTGGAACTGCCGGCATTTGATAAGGCTTCTGGACACTCTGCTGCTTGTCAAGGGAGCTGGTTAAATCCAGGTCATTAAACAAGTATCCATCCAATGACATTGTCCGTGTTTTTTCACTATCAAACAAGGGCTTTGTTAGCTATAGGGCTTACCATGGGTATGAGCAGCAATAGATAGCGATGTAGATAACTTACTTGAGAGTGATGTCAGAGTTGACTGTGGATGTCAACACTTTCTTCCGTCCTAGCGCCATTTTGACAGTGCTGCTAAAGGAGCCAAAGCGTGTGGAAGATGAACCTTGTCTCTGGTTTATCATAAGGTGAGGGTGTCGAAGTGCAGGGAAGCAATCTCCAAAGCCGAGCCTCAAAAGAATAGACCGGTACATCATTGTCGCATCATGCCCAATACCAAAGAAGATGAATAAGAGGAAGCCTGCGGCAGCTTGTATCCAGCGGTCATAGTACGTTTCCTGCATGCATTGGAAATTTAATAATCTCACTCCATTGAGGGCCATGAACTTCATCCCATGAATAGGGAGCCCATGGTTTATAGGATGTGATGTTGGAGTAAAAGACGAAGAACTGGGCGGGCAAGCTTCCAAGTAGGAGTACGAGCGAGATAGTGAGTAGGCGGATAAAATTGGATTTGGTGGTAGTGCTGCTGGACGATACAAGTTGAGAAAAATCACGCTTGTACTTGAACAGGCGATATAACACGAGTGCTTGGTCACAGTTAGCAGTGTTCAAGGCGCCAGACGATACATTTGAGGGAAGAGAAGCATTACCACAGTAGAAGCAGGCAACAACCAAGATTATTGGAGGCCAGATGTAGCCTACGATGAAGCTAACCCAGCTGGAATGGTAAGCTGGCATGCAGCCAACAATGCTATAGATGTAGTATCTGCTGTCCTGGATAATAAAGTGTAAGGCCATAATGATGACTGGAATAACAACGCAATATATGGCCTCAAAAGCGGTGTTCCACCTTCGATCTCCTTTGCTAGGTACGAGGGTAGTCCGCTCCGTATCCAATACTTTGGCAAGGCTGCGGAAGATACAGACCAGAGGGCCTGCAATGCCAACACCGGCACCTGTGATAAGTTTGGATTGGATGTCGCAGTAGCCATACCCCATCCACCAGGAATTGACATCGTCATCAGGCCAAATTAATGGATTGATGAAATTGAAGAGATTCTGTGTGAGAATCCACATAATCAAGCAGGAGGCAGGAAAGTTTCCGTTTCGACAGTGCCAGATCAATGGTGGAATGCAGACGAGGAAGGACATAATAGAAATGGTACATAGTACGGTTGCCTGCGTTGACATCACATAAACAAGAGGTAGGTTGCTGTTCTCCATATTGCTTTGTCAAAACAAAACCCAATGCAGATAAGGTGGTCAGTTCTATAAGCGCTACAGAGGTTTGTCAGCTAACGCACACCTAGTCTCTACCTCCGTATAGCCATGGTCATATAGAAAGAGTACTGGCAAGTGCATATCATACCAAGATCAAGTAAAGCCTCAAGAGAAACCACGCTTTATGCAGCGAGGACGTTCGTAGTAATGTGGTGTGTGTATATCTTGCGTTTCAAGGGGTTGAGACATGCAAACAAGTAAATGCAACAGTGTCTCTGTACATCAAGAAGAAAAAAATTGAGAGCAAGCAGTTGTGAAAGAACGGGGAGATATAAAATTTATATCTCTGCAGAATCTCCAGATACTGGAGAGAAAAGAAAGAAGAGAGGACATGCTGAATGACCACTCGGAGACCGTCACGCAGTGCCGCTGAGCCTTCAACTTCCTCGAATAGAATCAATCAATCATGTCTGGCGCGGATGTCAATAAACTGCTGTTGTTGAACAGGCTTGACGCAGCGTGAATGTATTTTCGTGCATCTTCCTCATCTGAATAAGCAAAGAGCTAAGAAAAGAAAAGAAAAGAAAAGCGCTGAAGATTAGATTGTGGAACCCGCGGGCGGGAGTCACTCGCGCTAACCGCATCGGGGTATCAATAAGCCCTCCTCGTTCAATAAAATCTCAGCATCTCGTCCTTGTCGAGCAATTAGATCTGCGCATCTGCAAGCAAGCTGCTGGTCCGTTTGCACACCCTTTGTAAACCGGACTGCTGCAACACGGCGTTTACTGTTGTTGGCCGTACAGGAGAGAAAAGAAAAAGGGCTGTGCCTGGGGGTGCCCTTCCGCGGTGGGGAGGGTTTACGGAAGACCTGTTCCCTCGCCTCGGGGATGGATTCATTTGCTACAAACACTGTTCGAGAACTCTTCAGCTTAGAAATGAGCCGGACACGAGGATGGTTCCGTCGACGGGTGCTCACAAATATGCACCTATCATGGCCCTGGTGTATCATCAGGCAAAACTCAACCTTGGGTTGTCTTCAAGTTCCAGACATCTAGAATGTGACCAAGATAGCCATCTAGCTCTGGTATTTTTCCAGAAGCCTGGAGTTCAACACTATCAAAGAGCTCACATTGGTACCTGGTGTTGAGCGAGAGTATAGATATATAAAGCCCAACCATTAGAGACGGGCAGCGCGGGTCCTTGACGTGATTCACTTGGGTCTCTGTAACATCAATAACTCTCTGCAGAATGTCCCGCCGTTTGGTTCTTTGTATAGTGTGGCCCAGGGCCGTGAAGATGGCTAGCTTAGCCGGGGTTGTTTTCTGGTCAACCTTGCATCAATAGGGAAAGCTAATTTTATTTGTGTTGACCTTCACGCAGGTCAGTCCCGTTTAAAAGACATTCCCCATGCCACAGCCCGAGATATATATATGAAATAGGAAGCTTGAGGATATAAACCGCCATGGTGAAGGAATATCAAGGCTCAAGCGTCAATCAGGCACGGTAAAGGATATTCTATTATTCTCATTGGAGAAAATGAACACGAAGCCCAAGATATAGCAAAAGGAAATAGGTTTCCTGATCCTGAGCCCTAGGCTTATTCAAGTCACGAAGCGGATGTGCCGGTATCATGACCATCTTGTTCCTTGTCTTCATCGTCTGTCGTCCCTTTCGACTTTTCGCGAAGAAGTTCGCTTGCAGACTCACCTAGATGACATAATACATTAGTGGTCTATGCACAGTAGAGTTTATTATGTCATCTAGAGAAGCGTGGGGATGCCAAGATATGCCGAGCCTTGACTGCTTTTGAGCATCTACAAAAACAACTCCGCAAAAACAGGATAGGAAGAGCTCCAACTTCGGGTGTTTTGTACGAAGGATGTGAACCGAGCGTGCGAAGAGACCAACTCATACTTATCCGTAAAGAAGTGTTAGTTGATTTGGAGCAGAGGTTGCGGAGAGCATCATATTTTTCCGACCATGAATCATGGATGAAGCACGTACAGAACAAGAGCCATATCAGCATCACCAGGGACCAGTCGCCTCCCACGCGGCCTCGCGTGTCAAGTCACCTTCGACAGTACGCAGGCGGAATGTGCGGTCTAATTCTAATGTGAATGGCTTTGCACCCTCATCATCCACTCCCGGAAGGCTCCGACGCAGCTCAACTTTCTCAGACGCCGTTTCGGAGACTCGCCGATCTATAAAGTCATCAACTGATGACCTGTTCTTCCCCCGTGCTAGCAATAACGTGGGAGGTAGCAATCTTAATAATACGGACTCTCATTGGCACTCTAGTCCTCTTTTGTTGGCTCTCTTACCAGGGCTGGGTGGACTTCTCTTCCATAATGGAGCCGCAGTATTCACTGATATTTCTTTACTATCCATTGCTGCGGTTTTCTTAAACTGGTCTGTTCGGCTACCATGGTGAGATGTCTGTCCTTTAGTGTAGTGTTTTACTGGTTTACTTCAATTAACACGTGTTTAGGGAATGGTACTTTGCTGCCCAGGAGCGAGTTCAGCTGGCGCCAGCAGCCTTTGACATCGAAGATTTAGAAGCCTCAGATGCAAAGGTCGAAAAGTCTCAAGAGAGTACAAAAAATTCTTCGCCCCTGGATAAGCTAGAAAATGAGGGAGGGCCCCGCTCTACCTCATATCAAAAGGAACAAACAGCAGCATATAAATCCGCAAAACGTGAACTCCACACGCACGAGCTTTCAGCGCTTGCATTGTGCTTTTTATTCCCAGTTTTAGCAGCGTATCTCCTACATTCGGTTAGGCTTCAGCTATCACGGCCATCGGAAGGACTAGTTTCAAACTACAGCCTCACCCTGTTCCTGCTTGCGGCAGAAATACGCCCCGTTTCTCACCTTCTAAAGATGGTACAGGCAAGAACGCTCTACCTGCAACGTGTAGTGGCATCAAACCACCTGAGAACTCTCAACGATACAGCTCTCGAATCGGAACCGGTTCTCGAGCTTTCTAAACGTCTTGAGGAACTAGAATCTCGTCTATCTATCGGAAACTCGGAGCTTACCTTTATTGAAGAAAGCCACACACCCAACCCCGGTAGGGATCTTGTTGCGGAGGTACGGAAAGCCACTCAAGGCGATATTGATGCACTCGACAAAGTCATTCGCAGTCAGGAGAGGCGCTGTAGTGCTATCTCAGTTAAGCTCGATGCTCACATACGAACCGTGAACAGCTACATGGCGGACCTCAACCCACTATTTACTGTCAAAAGCCAAGGGAAGACAAGGCACGAGTACAATTTCAAGTATAGCCCTTTACTTAGGAATGTCATATCCACCATTATATCTCTTACTACTACACCCCTACGGGTCGCCTGGTCCATAGTTCAGTTACCCATGTACCCATTTTCATGGGCATATCGTTGGGCTATGCAGTCATCTGGGTCGCGAGAAAAGAAGAGAACTAGGAAGCTACGCACTGCACAGCTGCCTCGTAAAGAATGGAATCAGAACCCTTTTGGCTGAAGCAGGCTCTAGGCCTAAGATTTTATTACTTACTTTATGCCCGTTCGATGTTGTGCTTCTGTTTTATTTTACCTTTGAAACAACTACTTATGATTTAGAGATTTCGGATACCCCTGTATTAATTAGTGTTTATGGTTAGTTAGCATTTGTACTTAGTGAAGCTATCATTGTACACTAAATTTCTTGTCTTCTCTAGGTACAGTCAGTAGATTGCCCCCTGCTAATTATGTGCCCTTTTAGGTGTATTCTTAGGACATATCTCTTGAAATAATCCTCAGGGAATACCTCTAACTAATGTGCTTTAAAAGACCACATGTATATGCTGTGATTATATGTCTAATCCAGAGTCTTAGCTTTATATCATGGGTATAAGTGTCCCTAAGTTATTGCCAACCCTCAAAAAGATAACGAAAACATCATATATATATGACCTCAAATGCCCGAGACTAACGGGTATCAATACATAAAAAGGGTGCTATAATCCCCTTCTTCCTCTCTTCCCATAACTTCCGGTCTTTCTCCTTTTCTGGTACTGGAATGGAGGAAGAAAACATCACCGTAGCGAAGATAGAAGCGTATGAGTCATTAAGTGCCTCTCTCCTAGTAATTGATGGGTTTGTCTGTGACACCGAATTAGGCGCATTTGCATCACTACTGCCAGATAACGTACTATTCCTGCCTCGCAGCCGGAATGGAAATGAAAGGGACGGTTGTCTATTCAAGAGGGTAGACTGAGAAGCGGGAGCTGATGAATTTTCTGAGCCTATGACGGTTGGAACTGTCTGTTCCCTGCCGGGTATAGTTGCAGAAGTAGGTGAAGGCATAGGTGTTATTGGCGTGATTTCGTTGGCGATACGGTTCAACATGAAAGTGAGAAAGGTGAAGGAGACACTGTGAGAAGGGGACGAGGAGAGCGTTTCTAATATCGATGACTGCATCTGTTCGGTGGGTAAAGGTTCCTGTTGCCTTGTCTTATCACGCAGGAGCTTCTGTTGCTGGTCTAGTGCAGCCCACAGTTGCTCTGTAATAATACCATCGCGTAAAGACTTGAGGAAAGTAATGAGCGTCTCAGCAAGTAGCTCCGTGCGATATTTCCACGAGAAATTGGCTGGGAAGTGTTCAGAAAAAGGAGTGTTTGTATCAATAGCCTCCCTCACACCAACCAGCAGTTTTTGTCTCTCACTGACATCGTTTAAAGACCAAGTCTGTGGATTGAATGGCCAGCCGGATTTCTTGTCTACTTCCCATGGAGGGGCAGAATTATCTGGAGATGAATCACTAGAAACCATCCCCCACTCAGCAATAGACCGTTCTGTGTGTTCTGCTATTGCCTCTGTTAATTTAAATAGCTCACGCGGGCCAGAGGATCGAGCGTTTGAATTGTTCCCTCCAGGAGAGATTGGTGGTCCATTTATGGCGCGGACACCATCTTCTGGTATACGAGTAAGCTCCTCGAGGGAGAAGCCGAATGATGAAGTCAACCAGTGGCCCTGGATAGATAGAAAATGGTCCCTCCCATCGGTCACGCGTAGGACGAGTATATCGTCAACTTTTGCTTTGCCCTCATTGAGCTCCCGCACAAATTCAATGTCAGATATACATAATGTTAAACGAACATTAGCGGAGTCACCAGGCTGAAAGGTATATTCTTTTGGCAGCTTATCATCTTGGCTACTATTATTGGCAGGCCAGTCCACGCGAATGTCTAGCCAAGGCGGTGACGAGTGGGAGCCAGATGTATCAATAGATGGGTTATAATGGAACCCAAAGGTGGCGGGAGCACTGCCCGTATTCGCAAGGGTCAAACTTCGTGACATGGGAACATCGTATCTCACCTTGCCAAAATTAACTGTATCTGGCTGCGAAGTAGACTCAGTATTATCGCTAGAGCTGTTTCGGCGGGCTTCTGAATGCTGATCCACCACAATAGTTACATCAGGACGGGCTTCGTTCTCGGCTTTGTCCAGCTCCCGTGCAACTTCTTGATGGATCATTGCTTTCAATGATGGAATAACGACGTCAAGGGTAATATCAAAATCAGCATGGATAGGCTTGTGGTCGGAAGAGACGATATCCTGGTGTGATGTGTATTCCAAGAGAGAAATAGTGCTTTCATATTTCGCATCGATATTGGTTGCATCTTCCACCATATCAGCCTCTTCCACATTGTAGTCTGCAGCATCTTGATCCGGATCATAGTCAAAGAGCACATTATCATCCTCAACCGCCTTATCCAAGCCTAGAGTTCTCATTTCTTCATCTCTCTTCTTCGATGCTTCCGCCTCCTTAGCTTTCCTTTCGTACCTTAAGTAATCGGATCGTGTTCGAAATAAAATTCGATCACACCAGCTTGGACTACGCTGTTTCTCGCTGGAGTCGAATACCCCAATTCGCCCAACATCGTACTTATAAGTTGGTAGAAATGTTATTGGCCCTTCACGCCAGCCGTGATGAAATGATTTGCCACTCTTTTGTTGAGCCTGGAGTTGATCATGAGGCAGAAGTGAGGAGAGTGTGTTCAGGAGAGAGGCCGGATCATCTGAGGGATCTATATCGTTATCCTCTAACTGTATTCCGTCCTCTGACGCTAGGGAAGTACCACTTTCAGATGATCTCCGATGCTCTTCTACTTCGGATTGACTATCTTCACCACTTTTTGAAACAGTATTCTGCTTCGCTGGGCGAAATTCATTTTGAACATGCAGATGAAGAAGGCGCCGCACATCATCTCCAGGGATATCATCCAAGCGGTAATTCAAATCACCAAACCAAAACCCAAATTCCTCTGCTCCGAATTGCTGGTTTAACTCTCCAGAGACAAGGTCTTGTTCATCGACGGGAGCAAAGGATGAACGCGAAGTTATCTGGGCCGCATCCCAATTTCTTCGTTCTAAGTTTGCCTTTTCCGCCCCCGCAGCTAAATGAGAGTTAACGAAAACCAAACGAGTCGTCTCTCCAATAACGATACGGGTTGCGACTGCCCCTTTATTGCCAGTATAGCCCATAAACCCCGTTCCGACACTCGTGGAACTTACTGATGATATATGAGGGGCCAGTGAGGGAGCGGCATAAACAAGCAAAAGCATACCCACGAGCTGCTGGGACGCTATGCAGGAATATCCAGAGGGTAAAGCATTCCGGAGTGCAGTGTTCCATTTTGCTGAGGGGCCTGGGTCGACATATGGTCTTAAAGCCTCTGTAGGAGAAGACACATCGACTATTTCCTGCAGCCCTAGGATGTAGAGATCTGGCCCTTCACCATAGGTTTCGAACGAGTCGTTTCTGGATGGCTGGCCGGTTGACTCGGACGCTCCCTTGTCTACAGCCACCCCACTACTGTCACAATCAATATCAATGACACCATTATTTCCTTCCTTAGTGGCATTCCCTTGAGCAGCTGGTTCTTGAACTAGCCACTTTTTTAAGTCTTCCTCCGGACCAGACAGAGCTGCAACGTTCCACGATCCAATCCTTATTCTTAGCTTTCTCTGGCGAATATATTCCGCCTTCCTAGCTCGTACGCCGGCGGACAAAGACAAGTCATTCAGCGATACCACGATAGGCTCCTCAGCCTGAGGATCGGGGAACGCGCCAGGAATGGTTTCAGTATTCGTAGTCAATTTGGCGTTGGGAGCAGCCTGAGCATCTTCTAGAACCGCCATCTTGATAACTCATTCAGCCCCGCGCATCCGCAGAAACCAAAGGCTGGAGGGAGCTAGCTTCTCTCATCTCATCGCAAGGCACATGCAATCATATATATAGGTATTTATATATGTGTCGTTGATAGGGCTTGTGATCGGATATTCGTGGTCACCTGCGCTGATAGTTAATCGTTTAATAGAGTAGCCGGGGAAGCCTGGCGCAGCAGAATACGAGCCAGCTTAATATTTAGTAATATCCAGCAGGATCGTAAGAAGATATTATCTGTAACCCGTAAATAAGCCAATTCTTTGCGGAGGAGGTTCTGCAAGAAGAGTTGCATGTAGCATAACGACACGAGGTGGGATGAAGTTAGCTAATTAACGTTATTTAAGTACATGTTGTGGCTTGGCAGAAGAATGGCCAAAGACGGCAATTTTGACCATCTTCTATCAATTACCAGCAGAAGCAGAACCAACAGCAGGTCCTTTTACCCAGCAGCGTCACGTCTACGAACGCTCAAGGCGGTTCGAAAGATTACCCGTACTCTCGCCAAATCTGTGGAAAAACACAGAAATAGGTCACGGACCTCGAAACATACCAAATCTCTACTCTCAATTATAGATCCGAGAGCTCAAGATGCTACAGTACGCTGGAGCTGAGCCAGCTCCAGCTCCAATACCAGCACCGACAAGGACAAACGAAGAACTTAACCTCGCCGTCCTCCGGCGGCATGACCCATCTATCTCCTCGATTCTCTCTCTCGCACAGTACGCAGTCGTCTACCATTTCAACGCAACAACGCAGTTATGGGAGAAGATCGGGGTTGAAGGGACACTATTCGTCTGTCAACTTACACAAGGCGAACTAGGCGAAGAGCGATACAGCGTGTTCCTTCTTAACCGGCGAGGAATGAACAACTTCGACGTCAAACTGTCGACGGGAGACGATATCGAGATCACAGAAGAGTATGTGATATTGAAAGTTGACGAGCACAGTAGAGGCCCAGAAACCCAGGAGAAAGGTGCAATAGTGACATCGCCAGGTCAAAAAGCAATGATATATGGAATATGGATATTTTCAGAACCACCCCCAAGCTCAACGGCGGATGCGAGGTCGATAAATGCGCAAGTAATCAAAGAATGCGCGGTTCATGCGGGTGAGAGCAGGAAACTTGCTGAAGAACGACTAGCTGCGGAAAGAAACCGGACTGCCACGCAACAAAATATGTACACCGGCGACACAGGCAATGGTGAGCATGCGCAGGGTGGCATACCCATGGGTAGACAGATTTCGCTGAAGGAACTGTTTGGGCAACAGAGAGCACAAGATGATGAGTGGAGTGTCAAGGTGCATAGTCCGGTGCCGGGGAATGAAGGGCCACCCACCATGCCATTCCCTCCGTCCTCTCATCAACCACCACTTCCTCAACACCCGGGGAGCTGGGGACCAGCGCAACCATACCCCTCAACTGGAAACGATGTGTTGGGAGAGCTGTTCCGCAGTGCAAGTATGAATTACCCAAGGCAATAACAAGATTTCTTTTAGTCTGATAAAGAAAAATAACCATTACACGACTTCTTATTCGATACCCATTAATCATCTCTTGGTGTTTTCTATTTATATCTCGTTAAAGGCGTGCTAGAGGTGGCAGCTCTATAGAATGCATTTTCTTGTTCTCTTACACATGAATAGCACTTTAATTATCTAACTCAGATCCCCTAACTATGTCTTTGATGAACTTGCCAACTTTATTCGCCATTATCTCACTATGGCCTGATGTGAACATGTTAGCAGCAGGTCTATCAATGCAACTAGTTGAAATACTCACCTATACAAAAGCCATGCACAACCCCATCTTCACATACTGTCAGAACTGGGCCAGGAGCACTTTGTTTGGCCTTTGTCTTAGACTGGATGATCTCCTCTCTGGTCGTTTCAGCTACCCAATGGTCATTCCGGCCAAAATAAAATATCATCTTCGTAAGCCTATCTTTCGGCGTGTTGGTAGGACTGCCAAACCCCCATAGCTCATCACTCCATTTATCAGCAGATATTTCACGCATTTCATCTGCCGCCATGTGCCTGTGAAGAGTCGTGGTTTAGTTATTCGGGTATCAGGTAAAAGCTAGTTTGTATCTAGGGGGGGGATCATACAGAGCTTGCCTCACAATAGGCGCATTCTTCAGCATTGAGACGGTAGTTTCTACAGCCTCCTTTCGGGGATTCCTCATAACATAGCTGACAATGCGATATAATACCAATTCCGGCAATATACAAACCAGGAACCCCGCAAGCATGCTAACAAGGAGAGGGAGATATGGGATATAGAGTAGTTTCTATTGTCAAAAGTTAGCAGCAGCACCGGCTATGTAGGTTCAAGGTATATAGATGTACCGTCAATACCCTCCCATTAGGAGATTTCGCAATGTCCACAACAGTAGGAAATAGCATGATACCGCCGATGATATCAAGACCAAGCCTATCTCCTTCCACAGAGGCAGTTTGCTCAAGTACTCCGTCACTCATACCCATCCTCTTCTGAAGACCTGCTTTCTCTCTTCTTCGTCTCATGATTTCCATGGCGATGTAAGCTCCAACCGAGTGGCCCATGACAATAACGTTCGCTCTAGGTCTTTCTTCCAATGCATGCTCAGCTTGAACAGCATCTTGCCATGCACGAACGAACTCTTCTAAATCCCGCTCCATGAAAGCGATTTGATCTCCGAGGCTGTAGAGGCGAGTAGGCGACTTCTTACTATCTTCCTGCTGTTGCTCGACCGTTTTTGATTGAGGGTCAGGGACTTCAAAGCCACCTAGACTTCTACCGCGGATGATATAGGAGCCATTGGGCTGAGAAGACAGCTCTGATGAAAGCAGGGAGAAGAAGAGATGGTAGTAGGATATCAGCCCTGGGTTTCCTGATATAAAATATACGAGCGTCGAGGTCCTTGATAGTATGCTGGCATTGCTGCCTTTCCCGCTTCCGGCACCAGCGAAGGCACATGTTAGGAATGAGTTTGGAGTGATGTGTGCCTTTAGATTAAAATAAGTAGACATCATGGGCAGGTTCAAACGGATATGAACTGCTCTAGGTACTATGCGGTTTATCATGGGTTCAAGCCAGTGTACGGTTGGATGCTGCAGAGAAAAGGCCCGATGTGGAGCTCGATAACGTTAGTTTTAGATGTCTCTTCGCTACTGTACATACTTGAAGTAGTCTACATAGTAAATACATGTAAGATGAAACAGCTCTATTAAAACAACTGCATTTTGAACAGCTAATTTTGAGCCCCAGAAACTTCCGCTCCGTTGCATTCCCATTTCCCACGCCGAATATGATCTGAAAAGAAAAGCACACAACTACAACAACTCCAAGGCAGCGCCCGAGTTTAATTTATCAAGTACAAGAATGGACGACAAGGAAAATAAAACCTGTTCCTGCTCCTTCTCCTCACTGAACCTGAACCTGAACCTGAACCTAGACGTGAACCCGACCCTGACCTTGGCGACCACCGGAACACACATACATGCAAAGAGAAAAGGGGGACAGGATGTAGAGGAAGGAGAGAGGAGTGATCGGAGTCAAAGGAGATGATGAGGACCATATAGGCGGAACAGCAAGAGACCGGACTGAGGTCCTGGCCTCAGTCTGGTTTTGACACCAGGTATGGTATCTAGATTAAGGCATGTATGCAGGATAAAAAGGGTATGCTGTGTAAGGATATCACATGAATCAGAAAGCATGCTCCGAGCTGAAGTAAACCGAAGCATGAGGAGTAGAGCGAATCTGGCCAGTCAAGTATGAGAGATTCGAAGGAGGGCATGCGAATAAAGGTCTGTAGGCGCAGGGTCTAGAGTCGCATGACATCTGTAACGTCGCGTAGGGTAACGCTTCATCCATTTAACAGACTGCTTTTCATTATTTTCTTTGCCTTTTTTCTTTTTTAACTAGCTGTCGCTGTTGCAGTTACCGGCGTGGTTGTGGTCGAAGGTGCAGCGCCGCCATTGCTACTATCAGGACCACCGCCTCCACTACCGTCTCCGCCACCACCGCTATCGCTATCACTGCTGCCTATACTCGACATTATAGGAGCAGTCACGGCCTCATCCTTTTGTTTAGTTGCCGTTGCTGGTATAGAAACCTGCGTAGAACCGTTTGAATCCTGGCTCTTCAGCGCAATGCGCGTTGAGACGTTCAGGTTAATTGCTATCTTCTTAGCCGGGGAAGCAGCGGCATCCTTTGATGCATCATTTTCGCTTTCTTTCTCCTTGTCTTTATCTAATCCATCGTTAGCATTGGTGGAGCGTTGGCTCGAGTTGAGGCCCCTCTTCCCTCTCCCGTTGCCATTGCCACGCTGAAACAAAGGTGAAACAGAGTTAGAGCTAGAAACAGAGTTGCGGCGCTTGGGACCTGACGAAAGCTTGATAAGCTCGTCGTCGTCGTCGTCGTCCTGGCGCCGTCGTTTTTCGGAAAAGGAGTAACGGCCGAGTTGCGTTTGTTGCTGTGGCGAGGAGGTTGGTGTAGGTGTTGATGGAGTGTGAGTGGCGGCTTGCCCGTCGGATTGAGGCTGGTCATTCAGCACTGTATCATCGTCATCGTCGTCATCTGGATAGTCGACGAGTGGCTTCGCAGCCGCACCGTTGGCAGGCGCCGATACAGCTGTATTCTCGGCCGGTTTAACCTGTAATAAGACCTTGGGCATGAGCTGCACAGTTCTCTGTCCAGACCCTCCACCCATACCGCCAGCAGTAGCAGCGGTATCATGATCCTCCCATGAGAAGATTCCTACCTCATCGTCCTCATCATCTGAGGTTTCAAAGTACTCCTCCTCCGCAGCATCCATCTCGCGCACTCCCATGGCACCCCACCGCTGGCCACCACTGATAATCATCCTCGTCGGTGTCGGGGCTGCTTCGTCCTGGCTGAATACGGTACTGCTTGCATCGCTACCTTCAGTGCCGGCGTTTACGTTTGTTCCGTATCCCTGCATCTGATCGTAGCGTAATATTAGGTTTTGGAAAGTATCAACATACGTGATATGCTGTATCTTCTCATGATATCGTTCAACGACATGTGCAATTATGGGCTTTATGTTCTCGCGCTTAATGAATTCAAAGAGGTCAAGGCAGGCGGAGTTGAGGAGGTTGTCACGAGGCATGGTGAA